CCTTCTCTAGATAAACTCATCTCGGTTTCGGAGCATTCTTGGTTTATTTCTATGAATGATTAGAAAGAAAAAGCATCTTCAGCAATGCAGGAGGCCTCTGGAGGCTGTAGTTTGGCTCAGCAGTGCTTTAAATGGAACTTCAAAACCAGCACTCAACCATGCTGGTGTTCAGCGGGTAAACTTTGCCATCATCTGGATATCAATTTATTTGGTTAGAATTCTAAACTTGAATAGTTTGTTTGTTGTTTTAAAAAAACAAAATTGACCCAAAGAAGAGTCATTCATGGGTTAAGATCCATTTCAACCAACTTTTTTTTTTTCTAAACGGTCAGAAATGAAGAAGAGGAAGCAAAAGAAAATCAGATAGTTTCAGTTTTTCTCAATCACAGACATCCTGACCTGTTTTGTGTGGCGGTAAAAAGGCTGCGTGGGGAGTCAGGTGTTATAAGAAGTTGTACACTCTGGGTCTATTTCTGCAAAGTTTTGTGCACCTGTGCTGACTCTCGCTACAGCAGTGTGTCATCTCTCAGACTACACTTTTAACCACCCTGAACTTCTCTATGTGTTTACATGATACAACTGCAGATTTAAAATGGGAACCAACAGGGCGCCAGTTTGGTCTTGTGATTACACCACACCCCCCCGTGTGCAAAAGCTATCAGCACCATCAAGTACCTCCATCTGCATTTTATGATAGTAAATTGGTTGCATCAGTATTTGAGTTGTAGCTCACTTTTTAGATGACAAACAAGGTCTTAAAGGTGTGTCTCGAACACTTTAATCATTTTTCACTCATAACATTCCTTGACTTTGACATAAAAAAGGAATTTGCACCCATCTCTGGTCATTTCTTTTTTTACTAATCAAGACTACAAATGGGCTCGAACACTTCTGTGACAAAAGGCAGGGGTTAAATGTGCTGGACGTACAGGATCAGATGTTTGCAGCTGATAAATAAAACAACACTTGAATTACTGTTTATCTGCACTTTTTTTTCCTGCAGCATTAGCGGTATATTGTCCGCTCACTGCATGTATAAGATTTTTAAGTGATATAATGCTTCGTTCCAGTTGTACTCAGAAGTCTGAATTTCCGAGCTCCGAGTCAGAAATTCATCTGGAACATCCCCCCTGAAGTCGGATTTCTGACTCGGAAAGTCGGATGATCCTCACCAACCCCGACTTGAAGACAAAGTCATAATCCAAGATGGCAGTGAAAACTCTCATAATGTATTATTTATTTGAACTTCTATTTTGTTGTTGTGAAATTAAATAAGTGGTATATGTTGTACTGCCCAACGTCTAACTGTGAACACGTTGCTATGGTGTTTGTAAGAGTAAAACACTGTGTTATGTGTTGTTTACAACTGGTATAGCTGACAACAACTAACAATAGCTGACAACTGCTAACAACAGCTAACAACAGCTAACAGTAGGCGTCCATCTTTGTTTTCCAACTTGTTTACTGGAACGCCATCAACTCGGGAGTTAACGTCATTCCCAGCTCTGACATCCAACTTCCGAGATAACTGGAAAGCAGCATAATTGCATCCCTCTTCTTCTACCGATGTTCCTCACTTGTAAACAAAATGAATAAACAAATAACTTTGCTATTTAAAGAGCTGTAAATATGGTGGTTTTGAGCTGTTTAACAATCAGTGCAGTTCATTTTCCAGCCTAAGTGGACACAGACTGAGTGGAGGCTTTAAAAAAGTGAGGTACATCAGATTTAATCTGTTTTTTTTTTTTTGAGAGTTCGGTTTAGTCTCCCATCACTGAGTCAGATTCAGATTTTATGTTGTTGTCCATGTAGTCATTAAGTAGTAAATGTCAACTTCTGTGTGGTTTCATAACAAGACTGAACATCCTGTTTCTTCTTTCTGTTGCAGAGCGTCTTTTAAACCCTTTTCTGAATACGGAGGAGCTCTTCAGCTGTAGTTTTTGTGATTTTGTAAAGGAAGTGGGGGGGGTTGTTGTTGGTCACAAGTCAGCAGTTGAATATAAATCTCACAGATAAAGTCTTTTGGAGAGCGAAGCCCTTTTGAGGGGAACGGGGGAGCTCACCGTATTTGCGGGCAGCTTCAGCTTTTGCTAAATCCCTTTTTAACCCCATATAGAGCTCCAGAGGGGCTGACTGGCAAAGACCGGGGGGTTAAGGAGATCATTCAGACAGATGAAGATGATGCATGGCTTCCTTCTCTCTCACTGCTTCCCTTTCTCTCTTTCTCAGATGCACACATATCAACACACACACCCCCTCCTCACTCCCTGTACTTTATCTACTCCATGCAACCTTGTAGACCCATTCCTCTCTCCCTGGCTGCCGGCCAACCTCTCTGTCGTTGCCTTTCATCTCTCTGGAAAAAGACAGGAACAGGCAGATTACGGAGAGAGGAAGAGTATTAGGGGAGCCATTCTTTCTGCCTCTTTGTGAGGGAGGGGTACTGTTAGCGCTCCGCTCAGTTTATGGTGAGAGAGGCTGCAGAGCGGTGGGGGGGAAAGTAAGCCTAAGGGAGTGTTTACATTACAAGAATACTGATATTGAGAGATGCTGGTGAGTAAACGCATACCCCTCAGCTGACAGTGTGTTTCTGCTGAGTGTAATATTTCAAAATTGATCAAACACAAGACAAAATAAATTAATACACGTGTAGAAAATAGCAGAGAGAGGGATGAAAAGATCTCTAATGGCGCAGTAATGATGAGCTCAGTGCATCAAAACACTGCAGGATAATGTGCCATAAACCCTGTTTGAATGTTATTGTAATAGAGATCATTCGACAGTCTCTCGCTGCAACAATTGGGAGCGCTTTATCACAGTGAATTAATGGGAGCATCTGTTAAATCTGCACTTGGAGCTGTTTGCAACACATTTTGGCTTAAAATAGATTTGAGTTTTTTGTCAAAAGACACAAAGTGTTACCTCAAGTTCAGAGTGGGAAAAACACATCTTAAATTAAAGACTAATAAAAGCTAATTACTGAGAACAAGAGTGTAGACCGTGTCATTTCTCTCCGGAAGTGTGTCTGTGTGTAGGTGAAAGACCTCATAGACAAACACACACTAAAAGATAATCATGCACATTAAAGGACAGATTTCTCCCATCCCAAAAAAGTCAACAAAGGCCTGATTACCACGTAGTTTGAAGTTTATCTTGCCAGATTGTCCTTTTAAGTGAGGTGTGTTAAGAGTGATTTTTCTTCCTTATAATCCAAAATATCAAACGTGTTCAATAGCTGCGATTAGAAATCCTCATGTGCGAAGGCAGCCCTGAGGTGCTCATTGCTCATGTGGAACAACTCAATAGTCAATCAGGAAGTTGCCTCGCCTGCTGCCTCCGACTGAACTGTTGATGGATGGATAGTCGTCTAATTTCAGGTCATACAATTGTCTTTGCACTGACTGAAATATTGCTAACGCTAACAGCTTAGCTCTCAGGCAGCAGCAACGACAGACAGAGAAATCTCAACCTTGAACATCGATGTTAAGCTGTCATGGGGTCAATCAAGGTGTAATGGATCAATGAGCTTTTGCAGACTCACATGATAACAAGAGATAAAAGGAATGAAAACAAGCACTTAAAGATAAAACTGCATATGCAATTTGGACAGTTAACTGCTGAGTCATAAGTATTACTAAAGTTAGGGTGTGTGTTAAAGGGATATTCCGCGGTAAAATTGAGTTAGGGTTAAACACACCGTAACACCGAGTGAGACCCCCCGTCGAGAGATGAATTTTGCTGACCGTCTGCTTCTCTAGTTATACCAACTTTAGTAACGACCGCATGATAGCAATGCAGAGAGCAACACGCTCAACCAAAACGCCACTCTATAGCCATAAATAATGCTCAGAACAGCACCTAACTTCATCAACGGTATAGGATCCCAGCCATATCACTAGCCACCAAACATCTTTTTAGCTTTGCTTAATTTCTTTAGCAAAAAGACTAAACACAACTCACCTACTCTCTTCCAACAGCCGCTTGTTTGTACAGAGACCTCCGGGCGAGTCTATTGACTGCAGCGGGGTGACGCAGCTCAAGGAAGAACATTTATGATCATTTCTTTATCATTTCTTTGAAGTAATAACCATCATACTAAGAGTCAGTCCAATGAGTTATTATGTATTTATCGTTGTACGCCAAAATTGCAGATCAAGCTGTAGAGTAGCCACCTTTCCTTAGCTGTACCATAATATAATGCTCAACTATCTGGATGTAAACAAGCACAACATAGTTTATTTTGATATGAGAAATGTAGATAAAGTTGTATGTGGGCTATGTCTGACCAGAGCGATGTGTAACAAGTACAGGAATTTGGACCCTTAGAGAGAGGGTGGTGGTACCCTGCAATCTTCTCTTAAATTTACCCTCAGACTCAGTGATCCCTCATTGAGCCATGATAGATTAATGTTTTTAAACTTGTGCACTGGTTTCAAGTTGTTTTCAAAAGTTCTTGGTTTATTCTAAAAATAGTGAGCATGTGGGAATTTTTTAAACTGCATATCACGAACTGTAAAAATCAAGGGATGTGTTTTAGTGACGTTATTTTGCAGCACTCCAAATGACTCTCGCCTGCAAATGTGAGATCCATTTGGAGTCCCGGGTGTTAGTTTTAACCGACAAAATGCGCCCAAATTAACAAGAGAGAAGTTTGGTCCCTGAAAATAGCAGCTCACTCTCTGAAAATTTGATAAGAGGGCCCCGTGGTTGAAATTTTGAACGGAAACATGCTGTATCACTGAGCTTACATTTCCCTTTACTGTTCCCATACGTCTCTCTTCTCTGCTCTGTTTGTTTAGCCATTATTTGAGCTCTGGCAGTTCTCCACTGCACCTCCAGCGCCCTTGTCAGACACAGATGTGATTTGTGATGCAACCGAAAAGCCTTTGTTAGTGCAATGAAAGATTTTTCTGAAGAGGGAAGAATATCCTATCAAATTTCAAAAGTACAATTCAAAGAGCCGGCTTTATTAAATATTGATGTCACACACATGCTTGGCGGGATGTTAACGTTTGAAGGAAAACAGCATCACTTAACGCCCTTGTGCTACCTTGCTCTGCAGTTAGCAGCTCTTACATCACACTTGAATCATTCATTCTGAAACCAAAAAGAGTTGAGGTAAACACAAAATCTGCGGAATGTAAAAGAGCTCTCCTGTTTCCACAGCGAACGGTCAAAATACTAATGAGTATATTGAAGTATAGACCTCTACCTCCTGTTACACAATCCAACCAAAACATGCATTTTTATGACTTCTGTGGCTTTCTTCTTCCTTTTGTACCTTTCCCTCTTTCATGACTACATGTCTGAAGCCTCAAGTTAAAATTACACTGTTTCTTGTTGTTTTAGTGCCATAAATGCTGATAAATGTGTAACATTATCGAAGAGTCTGTTCCTATTTGTTGAGTTGTGTATAAAAATGAACCACCTTATGTTAATACTCAATTTGTGAAGCTAGCATGTAGACCGTAAAACAAGAGAGACAACAAGCTTACAGCCTATCTCTAAGTCTCATTAGAGAAGTCCTCTGGCTCATTTTTTGGCTTATGGCCTGTGTCCATTTACAACCCTTTTTAAATTTATATTTTTATTTTATTATTATTATTTATTTTTATTTTTTTTGGTGTAGCAGCATCCACAACCTTAAGTTGAGCGCTCTCTTCTCATAACTTATCGTTGCTTAATTATAAAACTTGTTCTTTGGTACCTGCCATGATTGTTCATTTGTGTGAAATGTGCTGTATACTTGATATTTTATATTATTTGAGGGGAAAAACTTTAAAACAATAAAAAACAAACCATGTCATCAGCCCTAACCTTTAAATAAAAACCATAGAATAAAAGTGCGCCACTATTGTTGTTAAAAGCTGATTTAAAGTCCCGCCCCTTCTTGATTCTGACTGGTCATCGGTGGAGAAAGTGACATTGATGTGTGGTTGAACTAAGAGTGCTATGAGCTCAGCGGCAAATAAACAGCAGATGCTGTTGGCATTTTGGCCCTAAGCGCTGAAAATGCTAACTTCACAAAATGGCACTGCGGGTGCAGCAAATGCTGTCAGTGGACACAGGCCCTTAAGGGTGACAGACAACCAGCAGACACTGATGATCACCACCAACAGAGAAAACAAAAAAGATAAAAAATTACCAAGTAAGTTTTAGAGTCGTGGCCTCAGAAATTTTTATTGTTAGCTTCTTCTCTGTGTCCGATTTAGACAGACAGCTAAGCTTGACTGATCTGCTTCAAGATGTACCTTCCTATTGAGATATTGCACAGGAAAGTCGTATCAATCTTGTCATCTAACATCAAACTTAGGAGTCTGAAAGTTTATTTTTCAAATACTGACCTTTTGATTTACATTTTGAGACACGATACAAGGTTAACTATTGAAAGTTGAGCAATAATCCAATGCCTACTGATGATGAAGCTTAGAGTCAATATGGTGGTGAATTAGTCCAAAGAATAGAACAAGGAGGAAAGCTTAGAGACAACATTATCAGCTGTGGATCTGATAGTAAACAAATACATTATAAAAAGGTGTTTTATTTTCAACCCTGGTTTGTCAGTACCAATGCTTATTAAGACCTCTGACACTCTGGGGTGACAGATCAACCCTCCATGCTCTCAACTGTCCTTCAAACTAAATCTACGTTTTTTGGTATTTCAGTATAATCTCAGTCCGGTGATTCAATACTTTAAAAATGAAAATAAAATGGTTCTTAGTCAGGACTGTGAACGCAACAGTCCCCAGCTCCTGCATTTAGATTTGGTGGTGTACCTGGGCTGCACCTGTCAGCAGGATCTGTGTTCCAGTCGGGTGACTGAGCCTTCCTGGTGCAGAAACATAATGACAGCGAAGGCAAGTCTCACACCATCTGATGGAGTCATCAATAATGAGACAAGGTGAGGAAGCAGGGAGGAAGAGCGGGTTTATCTGGGCACAGCACATGCACCTCCCAGTTGTCCGCGGGGGCAGACGGGGCTGCAGAAAAGGCAAGATATGGCGTGACGCTCCTGGAATCTGTGATTTGACATCTGCTCAGTGTGAGAGTCTGTCAGAGGGCAGGAGGAGGTTTTAGAGGGCGCTGTCACTTCTCTCCAGTCCGGAGTCTCTGGGTTTTATCAAAGAGATCTGACTCGGAGGGCACGGAGTGGGAGAGCTGAATGGCGCTCACTGGAGGTGGTCAGCGTTGAATGGGCGCTGAATCCAGCAAGGTCAGTCCTCTTCTTCCACGTAGGTAGAGGGAAACCAACCCACCTACGAGACCGAAAACAGGATGTAGATTAGGCGATAAAACTCAGTGGCACAACTATATGACAGGAAATATTTACAGGTGACGGGTGAACTATTGTAGTAAAAGGAAATTATATGAAAATCTGACTTTTACATAGCAAGATCCTTCACTAAAGTTGTGCAAAAACCTTTCATTAAGCTTCCTTACACAGATAAAATCAGCCTTTAATCACGACAAGCATAATCCCTCACTGACTTCCCATCAACAACATGCTTTCAATCATTTCCGATTATCTTTTTCTACCCTCACATGAACCAGACACCAAAAATCATCCATCTTCTCTCCTAGCCTTGCCGAGGCTAAATCACTCTTCATGTATGAGCGGCAGCTGACCAAAATCATGATTCCACTTTTCATTCAGACAGTTCAATGCGGGTTAATCATAAACATCAAAGCATCAACATGAATATTTGTCTATTCTATTGACATAAAAAAAGGAGCTTTGAACATGAGATTAAAAAAATAAACAAGAAATTCTGTGATTTAGTTGAATAAATCAAACAATAGCTCTAAAACCTTTTTTCTCACGACAATAAAATTTGATGTAAAACTTCAATTGAGTTTCTTGATATTCTTATGTCTTGACAAAGCTGCATCTGAGAGGAAATGTTGAAATAATGTTGTACAAATATCTAGACCAGATCTTTAAAGCTCCTGTGAGGAGTTATTTAACATTGATGAAATAGGCTAGAGTTGATATTAATCCTTTTTATGAAATACAGAGGCAAACAAGACTATCAATGACAAGACTGACGAGTTTCACCTTGTAATTTTTAAAGACTAAAAGTGGTTGTAGGGGGTAACTGTCTTAACATTGTTTGTCCACAGGGGGCGCCAATTTTGATAAAAACTAAAAGACCCTCACAGGAGCTTCAAAGAAAACTACAACTTTGAGCAAAGTCATAGCAAACACTACGATTACGGAGAAATAATGCTGCGTTCGAGTTACCTCAGAAGTCAGATGTCTGAGCTGGGAATGACGACACACCCGAGTTACCGGCATTTCAGTTACGAAGTCGGAAAAAAGCAAAATCGGAGGCGGAAACAAGATGGCTACATCTATGAAAGTAATTGTAGTATTTGCCTTGTCCTTGCTTATATTCGGACAAGGATAACTGAAACGCTGTGAAGTCAGGTGTGACGTCATTCCCAGCTCGGACATCTGACTTCTGAGGTAACTCAAACGCAGCATAAGACCTACCCTGCCGTTGATCTCCCCCTTCCACCACCCGTTGGACATCTTGGTGTAGATTTTGATGATGTCTCCCTGCAGTAGAGAGAGCTCTCGTGTGTCTCTGGAGCAGAAATCGTAGCGTGCCACTGCAATACCCACCACCCTGGGAGAAAACACTGACACAAAGAGATCCAGTCTTATTATTTTGAAGTCATCTCCTCTAAATTTTCAGAGAAAAGCTTCAAGCAGAGAAAAAAACTATTATTCTGGGCATCTTGGCTTTGCAGCTCTCTGTGGTCATGGATCCACCAAGAGCTGTCAAACTCACCAAATTAGTTATGTCCAGTGAGATCATTCAATCCCAATCTTCTCCAACAGTATGGCTAACAAAGGCTCTAGGTGTTGCTTTTTTAAGTTTTTATTAGTCACTTTAGGGTAGGAAAAAAAACAACAGCTTTGAAGTGCAGAAAAAAACCTTTCTGATGTTGCAGTATCTTATCTGAAGCACCCTGCCATTCAGAGTGTGGAGAACTCCTCACCTGTGTCAGCCTTTTGAAGCCTTTTGAAGCTATTTTTTCCTTTGTATTCAGAAATCCTGGGCTTTGTTAAAGTTATCCTCTAAACTCTGAGGTCTATCACCTTTGGAGAATCAGTAAGAGCAGGGATGTTTGGTGACTAACTTCTGTCTTAACCCCAGAATGATCTCTTTTTTTGATTTTAATAAGCTTTTTAAAAAAAAAGGCAAGTGTTCAAGGTCCATTTCTGAGGACTAAGGGGCTCTTTGGCACGAATTTGACTCAATTTATCAAGTCTCAACTTGGTTTAATAAATTATGCGTATTCATAGGACCTCAACTTTTGTATGCAAGTGATTTAAAATTAAGAAAACATGACAGCAGGAGAAATGCATTTAGCCAACCAGCATGGCAGTGCAAAACCTGCACCAGAGATTACAGGTCATAGGTTATCAATATCAGGAGTTGATCCTATTAAAAGTTAACGTCAGACACGGGTCAGGTGCTGCATAAGAACTTCAGGTCATGCAAGGTTATCCCGGTACATGCAGGTCAGGGTTTATGTGAACGCAGGTGCGCATAGGTTTGTTTGCCTTATCTGTGGAAACACAGGTGACACAGCTGAGCAGATGCGCTGCACGAAAGGAAGCTAATCCCTCATGCCAACACAGACGCCCAGCCGACTCGTACATACATGCATGCATCTACAAACAGGTCATTCTCATACACATGAATGCATGCAGCAATTGGAAAATACAGCCATTTTAGTCAACTACTCTGTTTTTCTCATGCTTTGTGTGCTAATTTTCTCATTATTTCAACATGTTTGTTTTAATTATCAACCCTGAAGCGCTGCGTTCAAAAGTCAATCAAAGCTAAGTGGATATTTTTACTTTTTTACATATTAAATAAAGTAAATTGGCAGGTGAAACCACACAAACAAGTGTGTATGTGCTCTAATATGTTCAGGTTTTTATAATTATTGATGTTGCAGAAGAGCTCCAGCTCTTTGCCACTACTTGTTTGATAGTTTAGTAGTTATTTTCTCCAAGTAGGAGATATTGCAGCTGTCAGAAATTCACAATATTTTCAATCTGGCATTAAAGAAAAGTGAAGTGAATGTTTCTTCCCACATGTACGTTCTGTGCAATGCGACGTAAAAAGCGGCACCATTAGACTCTATTATTTAACAGAGATGGAGGGAGAAAAAAAAACAAGACAGATAACAGACTTTGGAAACCCCGGAAATGTGGGCAAACAGCAAGGGAGAGACAAAGAGAGAGTGTAGAAAAGCTGTACCTGTACCTGACCAAAAAGGCGAGGAGGTGGGAGGAACAAAGCTGCAGCCGCCAGGAGGAACTACAGAGAAACGAGGCGAGTGATGGGGAGAGAGGGGGATGTTAGGCCGTGGTGGGAGAAAAGACAGAGCAAAAGCAAAGAAAACACAAGTTTGACAGAGAGAGAGAAAGATAAAGAGAGAAAGTGAGTGAGGGTAAGAGGAAAAGTTGGCAAAGTCAGAAAATAAGCAAAAAAGCAAAGATGGAGGGAGATGAGGGCAGAACATAGAGTGTCAGAAAATCCGTTGTTCATCTGACATAATTTTTAATGCAACCTTTAAATCACTGACTTCTGATTCAGTCCACTCATAAATTATCAGTCATGTTTTTTTGTTCCTGTTGTAAATATCTTTCACTTATTCGCTCCTCTTTTTGATCATGTGAACAGAGTGGAGAATTATAATTTTACTGCTCCTCTGGGGACTGTTTGGAGCAATAAAAGGAGACCGCGAAGAGACAAGACTTTCTTTGAGACGAACAAGATTGAACTGAGAGGAGAATCAAAGCTTTAATTTGGAGCTCCCTGTGTTTGTTTTGTTTACGTCTCACTTCTGGAGATCTCCTTATTGTTCATTTTATGTCTCATCTTTGTCTGCAGCCTGCCTTTGAAGTTTCTCATCGCAGGAGCGCAACCAAGATTTGAACCTGCGATCTCCTTTTTTTTTTCAAAGAAAGGACAACTTCACTTCATTTCTGAACATCGGGAGCTTTGAAGCTAAAAGGCTGCCTCCAAGGGTGCTGAAATATTGCGCTGGTGCAGCAAAAGCAGCCTGGCAGCAGGTAGCATCGTGCACACGAACTCACGCATGCATTAAACTCACCAAGTAAAAATATAAGGTCCTACAAGTGGGTGCAGTTACCACCAGAGTAGTTTTTGTGTTGATCTAAATGCACTCTGGGTTATGCAAGTTCAATGACTCTTGGGTTTGTTTGGCACAAAATGCTGCAAGACTACAATCAGGTCTTCCCATACAACCAGTAAGCTACAGGCTCCAATGTAGGCCTTCACCAAAAGTTTGCCATGAGTAACATAAAAAAAAAAAAAAAAAAGAGAGATCCTGTAGAAGGTTTAAAGTTTCCTACTTGTCTTTTTGACAAATCTGAGAGCACCTACTTGTCTCTGTTTTCTCTTTGCTGAGATCTGGGATTAAGTTTTTGTAGGGACCGTTTTAGGATCTCAGAGCGCTAATACTAACCCTTTCATTCCAAGATGAATCTTAGAGCTCATTTTTTATTCAGCTGAGATCTCAGAAGAAGACAACTGTAAGAAATATCAGAGAGCTCCTGCAGGGCTCATTGTGAGACTGAACCATGTTTACTTTTCCAGAAGACCAGCAAGCAAGAAAATGGTAAAAATCTCCCTTTGCTCTTGATTTGTAATGAATTTTGTCTGGAAGATAACAGACAAATACGATCACATGCTAAACTTTACTTAACTTTGCCTGATTTATTTAGCAAAGAGACTAAACACAACTCACCTACTCTCTTGAGGTCTTTGTAGCGAGACCTCCAGGCCTGTCTATTACGGACTGCTGCGGGGTGACGCAGCTCAAGGAAGAACATGGTCTCGCTACAAACAAGCAGCTGCTGGAAGAGAGAAGGTGAGTTGTGTTTAGTCTCTTTGCTGATGAAGTTAGGTGCTGTTCTGAGCATTATTTGTGGCTATAGAGTGACGTTTTGGTTGAGGTTTGTTTATGGCTCCTCAGACTGCTGTGTATTGCTAATTTGCGGTTGTTACTAAAGTTGGTATAACTAGAGAAGCAAGCGGTTGCCAACATTCATCTCTCGAGGGGGTGTCTAAATTGGTGTTGCAGTGTGTTTGACTCTAAATTAATTTTACCCTGGAATATCCCTTTAACTTCGAATTTTACAGGAAAGAAAGCTAAATAACCGTTTAGGTATTATCTACGAGGCTTGTACATTTCTTTGTGACCTTGGCACGGAAAAGGGTTTTTCTAGCTAAGCTGCAGCTTGTTGCTAGCTTGTTTTGACAGCTTGTATCTTGTAATATTTTCTTCTGTCGAACCTTCGAATCAATTGATCCGGACTTCTTTAAATCACTGACGCAGCCTCTTTGTGCTGTAATAACATACGGCTGTCTTTGATTCGAGGATGCTTTTCATCCACCAGCTTTAGCCAACATAAATGATACTTCTGTGTTGCCGCGGAAACGTATACCTCCAGCCAAGCTTTGAATGCTTTTGGAGAGCTTTTCCAAAACTGTTGTGGTAGCAGTAAATTGGTGCTTGTGCTTTTTGAGCGACACATCGTATATAGGTGTAAAGATCAGGTGTCCAAATGTCTGGATACTTGTCACCATGCTGTGCTGCCTCTACAACCTTTCCCAGGTTTTACTGCATAACAAACAGCAAAAACAACATTTTGAGGATCAGACCAGGTGGGTCGCGGCAGCAGCATGGGGGTAAGTATACGTCTGGGCACAGCACGGTGCCCTGACAAGGCAGCGGCTGGGAATCCATGCCACAGAGCCGGCGACTTGTGCTCCCATATGAAATCCCATCTGAGCCAGCAGACCCTTACGCTGAGAAAACCGCCTCCTGTCATCGCCACAATATGGTACCGTGGCTTCTTCCTCTCCCCCACAGGGATAAGTAAATGCAGGCCAATATGTGTCAGCTTTGTGACCGGAGTGCACTCAAACAACTACACACACACACACTCACGGGAAGTATAAACAAGCACAAACTGGAGACGCACTTTGAAAAAGCATACGAGTACTTTACAAGGAGCTATAATCTAGATTCTCCTTTTGAAACAACGAGCTGCTGATGTTTGTTGAGCCTCGGGGAGATCTTCAGTGATTCTTTGATGAATCCTTTGACTTTTTTGGATCCAGGTCTAACAGATTTTGAATCATCATCATCACAATTTATAATTTATAGTTAGCCCCTGAAAATTTCGTTTGAGATAATAAGACTGCAAGGTCACGAGTCTCATCAACCACCTTGTAAAATCTTAGAGTAGAAAAAGGTTCACTATGATTTATAAATGTCGGTTTTTACAATCTTCTTCTTACAAGCCATTTGACTAAATACCAATACATTCATGAATCTAGTTTGTCCATTCTAGGCTACAGTAGAAACACGGTGGCCTCTGTGGAAGAGGGCCCACAGAGTATAAGTTATTATACACTGATTAACTCATTCAGTTCCAGGTTCATTTATGCAGTTTTCACCCAGTGCCACCATTGACTGCAATAGAAATTTACGTATCTTTCATGACCCACAGAATATCTTGTGCTTGGACTAGAATTAAGTGTGATATCTCAAAAGAAAGGGGTGAGTCTCTTCTTTCACCAGAAAAAAAAAGTTAGTCTCTAACCTACTCTTGTGTTTAGTGATTGCCTGCTCGATGTAGCGCGGTCATATCGTCTTCGCCGATCTGGAAAAAGAAACCTGGGAAAAAACACATTTTTACGAAGGAGAGACTTTCAAGCAGAACTCTGATCGTCTATTTCATTTCACTTCAAACTACTTCACCAATTGTACTCCCAGCCTTGTGACGGCTGGGAGTCATAGTGGTTCTCGAGAACCTTACGCCGCAACGTAAACCACAAGGACAGCTCGCGTCCTCCTCGCCGGGACTGTCGCTGAATCCCACCTCAGTTTCGCTCAACAGTACCGTCACTGGCAGCACGACGGCATGCCGGAAAATTGTTTCTTTGATTGTCTGCTGACGATGTGAAGGTCCAGTACCGGGATCTCCACTGGATCCAGAGACGGTAGCACCGCACCCACGGGAGCCGATGTGCTGAGACCATTTGCTCATGGCGAATGACTTCTGTATTTTCCTACTCTCCTCGTAGAGAAAAAATACTCCACAGCTAGGCTGATTGGCACACTGTTCACTGGCGAGTACTAGTTTTTGTTATTGTAACATGGTTATGATGTATTTTTTGTTTTTTTCTGGGTTCAGAACGACCCCAAAATGAGTCGCATGTTGGGGAGGAGCGTCCCCTGGTGGGAAAAAAATAAAACTGAAAATCCGTCCAAATCCGTCATTGGAACTGAATGAGTTAAGACGTACTATTGAGCGATAATTCCGTTAAGACCCAGTCTGATTATCTAAATACTGAAAAAAAAAAAAAAAACATGTTGACGTTCAATCAACTTAGCAAAGTTCCTGATTTTCCAAATACATGCACAAATCTTACTTTAACTAGACAATAAAGATAGAATACGATCATCCCTTCACCTGGACCGTAAAACCAATAGCGGAATAAACGTGTGAGCACTACCAGCAAAAAGTTGACAAAACCTGAATGACAGTATTTTGCTTTATAATTAGGCTTTATTTCTAATTCTTTCAGAAGCTTCCTATCATGAATGTATGACTGTAAATTTTGCAGCGAGAAGGCGATGGTCGGTTTGGGGTTTTCAGTGGGCCTGACAGAATTAGAAACCCAGATGAAGCAGATATTTCACCACAGAAACGATCCGCCTGGTAGATTTAATTGTCTTCCCAGCCTTACCATTCACAAACAGACAGATAAGAGGCAATCAGACAGACTTATTTAAGGATGCTGTCTGGGTTTCCAAACAAATTACTCCAGAGTTTTGATGGCATTTCAGCAGTTCTGCATCTTGTGAATGTTTGCTCAGCCTTGCGTTCTGTTTTCTTTTGCTATGAGGAGTCTGTTTTGAGATCCAAACCATTTTGCGTGTGTGTTTTTTTGTTCTGGCGTGACATCTGTCTTTCCATGGAGGCTGTTTACCAGACAGAGAACGCGGTGCCCACACTAAGTCTGTCTATGGGGGTGGACGACTTAAGGCAATAATAATCTATCCCAGAATGCACTAAGGCAACGGCGGGTCTGTCAAGGCTTTCTCATAGATGGGAGCGTTGTGAATGGCACTGATGCACAAACACACCTCTTGCGGAGCTGCTTTGAAGCCTGATGCGCTGGGAGACCAAGGCTGTCAAAGGAGGCACAGGGACAAGGATGTAGCAGAATTTTACATCCGAACAGACACAAAGGGCTAACTTTGACTTTGTACTAACACTTCTCCGCCTGCCTCGGCTCCTGTCGCCGTAGCTGTGGTTGTTTACACATACACCTCCCTTTAAGTTACGACAGTCTACCTCCAGCTGCTTTCCGCTCTTTTACATCAGATCATATTTGCAAACTTTTCCCCCAGTTTTGCAGAAACAGGCCAATTCCCTCGGTTGGACCAGGGGTATCCCCGAGGAGTGTGTCAGCGGGCGGCTGTCACATGGTTTTCTCTGCTGCCAGCCCAAGTGAAATGTCATGTCCTGTCAGGAAAATTGTGAAGCCATCTCAGAGTTGAGCAGCGTGCAGAGTGTGACGTTTGGAGTAGCAGGCTCCTGGTGCTTGCCTGGGGCGTCGGGCCCTAACTGGGACCTCTCTGCCAAGCCTGGTGAGCTGCCGAGGCTCCTTTCTATTCCTTTCACTCACTGTCTCTCTCACTTTCTCTTTTGTCTTCTCTCTCTCTCCTACCTCCTATCTTCCCTTTGTTCCCTGCGTCTCTATTTTCTCCCGTTTACATCTGGTATTAACACACCATCTGTATTTGGATGTCTTATTAATTCAACCTGAGAATGCACAATGAACACAATGTGCTCGAGAGCTTCAGGCTCAATTTTAGCAAGGTGTAAGAATTATCTGCACAGTCTGGCTGCAGTTTTAGAGAAGCAGTCCAACAGTTTTGTATCTGCACTCTTAAAGGTATGGTAGGCAGGATTCTGTTAAAGAAGTATTTTCTTTGTGGTGTATGTACAATATGAAGCTTTTAATATCAGTCAATAGCTGTTAGTTATTGATGACATTTGGTAATATAACAATATCGCTGTGTTCTCTTATGTCTGTGTAGTCAACATTTTAAATTTTTGAGCGGCCCGTTCTTTCTGGCTGTAAACAAAGCCATTCTCCGCCTCCCCCAACCTGATTGGTTGTGAGGCAGACGCTGCTCCCTCATGTTGTGAGGCACGCTCCATGACCCCCAATAACGTTCACGAGCCCAAACAAAGTTAGCGCGCTACAATATCAGATCATAGAAACCAACTAGGAAGTAGGGAAAATACAGGTGAGAAAATGAAGTAAATACCGGAGACTCTGGCGGAATAACGGTCGCTTAAAACAGAGGTAAACCTGACAAGAGCTAATAAGCCGGGTCAACATCAGCATAAATGATAGAGGACGCTTCAGGATCTTCCAGACCCTGTAATCTTTCTACTGGACAGGTAAACCGCTTTAACAAAGTAAGCCATGTGTCTGTAACAGAAGTGTTTCTTGTCAAATGGCGTGTTGTAGCGACGCTAAACTGTTGACCTCGGGTCCTGGACTATGTCACTTTATCCTAGTTGTAGAAGTCCTGCAAACGTGTTTGTTGGTAGTCTGTTAGCATCTACAGTAGCACCAATGCTTTTTACTTTCATGCTGTCTGGGCCCCATTTGTAAATATCTGAAGTATTTATCTGCATTATGTCTGAATTTAATTGGAACGATACGAGCGAGCAGGAGCGTCTGTTTGTGGGCGGGGCTTGTTGGAGCAGAGACACTTCCTCAGGTCCTGCCTACCCCACCTTTAATATAAAGCTGAAGGCATTGATGGATCCCTATTTCCAAATTGGTATACGGATCGAACCATCTCTCATGTGCAGGTCCTTTTTTTGCCAAGATCAACAAACGTTTGGAGTCTCTGGACTCCTCATTTTACGCACTGTACCTTTAAGAAATAAGCTTCTCGGGCTAGCTTTGTGTCCCCCTTTTCAATTTCCTATACTGAGCCAAAATCACACAAATCCCTCCACACCTCAACCGTAAAGACTCCAAAAGGAGACATTAATTTTCTATTTCATCTCTCAGGTGAAAGGTTACTCCACGTCTTACAAAAAGCCCAGATGACTTTTTAATGAATGGGTTTTGTTGCACTTTTTATTTGCATTTCTGCCTCTTTTTTTCTCTTGCCTCCCTTTTCTTTTCAAATTTTTTTGTCTGCTATGTCTGCCTCACTCATTGTATCCCCAATCCTGTCTCTCCATCTTCTCTTTCTCCTCTCTCTCTCCTCCTCCTCCTCCTATTGTAGCAGGGTCTCCCCCTTTAATGCTCTTTCTTCATGCTCCCATGGAGTCGATGAGCATTTACCTCTCTCTTTGGGGGCAGAGGCTGGACTTAAGGATAACAAAGAGCCTCTTACAAAAACACGGTTCACCTATTAACCACAAACTTATGGCACTTTTGCAGCATAATACTCGACACATTGTCCACCTGACTCTAGTTTTTCCATAAATCATCCATGACCCTGATGGACCAGCTCTGCCATACAACATGCATATCATCAACCAGATAACCTGAGAGTCATTACTGGTTAAAGACTTGGCTTCTTCCTTGTTTAATTAAGCTGAGTATCACATTAGCTCCTCTAGAACAAGCAGGTCATACACCTTCGCTGTAATCAGCTGACAGCCGGAGTAAATCACAGTTTCTCTTATTCATCATATTCCTAACTCACAACAAGGCAGTCCATTTAGATATGACTCCCGAGCCACTGATCCAAGGAACGCAATTTCTGCTGCGCTCGTGCCTTAACATGGCTGAAGAGTGAGTATAATATGAAATGTCTGAGCTCTAATGTGGGATCCTGCAATGCTCTCATTGTGTAGCATGTTGCTTGGCTGACTCAGGGGACATAATGCAAGCATAACCATTAGAGTCAGGTTTATGTGTGCTGCTTTTTTTTTTTTTTTGCACAAAACAGCTGAATTAATACAAAATGTGCTACTACACTACGTTTCTTTCCTTGCGGGGATTAAAAGTTACACAATCCTGATACTTCCCCCTTCTTTTTTCCAACTTGTAATTCGTTCAATCAACAACTCCATCACAACTCTGCAAACTCCATTAAGTGATAATGAGATGTGATTAAAGCGGCTCTGACTGTGCAGAAGTTTTTTTGAGATTGGATGTATAGTGACAGTAAAGCTTCATCTGCGGATGTAAATTTCAACACCTTTTGATCGATCGTGTCATGTGAGATTGGGGGGAAAAAAGGTCACAAATCATCTTAGATACTATTTCCTTGTGTTTAAAATAATGACGACATATTTACACTCAGCTCACGAAAGGTTTAGATCAAATATCGTCGAGTCTCATGTATAAAATACAGTCTAAACGAGGATACACACGGACAAAGGAGGGCTCTCTTAACTTCATTGCAATGAGACATTAACACAAACAAAAACTGAGAAGTAGGTCTTTTAAGGAAATCTGCTGCTGCTGCCCCTCGCGTTATTCCACTAGGAAACTTGTCAGCTCGTTACGCCGTGTTAAATATTTCTGGCATGTCTCGCACGTCAAACATAGAAACGCCTCGGGTAATCAAGACAGTTTTAACTTCAGAGTCTAATCAGCAAGAAAATGCTCTGTCAACATGATTTTGTAATATGAGCTGGGACTGTTTGTTTTTAACAGTGATTCAAGCTAAGAGCAAACAGTTCATTAACACGTCTGTGTTATTTGTGAGTTAAGTCTCAACATTACAAAACAAAGTAGGGAGTGGATTGATTTGGATTTAATGAACTGGATTACTGAATTGTACAAGAAAACTATATTTTCTGATTAAAGCTACTGTGAGGAGTTTTTAAGTGGTCATAAAACGAAAATTTCTTTATCATTTTCTTGAAGTAATAATCATCATATTAATAATTTTGCACTGCAGACACGGTAGTTCTTCTAACTTAGCGTCTCAGTCTGATTGCATTTCCATGAAGAAATGATCATAAATGTTCTTCCTTGAGCTGCGTCACCCCGCTGTAGTCCGTAATGGACTGGCCCGAGGTCTCGCTACAAACAAGAACATTTATGATCATTTCCATGAAGTAATGATCATAAATGTTCGTCCTTGAGCTGCGTCACCCCGCTGCAGTCCGTAATGGACTGGCCCGAGGTCTCGCTACAAACAAGAGGCTGCTGGAAGAGAGTAGGGGAGTTGTGTTTAGTCTCTTTGCGAAAGAAATCAGGCAAACTTAAAAAGATGTTTGGTGGCTAGTACTATGGCTGGGACCCTATATGTACTGTTGATGAAGTTAGGTGCTGTTCTGAGCATTATTTGTGGCTATAGAGTGGCATTTTGGTTGATGTTTCTTTATGGCTCCTCAGACCTCTATGTATCGCTATCTTGCGGTCGTTACTAAAGTTGGTATAACTAGAGAAGCAAGTGGTCGGCAACATCCATCTCTCGAGGGGGTGTCTAACTCGGTATTACAGTGTGTTTGACCCTAAATTAATTTTACGCCGGAATATCCCTTTAACCCACTAAAGTGGAGAAAAGCATCAATTCCAAGACTGACGAACTCTTAATTGTAAATTTAAAGGCTGGGTGTCACACTATATGATGATCCATTATGCTGTAATATATAGCAACTGACTTGTTACATGATGTAAAACCAGCTGGATGAGATTTTTTACCAAACAACATAATTTACTCACCAAAGAACAAGATCAGGAAAAAAAAGAGGTGTAATTTTGTCCACAGGGGGCACCAAAACCGAACCAAACTGAAAGTTCCTTACAGGAGCTTTAAATCATTTTATATTGTTATGATTTTGTGCATTTTTTTGTGCTAATTTTGGGGGGTTAACAGTAGGGAATCTTTGGTTTGCCTTAACTTCGGCACCCCCCTGTAGACAAAAGTGGTATCTCCTACCCCTTGGCTGATTTTGTATCACTTTAAGTGACTCCTACCCTCCCTCAGGAGTTTCAGGCAAAGAGAACAATCATATTGGAATAATCAGTCTTGTGTGTGATGGTCTTATTTGCTTTCAAAGGTTATTAAGAGCCATCATTATTAATTTTAGCCTGTTTTAACCAGTTGCAAACCCCTCACAGGAGCTTTAAAATTGGAAACCTAAACAAAAAGGAAGGAAAACCAACTCCATCCTGTGCTCCAAACAGGGAAACAGACATGCTCAAATTTTCCTTTTAACTATAACTGGACCAGGATCTGATTTGACCTCATAACACTTCCACCTGTCAGGCAGATCTGAGGTGTCAGCTGGGGAAAGGGGATGTTTGTGAAGCAGACTCACTGCTGCCAGCCCTGGTAATGGCCCTGGGCACGTTTCCATTGGAAAGTTCCCTATAGGGGATCTGCAGAGTGGTGTCAAGGCTGCTGAAACCCTCCTTCAGAGAGTGCTGCTTGTAGTATTCCACCAAATCCTGTAAGAAAAGCAAAATTAAATAAAAAATATTCTTACAATGATACAATGAAAGAAAAGGCATATTCACAGTTTGGATAAGAGATGTTTGTTTGATACTGGCGATAGAACAGCAACTGCAACTCAGTTTTAAAGGTCTTGTATTACATGTTATATATCTTTTGAAAGCAGTTGTTGAATTTCCACAATTGTGTGATTAAAAAAGCTGGGCCGTGTCAACCTTTACTCTTCATGAAAGCTGCAGTTATCCCCAGAGAATAAAAATCTGAACTAAGTTGAAGTCTTTACCATCACGGTCTTGAACAGGCGGCTCTCAGCGATGTAAAAGCAGCCATCCTTGGTCAGAATCTTAATGTGCTTGACTTTTTCGTTGAACCTGTGGAGGATGAATAAGACATTGGTGGCTAATCAACTATACATGCTCTCACATTAAATCCAGTCTCTATGGTGAGCCATCACAGAGTCTAAGTGAGCAGACTGTCAGTTACTATGCTGCGGGGAATCCGGCCCAAATTCACCCACAGGAGATGATAATGGGAGATTTCCTGCTCTTACCCTGTGAGAGCAATTCACACAGTTTACCAAGTTCCTCATCCTTTAAAATAAATAACATTACATGTCTATCTAAAGTACGGAAATGGTATCTCTGCGGGAATGTTATAAAGTGGATAGAAATAGCTCTTTTTGCTTTAAATTGATTACTTTATTAGAGTTGTGTAGATTCATTCACCATAATACAATCAAACAGACTCCATATCACACCATTACTCCATCTTCTGCAAGTCTATTGTATAACCATTTAGACTAAAATGTATCTAAATGATACAAAAGGTGCATCAACTAACAACACATTAAATGATTTTTCTGGAAATAAAAACCCCCTAAAATATAGCAGAACAATCAGAGATGTAACGATTAAACAATTAAGAAGTGATTTGCTCCATCAAAGTCTAATCAGTCAGCCTCCTCAGAGGAGAGAGAGCACACAGACAGAGCTCTGAGTGAAACAACAGACAAAACAAAACCAGAGAGCCCCAACACTAAGAGCTCCCCCTGGTGGCTGTCTCGTGTCAAACTAGAAAATTAAAATTCACATTAAAGCTCCATAAGGAGTTTTTGATTGGTGATGAAACACACTGAAATGAACATTACTGCATTTCTATGATTTATGAAAGCACATAATACCAACAAATGTGTTATTACTAGTGCGTATAACTGCTGTGGGGGGGGGGGGGGGGTAGGTACATTGAAGAAACAGCCTTGGTAACTTTTCCTACAGCAAGTATTCATAGTTCTGTTGTCAATTAACAACTGTTTTTACAAGGAAGAGATGAAATCAGTAACAATTTGATGAACACTTTGTCCACAACGGGCACCAAAATAAACAGAAAGTTTCTCACAGGAGCTTTAAATTACATTTTTGTGCAAATTTACATTATTTTGTGTGATAAATGCCCATGCACCAGGGCATCTTTAATATTCTAGTTGGTTTATTTGAGGTGAAAATGTGTTGGGCTTACACAGACACTGAAGGCAACCTGAGATACAGACACATCATTCGCTGAACCAAGATCTTATACAATATGCAGCCATGCTAAGCTCATGTGCCTGCATTTCTGTGTTTTTCAGTGACACATTGTTGGAGTCGAAGTGTGCAACAAAGTTTCAGTGATAACTATGAGCATCACTCTGTCATCAAACCCCCCAGAAAATTCGGATTAAGTCTATTTTTTGAGCCTTAAAGCGGTCCTACTTATAAATCTTTTCAGTGCAAACATATTGTATAAAAAAATCCATCTTGTAACTTGTTTTTATGTGGAATTTGGACACAAAAGAGGTCCCATAAAAGCAAGTATAACTTTGTTTAATAGAGTTTAACATGTGCAGTTTAGGATTAAGCAGCTGCCTTTGTGCTTATTTAAAGACAGTAATATAAAAAATCGTTTGTTTTAATTTTAGAATTAATTAAGAATTGACTTTTCTTCTTTTTTTGTCTACTTTCCATTTCTGCTTTATTTTCATGTCAAAATCTTAAACTAAGCACTATTATCTTTGTAGATACCACCTTGTAGGCTCAAATACTTCATGACAGTATAATATATGATAGTGGACACTGTACAAGATCTAGAAGCATACATTTTATACCTGATTTAATAATTAAGTGATTAAATAATTAAATCTCATGGAAGACTCAGACTAAGTACTCTACCTTGTTGGTAAGTAACATAGGATGATCTTGAAATATACAAACATAATTCAGTGAGTACTTCCTGCATAGGGTTGGTATGTCCTGTCAAACCAATCGTAAGCACAGTACAGTAGACAGCACGTCTCCAGCATGATGGCGTGCCAGTTACACTGAGGATGGACCTGCATCGTAAACAACGCAGTGCTGTTTTTCACCTGTCCTGTTGCAAATTCACTGATCCATTATGCATATATGGTGAGTTATACATTATTCATATGTTTTCAGTTATATGGTGCATAACATATGGAGGAAAATGAGCCTGGTTTGGTGAAGGCACATCACTGCGTTTAATACTTGTCTCTGGTGGTCAGCTACAGCATTCTAAGGTCTGCTATTTCTTTATAGCAGACTGTTGCTATGATGAACAGACAAATACATATTGATACCCTTATAGATATGTGTTCAGTTAATAAATAAGAAATTATCAACGGATTATAACAAAACTCAACCAGATGCATTGCAGAGTCTTAATTACTGCAACAGTCTGCTATTTCTTTATAGCAGACTGTTGCTATGACAAACAGATTCTTACATATCAATGCCATTATAGATGTATGATTAGTAAAAAAATATTTAATTGTCAACAGATTCTAACAAAACTCGACCAGATGCCTCACAGAGAGTCCTAATTATTGCAGTGGTCTGCTATTTCTTTATAGCAGACTGTTGCTATGACGAAATGGGCCCTTTCATATCAAGACCATTATAGATGTGTGGTAAAATAATAGATATGAAATTGTCCGATTATAACAAAACTCAATCAGATGCATCACGTTGAGCCCTAATTATTGCAGCCTAACTCTGCCAAATCTAACAAGAACATTCAAGATTCACACACAAACAGGTAAGACTCACATACAGTAGCTGGAGTGCATGCACACATATTACATCTGTAAGCGCTTTCACAGCTCTCAGGTGCAAGATCTCTCTGCTAATGAGTGAAACTAAGCTTCCTGTTAAAAGAACACTATACCAAGCTATAAAGCAAGCAAAAATGTTGGACTTATTTTTTATTTTATTGTATTTTTTAATCGACCTTTATTCAACCAGTGAGTCCCATCAAGATTACAGATTTGAACAAGATGTAACTAAAAAAATTTGTTATTAATATGTCAGTGATGTTTTTGTAAGAATTTACTGAGGCAGTCGACAGCTGTTAAACACAGTGATGACTGTGAACAGCAGCCTGCAGAAATACAACAGTGATACCAAAGCCCTGCAGCTTTCCTTTTAGCCAGAATATTATAATTTCTGTAGTTTGCATAAAGAAATGTATGCTTATGGGTTCATGCATGAATTTTGTATGTTACTGCAAGATTTGGCAGAGATATGCCGTCATGGGACATGCTCAGTTAAATCTGAGAAAAAAGGCTTTATAGTGAACTACTGCTTAGGATGCAGCTTTTAGTGTGAGTCTAATAGACCATTAAGTGGAAAAATATATATATTTTATGATTTCAGAATCACTATTTTATGTCGAATGTTTAATTCTTGAGTAAGAAGTCAAGCCATCAGAAGGGGTTTATCCAGGGGGCAGCCAGATGGTATAGGCCCGCTTGAAACTGATTGGCTACAACCCCAAATCCTTAACAATGATTGGCTTCTTGCTTTGCAACATTGGAACTTGTGTTGAAATTGACTATTTGGTCTGTTTGTATAGGCTACAAGTGGTCTGGGTGGCAGAGCTTCAGTTATCAGGCCCCTCTTCTCTGGAGCGTTGAGGCGCAGGGGGTAGAGACACCCTCCCTACCTTTAGGAGTAGGATCAAAACTTTCCTGAAGTCATGAACACACAGTCTTTTCATGGGGGCCCATGAGCTCCATCATGCTGTAGGTTCCTCTGGATCGCTGCTGCAGACCTGCATGCTTTCCAGTATCACCTCTGTCCATCTCTCTCACTTTATCTCCCTCTGCACCCTCTCTAAATCCAATGTAGTCTTAGCAGATAACTATCCAACATGGGTCTGGTTCTGCTTAAGGTTTCTGCCTGTTAAAGGAAGTTTTCCCTCAGTTTCCCTGTAACTTGCTAGATGCTGTCAAGTGTCACACTCGTGGATAAAGATAGGATGGGAGTAGGTCTGATCCCTTCTTAACATTGGGTCTTTGTAGACAGAGTCCAGTCTAGACCAGTTTTTACAAGAACTAGAATATTTACACTATGTTTCCAGTCCATTCCCGCTTGTCTAGGGCCCTGCTTATCCAGTCGGGGTTCCCTTCATTTATCACCACCTGCTACTACAAAACACCCATGCATATCTACTCAGAAATATGCACACACATTCCAAGTATACACAAATAGACCTCTTGTAGTGTTTGACATCAGTGAGTTCCAGTTGATTAGTAGCTGCTCTCTGTATAAAGCTCCATTATCTCAAACGGCCATCCCGATAATGATCTTAAGCAGCGAGACAGGCAATTAGGATTGCAGCATTCACAAACCGGCCCCGTACATCAAAGCTTTGAATGCAGGGCCGGTATGAGTCCACCAGAACCAAATGGGCTTGAATGGTGTGTCACTGGCTAAACAATCTGAACATCCAAACACTATTTCAGAGTGCGCACTCAATCTGTGTAATCTCCTCGAGCCGTCATGCCAGGTCGGGGGGGACTCGATATCCTTTTCTTTTTTTAAAGACTGAACAAGCTTTGATGTAGCCTGAGAGATATTCACCAGTGAAATGGACAGTGTTGTATTTCAAAAGAGGCACTCAACTTGCAGATAAAGCAGCCATATATTGAAGCCTAAAGGGATGAATGTTTTATCTGTGATTCAAGTGCGGTGCTAGCTCTTTCTGAAATACATTTCTGTGTCTGATAGTGTGGCGAACAGTATGATGCAAAGCTATCAGGCTGTCCTTGAAGAGAAAGAGAGAGAGAGACAATAGAGAGACAGTCAAAAAAAAGGATCATACAATTTTTAGCTTTAGGGTAAACAAAATTACGACAAATCGCTTTAAGTTTGAATGAATCATATAAGATTAGACAGAACGGTCCTCAGACACTCAGGAGAAATAATTTCCTCTGCTTAGCCATTCAGAAACTTTTGGTTTTATGTTTCCAAGTTAAACATCACCTCTGTGTTATTGGGTCAGAGCTGTGTGTTTGATGTTCAAAGCGTTTTAAAACAGCACTTAAGGAAGGTAAAAGCAGCATCTCGTCTTCGATAAAGAGACGTGGGCTTCATTGTGAACAGTTTTCAAAGAAAAAATCCTCTCCTCTACAAAGAAGTTGCAATGAAAAAATGTTTCCTGGCGAGGTCAGGTTATGAATGGACCACTTGTCTCACATGTGATGAGACAGGCATCTGTGAGGCTGAAAGCTCATAGATAAAGGAGCCGTTGGTTTTCTTCAGCTTTTCAGGGTTCATAGAGTTCATCTAAGAAACGCACAGGGCCTCTTGGCTCTATAGGGGAGGCCATGATACTCCCACCTGACAGACAGTCTGAGAATCTGTTGTGCTTTTTGAAATGTTGGTTTTTAAAAAGCGTTTGATGTTAATAATGCATTACGAAAAAAAATTGCATTTTCTTAGAATGATTTTCTTTTTGGTGAAATGTCATCATGTTAGGTAAAAAAAAAAATTGAGGTGCTCTGTGAAATGTTGCAGGTTGTAATGATGCTGTTAGAATTCAAGAAAAAATGGTGCAGTGCAAAATATTCTTTTTTCAGTTTGTTTTTGGGGCTTTCTTGTCCATATTAAGATGATAGGAATGTGGACGGAGTAGTAAACTGTGAGAAAAGGGGAACGAGATACCCACTTGGAGGACTATAGCCTCTGCACAGCTTTAACAGCAATAACAGCAGGGCAAAATTAGACCCCTCAAGGCTGTTTCTGTGAAATTTTGAGAAATATTTTTTGTGAAAGTGTTTTCGAAATGTTAAGTTAAAATGATGAAAGGTTCAGAAACGGGGCCACGTCTCTGAAACCAATTCAGTCTCCTGCATCCAATCATCTTTTTTAGAATCAGTCGGGTTTGTTGCCAAGTACGCTCCACACTTGTATTCAATTTGTTTTTTGTGTTGTGGTGCAAAAACAATGAGGAAAAAAAAAACAAAATAGATCAATTTAGAAATATACAATATATACACACACAGAAAAAAAAGCTCTCTAACACCAGCATTGTGACCTTAAAGCTTCTATGAGCAACTTTTAGTCAGTGTTAATCTGCTGCCCCCTATGGTCAAAGCAATCCTTGCTTATCTGGTACTCTAAAAAAAGAGGAGTGTCTTCTCACAGATAATCTCATCCTACTGACTTTTGACACTTAATGTATCAAAAATTGTGAATATTACAGGTAGAAACTGTAAAAACAAGGCTGCTTTCTTGGCTACTCAGCTGACACCCACCCCCTTGCACCGATTTCAGTCAGTAAAAATCACAAATAAATATCATTCATCTTGTTGCTGATGGTCCTCTTTGCTTTTGCACTTCATAAAAAGGCACTGATGTGAAAAACAGTCAATTTCATACACTTAAAAAAAATCCTCACAGGAGCTTTAAGCAGTAAAGGGCAGTAAAATTAACGATATAAAGACAGCCTGAACTCTTTCTCTCTTCACAGATAAATACATAAAGAGATAGATTTGCAAAGGGGAGCTGTACACTTGAGCAGGAAGGTGCAGCATAATGTGGACAATCTATAAACTATAAAAATACTATACCTATAAGCATTAACAAGACAGTGTGCAATGTAAGCAGAGTGTAGATCAATGCAATGCAATAGTTGTCATGAGCCAGAGTTAAACAATAGGGAAAGGACCCAAATGCAGACAAAAAAGGGTTTATTTAAAAAGAAGTGAAAAAACAACTAACTGGGGAAAAACACAAGGAGACTAGGGACTATAAAAGACACTCACTGACCAACAAATGCACATACAATAAACCAACCAGGATAGCGGGCAGACAGGGACTATATACACACTAGGAAACGAGCAACAGGTGAGGCAAACGAGACACAGGTGAAACTCGTTAACTGATTAACAAAGGAGGGAAAACTAAGAAAGTAAAACCAGACTAGAAACACAAGGAATCAACTCCTACAAAATAGTAGTAGAACAGGAACAATCGGGGACAGAAACACTAGGGAATATCACAAAATGCACTCAAATAAAACCAGAAGAAAACTAAATTAACAGAAAAATATGATAATAATCTGATTTGTAGTGTCAACATTACAGTGATAGTATGTCAGAGCATGGACGTCTGAGTCAGGTAGGGGGGTGGGGCCACAGCGTCATCCATTAAAACCACTTAACCTCTGACACGACCTGTGTGCAAACATACATGTGCCTGCCTGACCCCTTCATTCCCACTTGTCTCAGTTGTCAAGACCCTCTCAACTCAGAAACAAGCATGAGTGAAGAGCCAGATGTGTGTTAAAAGAGTGGCCCCGCCTCTGACAGTTCAGACATCTTTGACCTCTGTCATCCCATCCTACCTTGACCCTTTGGTACATTACATTAAAAAAACGTACAGTTGTTTTGTATTGTTAGTGTCGTGTTTTCCGGTGGAAGTGTTTTTCTTTTAGAGGTGGTTTCACAAATGATGTAGCTTTCTTGCAATTTGTGCTGGAAAAGATTTGATTATGTTAAACTCTAAACTTGGCAAACATGGTGACATCTGGTGGCTTGTAAAACTTGTGGCAGCCCTCTATAAAATTCTTGGTATAAAACAGTCTTGGTATAATATTAGTGAAATAAAAGGCACCTGTAAAACACACTTTAAGTTAATGACTGCAGGGGGTGCAATGCAAAAAGATTAACCATGCATGCACTTGAATTTTTTGTATTATTCAAGAGTTATATTCGTTAAACTGAAGCTTAAATGCCTCGAATTCACACAAATGCACTGACACTTTGTACTAAAGCCACCCTGTTTACTAAACTATACAAGCTGCAAACTTTAGGCGTCAAACGCTCACCTCACTTTTTTGAAATCTTGTAGTGTTTTTGTCATATTTGGTGTTTTCTTAAATGTGTTTTGGCCTTTGAATTGTCTTCATGTCTAGTGAATGTCATGGTATTTTTTCACAGTCTTTGTGTTTTGACCTGCGGGGAAATTTGGAGCCATACCATACCACTCTGTGCAGACAGGAGCAATAGTGTTCAGGGGAGATTGGGAGATTTCTTTTACCCTCTCAAACTCGCTATAAGGAGTTTTTTGACAACAAAACTGCTCCCGATTGCATGATGGAGGTTTTGTTGTTGTTTTATTTCTCTGTTTTTGGTTGTGTGAAGAGATACAAAGAGATAGAGTGTGGGAAACCAGCGTTCATGTCACTTACTTTATACTGATGGCGTATTCGGTGCACTCTTTACTCCTGTGTCGCACCAGATAAGTGCTGTTTCCTCGGTCCAGGAGCTCCTCCTCCGCCTGGTATCTCTCCATCGGCCCTGCAAACCTGAACCACGCGTGAACAACTACTGCACTTACACTGCAATCAATCATTCTGAACATGAGGATGAGAACAGTCAACACCGCCAATAAAGCAGAGTAAGAATGACTCGTGGGTTATTGTTCTCAATCTGCAGCCATTTGTTTTCATCGCTTACCAGGGCTGGGCGGAGTAATCGGCAGGTTTTGGAACCTGGCGTGGAAAAGAAAAGTGGTTATTTTGCGTCTTAATGGAGTCGATACAGGGAGGTGGAGGTCATTTGTGGTAATGTGATATTTAAGCCACATCTAATGGCTAAAATCAGTCTTCTGCAGCGAAAAAAGTTCAATTGAATAGCACTGCATTCCTTCGCTGAGACATCAATAGGAGCCATTATCTGCTGAATGCATTGTTATTACACTAAATGCGCCTTATTGATTATGAAAAAGATGCACACTTACACACGGGCAAGGCCTCACAGCATCACTTGGAAAGAAGCCAATCTTGCTTGTTGCCAGAATTTTGCCCTGCAATGGCAATTGGGTGTTAATCGCATTATATTCGTCTGGAAGCAACCACACCTCTCTCTCTCTCTCTCTCTCTCTCTTTCTCTCTCTCTCTCTTCTCTCTTCCCCTCCCACACTCACTTCAATAAATCCTCAGCAATTAGCACACAACAAGCAGCGCATCTAATTTGCAGCCCAAGTTAATTATGGTTCAAACTCAGCCGGCAGTTAGATTTGTGCTGCATCAAAACAAGAGCCTCGTTTAACACTAAATAATGGATCTTATGCCGGTCTTTGAATAACCAAACAGTGGGAGCTTTCTGCCTTGTACTAAAGACTAACAATTGCGTTTTAGCTATCCCGCCTCAAGCAAACACGAGCTTCATATGAAAATCATTAATTCCGTCGACAAACACAATGTAGACAGATTTTTTTTTTTTTTTTTTTGACGCAAATTGGTTAAACAAATTACCCGTTTAGTTTTAACACAGACTTGCTCTTCAGTTTGTTTTATAATCTTAATACTCTTACATCTTTCAGACAGTAAAAAGCACCTACATCGACTTTAAACTCGGCATAATTCGGGTTTCCAAGTGAGCCGAGTTTCAGGTCAATTTGAAGTCCACCGAGTCAATCAAAAGACAGTGAGCGCCGAGCACACATGGAGCTCTTCATTCAGCTTCCTGCTCTGTTTATGCGTTCCTCCTCACTCCTCTCTATTAGAGGATAAAATGCTTTTTGGGACCGTGCAAGCCCTGGCAGTAACTAGATTGGAAAGCGAATCTTTACCCATCTCTATGATTCATTCTGTGTAATAACATTTCATCAAAGGTTTTTTGAGAGCCCCTCTCTATTTGTTATGCCTTGGATAAGCGTACGATAAAGATTAAACTTATTACTCTGTTGGCATAAACAGGCAGCAGCCAAAGGATCAAATGAAATTACAGTGATTGATTGTATTGTTCTGCCACTGGGATAGGGGATAATTGCCTCCTGGGTAACAGGGGATATGAATTCTCAATGTTCTGTAATTCCATCCTCTGGCGCCACTGGGGACGCTGAAGATTAAAGGTACCCTGTGGAGATTTCATTGTAAACAAACTGGGTTTTGTTTGGATCCACTGTTTCTCACCAAAAGCACTGTGTGTGGCTCTTAGACCTTAAAAACTTGATGGAAAATACCAAGCAGAAGAAAGAGAAAAGGGTCAACGTATGAAAATACACATACAGTAGACCCCAGTGAGTAATAGACGACTATTAAGCGTCTAGTTTTTTTTAGACCTAATTTCAACCGTCTAGATTCTGTTTATTTTTAGACAGAATTTAGACTTTGCACTTTAACCCATTATTCCATAACTATTTATTTCAAAAAGCAACTGTGAGCTGCATAACTGATCTCCAAGCACTTAACCAAAATAATTGTGATAGCCATTGAGCAATATACAGTGTAGTATAGATAAGTCCAGATTTAGACTTGGTCTAAATTTGGTCCAAATTTAGACGTCTAAAATTATTTCATTTTTAGACCTGTGGTAGCCTGATTTTAGACCAGTTTTCTAGGCTACATTTAGACATCTATTAGACCTCTTTTAGACCAAAAAAATGCTCAGTGGGATGTTAAAAGATTAACAACCCACTCAGCAACAGACGGCTATTAGACGTCTAGTTTTTTTTTAGACCTAATTTCAACTGTCTAGATTTTGTACATTTTTAGACAGAATTTAGACATTGCACTTTAACCCATTATTAGATTACTTTTTATTTCAAAAAGCAACTGTGAGCTGCATGACTGATCTCCAAGTACTTAAGCAAAGTAATTACGATAGCCGTTGAGCAATAAACAGTGTAGACCTCTGTTAGCTGGCTAGTCTAAACTTGGTCTAAATTTAGACGTCAAAAAACTTTCATTTTTAGACCTGTCGTCTAGGCTACATTTAGGCGTCTATTAGACCTCTTTTAGACCAAAAAATGCTCAGTGGGAAGATGGCTGGGGAGTTTTCAAAGTTAAATATGTGCCTCTTATATGCTATTTTCTGAGAACAGTGAATATGAACTAAGACTATCAAAGCTGAGATACAGGGTCCCATGTTTCAAAGGGGTCTAACTGGAGCACTTTTTGTGCACCAGTCAATTCTAATGGGCTGAATCCTGGATCAAAATTAAGGTGAAAGCATCTGGTGTTCAAAATGTTGTTTGTTTATATATCTCATCTTGTATGTAGTAAATGGAGCTGCAGTGATGCCAGATTTCAGACTTGGACTAAAGCCATATCTATCCATCTGGGTTTTTTTTCTACTATAGACTGTGGAGAAACAACAGTTTTAGGTCCCAATAACTACAGGAGGAAAACTGGAATAAAGAGGGAAAACATAAGAAAATAGGCGAACATTAAAGGCAGAAACACTTAGCTTAAATTTGGAGCCTGTCCTCCCTGGCCTTCGCTCCCCGGCTCATCAGTCTCTCATTTCGACACATTAAGTAGACTTAAGGTTTTATGTTCTCAGTAATGTTTTTTCCCCAGGTCAAATGATCAATGTATGTTTCTCTGGATCAATATGGTGAAATCACCCGCCATCTGCTCTCAACCTCCTGATGCAATATTCCTTGAGATCTACTCCATCAAATTTGTAGGCGAGACAGTTTTCTTCAGTTTAAACATTGATATCTCCAGAGTGGCTGAATTTATTTTTACTATTCAAACGGCATTGGAAACATCAATATAACCTCATTCTCCTGCTATTTGAACTGCAAAGATATCTATGACTAATCTCCTCTGGGTCTTCTAAACCCTGATCCTCCCAGACCGACTATTTTAAAAAGATACTGCCATGTCAATATCTTGGGTGATCTTTTTTGTATTCTTGGGTCTTAAAGTTTTCTTAATGATCACATTTTTCTTATGTAATGAGCACAATAGTAGCCTATAAGGATATAAGAAGGTTTCTTTATTGTTTCACATTGCAATACCAATTAGTCGAAATAAATCTGTCTGTTTATCATTTTCCTCTTTTCTACTTCAGTACTTTCACTGTTGAGGCACCTCAGAAATATCCATTTAATATTGCATTAAGTGCAGCATATACACATACACGCACGTTATCATATGTGTATGAATACAAACAGCACTAACTGTATTAAAACAGCAATAGCTTCAAAACAGGGTGTTTTAAACCGCCCTATGGCAGAATTATCATGCACAGGACAGGCATACACACAACTGTGCATTATCATTTAATTAATTCAATTAACCCCCCAGCATGCAAGGTTGCCATGGCAGCAAACAATGCAGAGCCATCAGGTCTGTGGCATGACATTCTGCTCACCGTTCGACCGGCTTACAAGAAATCTCTTGGCTCTCCTGCTCTCACCCTCCACCTTGTGCTCTGTCACAACAGAGAGAAACACGGCGTATAGGAAAACGGGCTAACGGCCAACTCCCAGCCGTGCCGTTGGCAAAGACTGCAGTCTGATTGGAGCGGCACCAGAAGGAGGATGAGGCTTTAATGCCGCCGTAAAGCAGAGTGAGAAACAGCTAGGGAGGCTGCCGGAAGACCCCAGATAAATCGCCACCCTTTCAAAAATAGATAAGGTCAAACTCTGTCAACCGATGGCCCACCTCGTGAGATGGTTGCTAAATGTGCCTGTACACGAGGTTGTGCACCGAGCATTAAAACGTCCTCCAGAGGCTGAAGTGTCTGCTGTTTTATCGTCTCACTGTGGCACTCTATTAATCAGCCGCAGCCACTAATTGGTTAGATCATCTGATGTGGGCTGTGATTCAATCTGAGGAGTGAGAAACGGACGGATATCCCTGTTCGTAATGTATCTGGGGATCAGCGGAGTTCATCGTTTTTTGATACTTCAAATTAACACTGACCTCATCATTATGTCATATTTATGTACTCTCCTGACAGCACACAAAATGTGATAAACAACCACCATTTCTGGATGGGAGTTAGAAACAATAATGGCCAATAAATTATGTGTTGATTTCAGCCCATTTACACCTTTTTCCCTCTGTCAGGTAGTGGGGCAGAGGGAAGAGATGACATGCAGCAAGAATTCAGACCGATGACACTGCAAAGACATTGCGTGCACCAAGCCAGCCCGGTGAGCTGTAACATGTTTTTTTTTTTTTCAGAGTCACAGATGTCGAGATAAAACAAGGATGAGTTGAGTGACACGCACCTGCCACCAGGAGCTGTGCAGGTCGGCAAACATCAGTTCAATGACATCCCCCGCATGAATGCTTAGTGGGGGCCCACAGTGGGGACAGGGGATGCCGCTGTAGTCTCTGATTACAACCATCCTCGGTAAACCTAACAGACAAGGAAAGCAAATATAAGTTTACTCACATTTAAAGGGATTTATTAGAAAGCTAAAGACAAATGAACACACTGCACTGTCTGAGTAACATTACTAGTTTTTTTTATCATCACTTATAAGGAACAGATCAACATACTCCACCCATGTATAACCTGAAATAGGTAGTCTGATAAGATTAAGTAAAAAATGAGTGTCATCTAGCTTTTGATTTCAGGTCCAATTTTAAGAATTGGGTATTTAGGCATTTAAATATATTTGATCAATCTAAAACATACAGGAACTTAAATGGTGGTGATGCAGAGTAATAAACAAGAAGTAAATACACCAACACAACTCCGAGCTTGTGTCATTTTTATAGTAAAAAAAGAAAGGAAAAAACGGTTCATATTATTCATTATTCAATTAGTTCTTAAGAAAAGATACATTATGATTTAACACAAAACAATATGGCTAGATATAATAGACACGATACAATACGATAAAATGCGATACGATATGATGCGATACAATACGATACAAACCAAACTTATATGGTAAGATATGATACGATACAATCAATGCAAATACAATGCAATGGAGTACCATCAGTGTGACATGACACGATATGAGATGACAGGATATGTCACGATACCAAATGTTACTATACAAAATTACACAATATTATGCGGAAAGATATGATACGATATGAAACCACACCGCACGATACGATATGGTGTAATATAATACAATACAGTACGATACGATGCAGCATAATGTGATTTGGCCATATATGATATGAAAGGATATATCATGATATCAAACGTTAGAATGTGAAATTAAATGATGTCATGAGGTAAGGTATGATACAATACCATAAAATAACATACGATACAATACAATATGATCTGGCTCGATACAGTATGTCGAAATTATACGATGTGAAATGACGCAATAGGATATAATGAAATTCAATACAATACGGTACCATATAATATGATGTGACATGATAGGACACAATAAGATATGACATGATATGAATTGCGATACGAAATGATTCGACATGACACGATACAATACGATAAATGATATGATACAATACGATATATGATACGATACAATATGACATATGATATGATATATGATACGAGACAAAACACAATATATTTGATATGATACAATACGATGTATGATATGATACAATCAGATATGATATGATACAATATTATACAATATGGGGCAATACATCATAAAATTATATGGTATGATCAAACACTGTACTATATGACATGATGCAATACTACATATGATTTGTCATGATTCAGTAGCTATGATGCAACACAAATATTACACCTTATTGTCATATTGGAGGAAGTTTGTCTTTAACATTACTGCTGTATCTGTCCAAAAACTGCATCCAGAACAGCTCACAGGGTGTTTATTTAAACACATTACGAAAACAAGTTCATCTTTGTATATATTTCTAGAACGTACGATATATATGAAGCAAACTCTGTTACCATCATTGTCCTGAGGGTTTTAACACAAGCTGACACTCTTTATAACTGAGGTCTAAATCACCTGAAACGTTCCATCTGAAAAAAACAACGACTGACTCTTGCAGGAAATTCATCTCTTTCATTCCTGTACGGAGCAGCTCCAATCTTTCCACAGCGTGCCAGACAAATACAGCCACAAGCACTGGGCTAAAGCTAAGACTAAACACCCCTGCCAACTTAAGAGACACAGCCACTTACTCTCTTCAGACTCACACATTCAGCCCCCTCAGACACTTCTCCCCCTCCAGCCATGTCTCCCCCGCAAAACCAGCCCGGAGGACGCTATTAGCTGACGGTGACCTTAGATGAATGGAATATCTCACATCCATGTTTTTAATAAGAACAATAAGCACGGATGTCTTTCTCATAAGCCCTTTATGGAAATTGATTTATCACAAAGGCAAAGCTCAGCGGTTGAAGCCGAGGCATATAGACTGCTGGAAGTGCTTTTCTGCCAGAAGAATATTTCTCCTGCCGCGGCCCTTATAATGATTCCACCCACTCCAATTCATCTCAATGCCGTCTTGGGTCTCGGTATCGCGGCATGCGGCTAAAAAAGGGCTTTTTATACTTCATTTAAGGATTCCTTCTGCATCCTATTATTCCTCGGTTATTCATACTCAAATTTACTTCTTAAGAGGAAACTTTTGTTGCTCATTTCCTCTTTTTTAAGCCTGTGTGCGTGTGTGAGCAGGAGTTTTCCATCTGTGCTTTTCGAAGAAAACGTGTTCAAGGGTATTTTGAGGGGGAGAAAAGAAAGAGTTGAGCAATATTTGATCAAAAAAAGAGTGAGTGGGACATCTACAATAACATCTAAAGGTTTGCTTTAAACTAGCATCTGTCTCCTCCAGGTTTCTCTCCGGCCTCTGACTAACAGTATCCTTTTCATCCTCTCTGTGTTTCTGTTTTGTTACTGAACCAGGATGAAAGCAGCTTAAGAGGGACCACGTAAAGCCCTTAGCAGGTTCACAGAAGTGGACGAGTGGTCAAGCCATACTGACCTGAGTTTGCTGGTGGTGTACTTTCCTATGGATGGAGAGAGAAAGTAAATAAGACAGAGAAAAAGACAGAAAACCACGAAATAAAAAGGAATTACAGCAAATCATACAACTCCTGGTGCAGGTTTGGTCTGACCTTATAAGTGAGTCATACTCTTAATTCAATTATCTGTGAGCCTCGTACTCTCTTTGGACTGATTGTCCAAACATTTTAATAGAGAACATTTGTACCGATGCCTGTTTCTTGGAAAACTAACTAAACAGAAGAAAACTTCATGTACACTTAATCTGTAACTCATCCTCAAACCACCAGGTAGGTTTTTGATGCCATTTGAGATTAGTTATCAGGAAATAGCATCAAGGAAATCAATGAAATTTAAATTTATTGTGATTTCTGCAACACATTGGACCTTTTTTCTTTAAATCTCAATATATCTTAAACAAGTATGTTTTCATGCACTGTTAAGTCAAGACTTGATTTAATTGGACCACTGTCCTTGTCCTAGTTTACATGCACTCTGCAAGAATCAAATTATCGACGAGCACGATAGGTATCTCATCCCCCGTCAGCTTGTTATTATGAAGTTGTCTCTCTGTTGACTTGTTATCTATCAAAACAGCTGGCACAATTCGTTAGCAAGAGGCTAACAGGACCTCGCTTTTACAGTTCTGTTTGTTTCATCTTTTTTACTGTCTCTCTTCGTCTGTTAAGATTTTGACAACTATCTGCTTCCTAACAATGCATCCCTGCTATTCCAAGCCTGGGGTACCAAAACTGGGCGTGCTCAGAACACTTAAGCTAGTTTCAGCCGCAACAGAAAATCAACCTCCAACTACGTTATCCAGATATGTAGGTCTGACCACAAGAGACGTGTTTACATGCGTTTTAACAGTCCAGTTTCAGTAAAAATACATATGAATGTGCTGAATGATGTTGGAAGGAAGAGGAGCTGAGCGAGATAGCTACCGGAAAATGCTAACAGCAGCAGTTGCCAAGGTGGATCTTCTGTTTCTCATCTACATTTGTCTATACTTGGTCTGTTGTCACTCATCAACAAATCCTAAAGGCTAGGATGTTGCAGCGCCAACTTCATCATTCTTCTTTTGCTTCTTTATTTATTTGTTTATTCTTGTGGCTCCTGCACATTTGTAGAATACACGCAGAACAATCAAACATGCCAAACTTCCTGTCTGGAGGTCAAGAGGCGTCCTAGACATGGTCTTGGTCATTGTCCATCACGCCCGATTTTCAGGGCTGAAAGATCAGGCTATTATTGTGTCTACAAGAATTTGCACAGACTACTTTATCATGGTGCACAAAGTTTAAGGTGATTTGTCCAGTTCACCTGCTGTACCTGTTTTTGTCAAACCTTCTGATTTGGAAAAGAAACTCGTTGTTTATAGCTGAGAGAGTTTAAGTGCGCAGTGTTATTCCGGTGTTTGAGTTAAAGAGAGGAAACAGTTCAGGTCTTACCTTAGACTTGGACTTGGCAGGATCTGCAGTCAGGTGAGAGACAGACACAGTGAGAGGAATACGATATGAGCGTGTGGTGGCTTTCTGACATACAACCTCAGCTGTCAACCTCTGCTGGCCCTCATCACGCCTCAGAATGCTTAAAGACCGCCGCGCATCTGCTGAGGAGGCTTGTCAAAGACCTGAGCTGTCCGTGTATTCGGGGGGGTAATGTACCTGAGCTGCAGCCCCTACACTGGTGACAAAGAGCTGAAGCCTGACCTAATAGGAGGATACAACAACTGTTGAGTACGTTAATTACTTTCTGTTTCATTAAACCCTTTAAAAGTACAAAAATTGCTGTTATTTAATTTAACAGAAAAGTTTTTTTGAGGGAAAAATAAATGTATGTGCCAGCTGGAGTTTCACCCTGACAGTAGGTCATGGGGTTACCTCATCCAGACAGAATAATTCTTCTGGAAACATAAATATTTATATCATGTTATGTGGTACTGTGGTACCAGCTGTTCGAGATCTTATATACAAAGATGACAGTCCGGCCCAAATGTAGGAGCTCCTCTGGTGTCTGAAATGTGAAGACCTCTTTCTCTTGGGAGAAGTGAATGTGCTCAGTAAATTTCACGGCAATCTGCCTTTTAGATTTTGATATTTTGTGGATAATTGTGCCCTGATGGTGACGCTAGAGGAAAGGTCATAAAAAAATGTACAGATACTCCCTGAGGGCTGTAAATATACACACAAATATCATAAAAAATTAATCTTCCTTTCTTAAGATTTCATGTTGCAGGAAAAAGAAGTGGAAAGCCTCCATCTCACCTGTTCTCCCGCAGAGTCCCAGTCGACCCAGACACTCCTTATGAGCCCCCAGCCCGCATTTTAGACAGAGATAACCCTGGTTAAAGATGCCCCTGGACACAATAAACCACAGGATGTATTGCATCTGTAACAACCTCCTTTAGAGAAATAGCTTGACATTTTGAATTTCCAGGCTTTCGTCCAAGTCTCAAGATAAGAAAAAATGACAAGAGAAATAACCTTCAGTTTTTCATACGCATAAAAATGATACTGTCTGCTGAAAACTGAGACGGCTACCAGTTTGAGGTCCTTATTTATTACATTTAAACAGTCTAATTAGGAAGGCAATTGTACTTCAGTCAAAAATCTGCCTTTTGTGGCTGAGCAACGGCGACTGAAAACCTAAATGTAAAAACATCAGTGTCTCTGCCATACCTCAAATATAAAAGATACTAAGAGTGTATTTTCTTAAGAACAGAAAACCACAATCATGGTTTCATATAATGATATTCCTTCTAAGAAAAATGTGAGAAGAGACAGTTTATGTTCATTTTGTCTGAGGCATGAGACGGACCCCCACTTAAGAACCCTTTCACTCCATGGGGTCCTCTTAGATCTACATAGCGGCTCAAAATGAAAGAGTCGGCTCATGGCGCCTGAATTTTACCTGAGGAGGAGGTGACAGAAGCTACAGGAAGTGATCCTCTCAAAGGTGTGCATCTTGAACTGGTGGGAGTTGTGGTTGGCTTTCTCTGGTCGGATATTTGATCTGAGGAACAAAAACATCACAAGACGGATCAATCATGTTTGTGCAACTTGGAAAATATATATATAGGAGTATCTCATGTCAGGGAACTGCAGTTTTTATCACTCCTATGTCTGCTTCATTTCTCAAGACCAGAAGTTGCTGCTATGTTAGTATCAGCTTGTTAGCAGACTTATGATTGCCGTCAAACACTCAACCGACCAAGTTTTGAGACCAAATCATGACTGGCATCAAACTGGGGGACTCTTGAAGTTGTGTAAAGAAGTTTATCTGCAAACTATTTAAGAAACTTCCAAACAAGAACTTCAGAGGACACTGCAGCAACCATGCAAGCTGCAAAGATTTATCTTCTTGCAACCATAAATGTCTTTACGAGGTTTTTGCTTTTTCAGTAGGTACATGTTCAAGGAATATTCCAGTGTAAAATTAAGTTAGGGTCAAACACACTGTAACGCCAAGTTAGACACCCAGTCGATAGATGAATGTTGCCGACCGCTTGCTTTTGTAGTTTTACCAACTTTTGTAATGACCGCACGATAGCAATACACAGAGCCACGCATTCAACCAAAAGGCCACTCTATAACCACAAATAATGCTCAGAACAGCACCTAACTTCATCAACAGTACATATAGGGTCCCAGCCATTAATTTCTTTAGCAAAAGAGACTAAACACAACTCACCCACTCTCTTCCAGCAGCCGCTTGTTTGTACAGAGACCTCAGGAAAGTCCTTTACCGACTGAGACGGGGTGACGCAGCTCAAGGAAGAACATTTATGATCATCACTTTATTATTTCCATGAAGTAATAATCATCATATTAATAATTTTGCACTGCAGACGCGGTAGTTCTTCTGCCTTAGCGTCTCGGTCTGATTGAATTTCCATGAAGAAATGATCATAAATGTTCTACCTTAGGCTGCGTCACCCCACTGTAGTCCATAATGGACTAGCACATGAGGTCTCGCTACAAACAAGCGGCTGCTGGAAGAGAGTAGGTGAGCTGTGTTTTGTCTCTTTGCTAAAGAAATCAGGCAAAGTTAAAAAGATGTTTGGTGGCTAGTACTATGGCTGGGACCCTATATGTACTGTTGATGAAGTTAGGTGCTGTTCTGAGCATTATTTGTGGCTATAGAGTGGCGTGTTGGTTGAGCGCGCAGCTCTCTGTATTGCTATTGTGCGGTCGTTACTTAAGTTGGTATAACTAGAGAAGCAAGCGGTCGGGAACATTCATCTCTCGACAGGGTGTCTAACTTGGTGTTACAGTGTGTTTGACCCTAACTTAATTTTACGCCGGAATATCCCTTTAAGATATCTTTTATGATAAGAGGGAAAGAGAAGCTTTTGTACCTGTTGGCAGCGCAACAGTTAAACTCAGGGAACTGCCAGAGTTGCAGGGTTCATCCACAGAGGAGTACAAATTTGCAGAGACGGGCATGCATTAGTTCAATGGGGTTAAACTTTAACTCACTGCGCCCACCTCTGACAATCACACAGCAACTGATCTGATACTGTTGTTTGTGATTACCTCTGCAGAGGGTTCAAGTCAACCTCTGAAACATTTTTTAATTCCTTTATCAACAGAGGAAAACAACTTTGTCGCAGCCAAAACAACCTGCTTTTAATTTGTTTACCTGACTGAAATGAAGGGAAATTTTCTCAAGTGCGCTCTCGTAAAACATTAAAAAAAAATGAAGAGGACTTGAATCTGCCCTGACAAATCCAATCGGAGCTGCGTGTGATCAAAAATAAGAGGGGAAAAACATGCATAGCAGCAAAATCAGCAGCCTTTCCAAAAACGTGAACAAACAAAGCGTGACAGGAAAACGCCTTTTTGTATTGAACACACCATCCGCAAGCCTCTTAGACTGAGTGCTCCCATAAGTGAGTCCTTCATCAGGAGCCCACATCCTCTTTACAGGTGCAATTTTCACATTCTGAATGGGCCCCTTCTGGTGTCATTACCCAATGCACAGAGGCACACAGAGCTGTTTTCAGACATAAACCTTTTACCTGTGTGGAGGAAGAAAAACACTTTCAAGAAGGGTGTGAGGAATGGCTGTTTCTTCTTTGAATTTTGGAAATTACACATGAGGTTCTGAATGGGCGTCAAGGGCCCGGCTGTCATGGAGGTTTATTAACTCATACTTTAGGAATAGAGGAACGACTCAATGGCGAATTGTTTAATCTACATGTCAAGATTGTGTGTGTTGTTTTGCTGCTTTGTGATCCAGCAGAAGAAAGAGAGGAGAAGATGATGTATTCAGGAGGACCATATCAGGTAGTCTGCATGCGAATCAGGGGTGTTTCATACACAAAGACAAAAAAAGCATTTGCTCAGTCAATCAGAGAGTAATGTCAAAACAACACTGTACTCCCTCAAATCAGCATAACAAAGGATGCAGACGGGATACCTGGCTGAGGAAACCTCCCACTGTTACAAAATAATACAAAAGATATACCTCCATAAAGCACTGATTTGAAGAAAAACAGGCAGAGAGGCTTCTTTGTAGTTCTGCAGCTCTTTGGCACAGTTAATGTTTGTGTGGGTGTGTATTTCTGTTTGTATGAGAGTGTGCGTGTGTGCGTTATCATACCGTTGTCAGCAGCATGCGCCTGATTACAGCAAAGGCCTGATCAAACAGGGCTCATGAAAGAGTCAACACCTCACTCGGCCTTGGAATAACATGCATGCAAACAATGGGCAAATAAACACCACACACTGATGGAGACACACAAACACGCGCGTGCTAATTCAAGTATACAGTTTGTTTTGTTCAATGACACACACGCACACGCACGCGGGTCTTCAGCATCGATCACGAAGAGCACGGCGTTCATCTGTGTCTGTACTCACATGGCCATTTCGAACTGATCCAGCCACTTCTTCTTCAGCTCTCTGGTTTTGAAGAAGAGCTCGAAGCCCGTGTGCCCCTGCTGGTGTGTCACGTAGAACCCGTAGCACCACTGTGAAGGTCAAAAAGATGACAAAAACAACTGGATGCATTACGCCGTCAATGTTATGGTCCTGTAGCCTATAATAACAGAGCGAAAACACATCGAATAATAGCGTTTTGATTATCTCACATGTACTCTCAGTGGTGGATACCTCTGCATATAGAGGAGGGCTATTACCCGTGTTGATATCCGCTCAATGGACAGCACAATTGTGTGTTTTTCTTTCTATTTGTGTCATGTAATACCCTCTGAAGGTCGTGCAGGCTTAATGGTAAACATGACAGTGTGATAAAAGAGAACTGATTCGAAGCACGGCGAGTAAGACCTTTTAACGGTACGACACCGGATTTTCAAAAGTTAAATAATGAAGTCGAAATAAAGGTTTAATACATCAGATGGTCACTGGATCATATTTTCTTGGTCATTCTCTCCAACAGATACACAAACAAGCGGGAAGAAGTCTGTCATCTGTACACTAAATATGAAGCTGAAAACAATAGCTTAGCTTAGCAGTTTGCCTAGCAACCTCACCATAGCAACAAATCTCCCAGAAGTGACAGCATGTGTACAAGATGTTCCATCATTTTGTTTCTTTGAATGGATAAAACATAAATCAATAGGAGTTGTTTATTGGTGAAACTGTAGAGCAGATTGTGTTTCTCTTAAACAAAGCCAAGCTAGCCTCGCCTTTGTTCTGGAGGTCTCACTTTGTGGTGTAAGGTTCTTGTGTTTCCTGGGTTCTTATGAGCTTTGACAGACTCTTAAGGGTCACTTTGGTTTCATATGATGTTTCGGTTCATCATTCTGTTTGGGATTATCTGGTGTTTGCTTCTTCTTTAGTTAAATTGTTGTTGGGCTCTTTTCCGTTGGATCTCTGTGATCTGTGCTTATGTATGAACCCCTGTTTCTAAAACGCTACGCAAATAAAGATACTATTATTATTGGTTGCCCCAGTCTCTAAGCTAAGCTAGGCTAAGTTAGCATCATATATTGTCTCCAAATGTTTGAGTGTATGGCCAGTAAGAAACTTGCCCAGTGACATGGTTTAACACTGTAAGGTAGCTAGCTAGCTAGCTAGCCAGTAAGCTAACAAAGTACACCAGTTGATATTGAATCATATTGTAGAAACTGCACTTTTTTACTTAATTTTTCTAGCGCGGTTCCTGCTGCTACAGGCCTACCCACTGAGCATCTTTTGATCTAAAAGAGGTCTAATAGATATCTAAATGTAGCCTAGATGACTGGTCTGAAATCAGGCTACCACAAGTCTAAAAATTAAAGTTTTTTAACTTCTAAATTTAGAACAAGTTTAGACCAGCTGGCCAACTGTATATTGCTCAACGGCTATCATAATTATTTTGGTTCAGTACTCAAAGATCAGTTATGCAACTCACAGTTTCTTCTTGAAATAAATAGTTAGCAAATAATGTGTTAAAGGGCAATGTCTAAATTCCATCTAAAAATATACAGAATCTAGACGGTTGAAGTTAGGTCTTAAAAAAAAAACTAGACACCTACCAGCCACTAGCTCAGTGGGTGCTTTCCAGCTGCTTCAACTAGAACTAATGTACATTTTTACCACTGTTATGAAGCTAATGTTGTTGTTTTTCACATCAGTCTCTCTATTTCTATCAATAATACAAAGCTAATGTTAACTGTAGTCCTTTTGTCTCTGTCTGCTCCAATTGTTCTGATTTGAATCCCTATTATCTACCTCCACTTCATAACTACAAATGCTTTTGCTGCCATAATACCACTATAGATCTGTTGACTTTAATTTGCTAAATCAAACTGAGATGTATGTTAACATGCACATTATTGTTACATTATATCTAGCACTGTAACCGTCCATCTGTTGATGTCTGTCTTTATCTTTCTCTCTCTTTCTGCATCTCCCTCCTCATAGTCCTGTCGTGTCTTTGTAATTTGTATTTAATGAAGAGTATTGTCTAGACCGGCTCTTTTGAAAAGTGTCTTGAGATTGGCACTACATAAATAAAGATTAATAAATTGGTGAACAACAACTAGGAAAACATGAGATCCCCAAACTGAGCATTTTCATGTTTTCTTCTTCTGAAATGAAGGAAGCATCAGCACCCAAAGAGGACTGTAAACACACAGAGTCGGAGTCTGCTAATCTTCCTAAGAGAAACCAAAGATGGTGTTTGATCTTTGTTTTCCCAAATACATCTGCAATCTACAAAAACCATGAAATTTTCTAGACTCCAAACCCCTCCAGATGGTATTTTAATACCATGGGTGTAAATATAATGATTGCCCGCTCGCTTTCAAAAGCAGCTGCCTGAAGTCTTAAACCAGTGCAGCCCTCACAGGTCAAACCCGCATATTTGCAAACAATTTTGAGCCAATTCCCGAACCTCTCTGCTTTTCCCTCCCTAATCTGCCCCGGCCTCTCGTGTCAGATCTAAAAACAGGGAATCTGGCAGGGCTTACCCGCCAGTGATTGGCCAGCCCTGCGAAGTCCTGAGTGTTTTAGAGCTCTGCTGAGTGTTAAATCATTGATGACTGTGTGGGTGCTCAGTGGCACCACATTCACACTCTGAAGTTTCATTTAGCAGAAAATGATATATGGCTTTAAGCAGCCTTGGAGGACTGCACACATTCATCACCTGGTATTAGCATCTCTGTCCAAAGGTGTGCGTTTGAGCGTGGGGTGGAGGTAGGGTCTCTGAGAAGGCTCGTCTTTTCTTTTCTGTGCGGGGGTTTTCTTATGAATAAATCACATAATTGTGTCGCTTAATGCTCACTGCGAGATTGCTAATTTGGACATGTTGGGCGACAACTCCACACCCCTCCCAAAATAAAGCACTTCAAAACTGCACTCGTTCATTACCAATCACACTCTCACGCGTGCATCACCGATCCACAGTGGAGTAAATGAGGTTGATAATGGAGTCCCTTTGATGAGAGAAAAAATCCACCAAACCATTTCACTCTGGCAAGCTGTCAGTTTTACATTAGCAATCAGCACCGGAGTGAGAAGACACCATCTGTGAGCATACATCAACAAGACATCAACAAGTCCCCTCCACTACAGCGAGGCTGCAAATGTTCCCACAAGGCGAAAAATAACATGTAGAAACTGTGCTGGGTGACAAAAGGGGGAAGCCTCTGACGCTTCTATGTGAGGGATTCTTAAAAAGGAGAAACACCACTGAGGATATCATCGCGGATTACTCTTATTAAGGCAGCTGACATTTACGAAAGCAATAAAAACAGCAAGCAGGACAGACGAGGAAAAGCAACAGCAAACCTTAAACATTAAGAGGCTTATTACACATGTGGGGGTAGAGATATTTTCTGGGATGCAAAGTGCACAAATTCTAATAAAGAAATGCAGCGTTTGTTTATTTGAATTCACAGGAATCCATTTAGCTGTCTGACCTTCTTGCCCTCTCTGTCTGACGTGGGGTTGTTTGTGATCTTGAAGTAGTTGAGGTCGAGGATGTCGTTCATCTCATAGTTGTATCCTCGTCTCTTGCAGACAATCACGGCCACATCAAATAAAAAGATATGTCTGCAAAAAGAAGGGACCGAGTGTTATGCTCTCATATTTTCACACGGAGCAGCATTTTCAGCATTCAGAACCAGTTTGTTGAGGTTTTTCAAAATATTCAAATACCTCAGCGAGTTTCTCGAGTCTTAAACAGCAGTTAGTTAAAAGCTGTGATTTGTTATGTGCTTGTTTTTGCTTTCATGCTGTAAACACATGGTCTTTAATGCGTTTAATAGAAAAAGAGATGTTTACGCTCCTCTATTTGACAGCTGCGTAGGTTGTATAAGGGTCCAAGGAGCACACTCAGTAAAAATTTATGGGTCTGTAACTATCTTGCATGGCTGTGTTTCAGGAGAGCAATCCACTCCAGACATTTAATTGCCTGTTTTTTCCCCCTGTCTGCAATCGTAATTTCTTTCCCCAGACATGACAGTTGAAAAAAGAACAACCTGTCTTGTTTTCTCTTGTCAACACTGGAGACCATGCGTACTTCTCCGTCTCCTTTAGGTCGACCGAAGCTGATAAGAGGCTGATTCTGAAAGAGAAAGAAAGAGCTGTATAAAAATGAAAGTAACATGTTTGATCTAAACATGAAGAGCACTTCAAAAGGTAACCTATTACAACATTAATGAGTCACGTCGACACAACCCAAGCAACGCTCATCTTTTTGAGCAGTAGTAGTCGACTCCTGTTATCACCAATGACGGTTTCAATCACGCTCAATCAATGAGGTCTTTATTACTGTCTGCCATATGATAGTTTTGCCTACTATCCATCCTTGGTCACTTATTTCTCAGTATGTCACTTTATCTGATCTTGTTTTTCTGTCTTCTAAGATAGTTCCTGCTTTAGAGGCGGGAGATATTCAAAGCTCCTGCGTAAGACTATAAATTTTTCACAATTTTGGCGCCCTCTGTAGTCAAAGTAGTACCTCTTATTTCTTTGCTTCATTTGTCCTGTACATATGCAAGTAGATTTTAACAAAAAAAAAGTCTTTCCCTCTCTTTTTTAACAGTCAAAAATATCATTCAACTTTAATATTTGCTAAAATTGTCTGTATCAGCATCCCATTTATCACTCTACATCACACCTACACCTGGCAACAGCTTAGGACACAAGAAATGACAAGTAAAATACAGTCAAATTGTTGATTTTGGATTATTATGTCATGTTTAGACATCTTTATTGATTTCAGCCTGTTTCATGGCCATGTGAAAACTCCTAATAGGAGATTTAGGGAAATGAAAAGGTAACTAATATGAGTTATTTTAGCTCATCTTTGTCTTTGAATATTTATAAAACTGTTTAAAAAAGGGATTCATCTAGTAGGAAAATATAAAATTAAAGAAATTAATAAAATAACATTAATCCAGCATAAAGCAGGCAAGTTTAAAGAAGTAATCACCAAAATATGGAAGATTAATCTGCATTAACAATTTAAAGCTCCAGTGAGGAACTTTTGCTGTGTGCAAATTTTGATGCCCCCTTGTGGACAAAGCAGTCTATGCCTATTTTGTCCTATACATGATTATGTTGTAACTTTCAAAATAAAAATCCCTTCCTTCTGACTTTCGACAGTCTCATTTATAGAGAAATTGTTATATAGAAACTGTAAAAAAACAACTTCCCTCCTTCCACAGGTTTCAGGTATGAATATTAGGATGTTAAAATCCTAAATCTTGTAGGTGATGATGATGTTTGTTTTGGGAAATAATAAAGAGGCCTCAATATGAGTTTCAGTCTGTTTCATTAAGGTCAAAAAGTTCCCACAGTAGCTTTAAAATTATGCATTTCTTATATTTAACCTGCACTGGGTGTCATTCGCTGATATCCCTGCATTGTTCAAAAGCTGTAGGACCGCTGACCTTACCCGGTGAATCTGTGATTGTAAATCTGACCATCTCCAAAATAATTTTAAAAAGTCCAGTTGCTCTGTTGTTGCACTCTTTCAAAGTTTATACTAACCCCTGCTGACAGCTTCATAAAAAAGAGTTTGTGGTTTACCAGGTTTTCAATAGACCTCTGGTACTGGTCGATCTCCCTCAGAGTCTCATTATCTCTCTTCACCTCATTGACGTACTGAGCCAGGTCCTGGGTTACACAGACACACAAATGCACACGTATTTCGTTAAGAGGGTTCAGTGTGGAGGCAGTGAAATGAGTCAAAAAGTCAGGCTCATGTATTTGTAAAAGCAAGAGGAGCAAACTTCACCTCCGTTTGTTTTGTGCTGCTCTTTTTTGTTTGTACCCCCCTGAACTACTCTTAAAATACATTTTTTTATCCTGAATAAAAGTTACAAGAAATATTGATCTTGTGTTTAATGTGATGATCAGAGAAGGAGCTGGTTAGTCTGTCTAGTCTAGCTTAGCATGAAGACTGGAAACAGGGTAAACATTGAATAGTTAAGCAAAAGACCCGCCTGCAATTTTCTACTTTCACCCCATTTGTTGTACCAATTTCTTAAGAAGTGATTAAACCTATTTGGAGAACTTAAAATGAACTGATATTTGGTTTTCTCTGTGAAGAACCAAGATACCCGTTCCCCTGTTTGCAACTTTTATGCACAGCTAAGCCAACAACCTGCTTCTTATTTCTCAAGATGTCTGCTGTCATGGATTTCCTGTATTTTCTGCCAAGACCTCAGGAAAGGTGTCTGGCTCCCTTATGAGATAAAAAGCACTGAGTATGTGTGGTGTTAATGTAAAATTTTATCAATGTGTTAACACTGGTAAACGAAAAACATGGATGGTCAATGACTTCATTTTTTTATGTAGTATAACTTCACAGCAGAGGTAAAGATTATTAGAGCTAACGACGCAACAATTCTCATTTCACTAACCTTCATTGCATCAAGAGCAATCTTCAAGTTGGTTTTGTCAGCAGCATCATGAGTGTGTTTGACAAGCTCCTGTTGGAAGATGATGGATAATGAATGATGCGCTCAGCTCATACAAAAAAACGACACTCAAGGTGAACAGATTTAGCTCGACTGGTGAGGAGTGTTTTTCAGTGTCATCTTGCAGTTTTCTCAAAAAGACTTGGACATCTGATCGGCATTTGGAAAAAAGTTGCAAAAGTCGTGATATGTTGTAACACAGTAGATTTAAGCAATGTGCTAAAGCAGTGGTTCTCAACTGGTGGGTCCTGACCCAAAAGTGGGTTGCGGACACGTTCTGGATGGGTCACAAACAGCTGGTCAAAAGAGTAAATACTGAATGCGATATTTATTAGATATTTGATATTTTTTGGTATTTGGTATTTGCAACTTCAGTAGTTGTCGTCCTCATGTTGTCCCCTTCATGTGCTCTGAAATGCACTTTACTCAATAAAACATTTTTTTTTTTTTTTAAATAAAAAATACACCTGCTTGGTTTGAATTCTATAAAAGTGGGTCTCTACCTAAGGACCATGGGAAAATATGGGTCCCAGAGTGAGACCAGTTGAGAACCACTGTACTAAAGTACTAATTAAAAGTTATTGTACTAAACCCAACTGATTCCCTCTTGTGCAGATGAGAAATTTAGTGATAATGAGTGTGATGTGAGACATGAAAAAACAGTATTTCCTGCTTTGTTCTACTTTCCTAATGAAAGAAACATACTCATCTAACATACAATGACTTAAAGCTCCTACCCTACATCAGTGAATTAGGCATCAAAAATAACTGTAAAGAAACAATCAATCCTCTTGCTGATGATCTCATTTGCTATTGAAGGTCATACATACGCAATAATATCAATATCAGTCGATTTTATAACCAGCTCAAAATTTCTTATAGTAGCTTTAAAGCCTTGTTTGTTAATTGGGTTTTATTCTGGGTCTTACTGCTAGTTTTACTCAAACAAAAAAGATCTAGAAAGTTCTCTCATCATCTCCACATCAGTTTTACAGCTCTTATACTGCTGCAGCTTAGAGATAGCTGATAGGTTGTGGTTGAGGTTGTGGACGGCAAAGGGTTTTAGATAAAGATTGTGTTTGTTTGTTTGTTTTTGTTCCTAAGTGACCTACTTTTTTTTCTATTCTGTAATATTCACACTCCCTGCCAAAAAAGTCATTCCTCTACATTCACTGGTAATATCCTGCAAAAAAGCACAATTAGATCTCCTGCTGTAGACTCTGGCTTCACTGACGTCAACGGACTAGTCAGGCATTAGGAAACACATGAGACAAATAGCTCTTATTCTTGTCCAGACTGAGTCACTTCCACTGCAAATATAATTACACATATTATACATTGGTTAGTTAATAAGTAGGTTGTTTTCCTGAGTTTGGCACCAGTTTTTCTATATTATCTGGTTCGTATACTGCAGCGTCATGCTTGCTTTTTTGGCACCTCAGGATTTTTCCTCGATTCAAACCAGATGCTGCTTGTTAATTACAAGCTGTCAGGACTGTATTTAGAGTGTAACATGTGTTGTCTTATTTAAATATGTGCATTTTACATCTTATCTACATTAAGATGGAATCCTTAGAGGCCAATTAACCCTTCATTACCTCAGTTATGTCATTTCTTAATTGGTAAAACAAAAACTATTTATCTGTAGCATCGCTCGCCTGCTGAGCACTTTATTTCTGCTCTCTCATCCCTTTTTTTTTTTTACCTCCGTTAAGTGTCTGCTAAGAGGGCGTCTGAGAACACCCCCAATCACTGCCATTTACCATGGAGGCCTTTACCCTCCACAGCCATTTAAAACAGCTGTCCAGTCATTGTGCTCGCCTGCACTGCCAGCTACAGTCTGACCTCTCATTCATACTAACTCGAGGAAAAAGGTGTCACATGGCTAGAAGTAAGCGGTGAAAGTGGAGGCATTGTGTAAGACCGCATGTGTGGCAATAGGGCAGCGGCGCCGCACAACATGAGAGCTGCAGCCGTGTGCGAAATGAAGTTACTGTCACATTTTTTTGTCTGAATGAAATTCTATTTTTGCAACAAAAGGCGAAGGACACTCCAGGAATAAATATTTTCCCTTTGACAAGTCTCTTTTTTTTTAAAAATGTACGAAACTCTCTGGGATGAAACCGAACAGGACAGATCAAACTTTTTGTTGCATCACTCGTTCATCACAATTTGTTTGGGCTGGATATGATATGATGACTGGGATGTGAGATGTAAATGGGTTGTTGAAGCAGATGTTTTGTGCCTGGTGTGAATCTGTTTTGACACTGAGAGGGGAGGCAAACATAAAGCCAATATGTGGAAAATGCTGCCCTCAAGTGGCCACTTTTATACAGACAGAAAAACATCACAGAGGATGAATCGATACCATTGATAAAACACTTTGAGGACTTAAACTTGCATCAGAGTGATATCTTTGACAATCATTTGAAAGACTGAATGATATTTTGTATTCGTGTTTTATGTGACACAGAGGGTTTGTTTACATGATAAAACACAGTAACAATAAAAAAAAGGGGGATTTTTAAGAGCTTTCCTTCCCTTACCTGGAGGAGCAGATGGTACTTGAGCACCCTCTGCATGGGAACAACCAGCAGGTCTCTCAGTGTAAACTTCCCGTTGTTGGCTCTCTTTGAGCACTCCTAAAACATTCAAAAATAGTCATACTGCATTTAAAACTGCAAAACCTGCAATGCATAATTACAAATATGGCTGAAATGCAGCTTTTAAAGTGTCTGTTTTTAATGGCACAAAGTTGTTCTTGTTTCCAAATCATGCACAACTGTTTTAAATCTGACATTTCCCATTATTTTGCTGTTTCTTATTGAATAAAATTGGCAAGAATAAGCTACAGTAAAACAACATATATGTAATACACAAAATGCCCACCAGAGGCTGCTACATCTATAGATCCCCTCACCTCCAGCTTGAGACGAACATCCTCTTTCTCTTTGCAAATAAGGTCTAAAACAGCGATGGCAATCTCCACCCGGCTGCAGTATATCCCATAAATGAGCAGCCTGCGATTCAGAGGAAAGAGAGTTCAATAAAAAAAAAAAAAAAGAGTGTTGGTGTGTATTTGTTCACATGCAGAGTGAAATATGGTGAAACACTGATGAGGCCAAGCTGATAAGTGTCACTCATGACATATTGCAGTCATGTGGCTCATGATTAAGATTGTGATTTCTTGATGTAGAATCAGTTGCATGACTGTCATCGCCACCACAAGATTTGACTGATAAGGACGTCACTCCTCTACACAGAGCAGACTGTATTTCAAAAGAGGGTGTCAGTCATTGTGTCTTTAAGTTTAAATTCAATATGTAAGATGTGATTCAAATGGCTAAAAAGTAAATGATGTTGTTGGTGAGTATAAATACTTGTCTTTGTAGTTGATGAAAATTTGGTAGAGATTTAAGGCATTTTTGTTCAGGATGGAGTCCTGCAGGTCAACCATCAGGCTCTTGTGAACTTTAACCAGGTCCTGCCAAAGAAAGAAAGAAGACATCAGTATCTGAAAGTTAACTTTTCAGATTCGTGGCATGCGAGAGAAAGGAAACTTACAGGGATGTTGACAAAAACTTTGTCGATTTCAGCCGCAGAGAAAAATTTCTTCAGCGGATTCAGGAAATACTGGAGGGAAAATAAAACACACAAACAGATGAAAACTTTATGGTTCTTGCAGTAAAATAATATTCAGCTAAGAACAATTCATATTATAATTAAAAACAACCACAGATGGGTGCACTCATACTGAAACCAACAACAAATATCACATTAGATGACAGATCAGAGGTAAATGGCAATACCCCACTGGAAAATCATGAAATGTACATCTATGAATTTTCCTTGAAATGTCCCTTTAGTGTTCGACATTTTCATTTACTGTTATCTTGACTAGGTTGACTGTGCTATCCAGTATTTTACGTAAATAAAAAAACCTTTTTTGGGGTTTTTTTAAGGCACGTGTAATCATCAGGCCATGCCTCCCAAAGTCCCTGGACCAGTTACCAAGTTCCTGGAAAAGCAGAAGGGGCTTTTCAGGGGGTACTTTTCTTTACCGAGAAGTGATTCAGACCCTAGTTCCTTCAGTTTTTAGTTCCGCAAAAGTTTGAAAAGAGTTTGAATTCTTATTCTTCTTATATGAGCTTACATCAGCCTGGTTTTAGGATAACTATAAAAAGCTGCTCTATTTTTTTATGTTAAATGATTTTATTGGCAACGAGGATGATGATCTTTTTATCATTCTCTTTTTTTTTAAGATTGATGTTCTGCTTTGGGGTAGGATGAGGGAAATGAAATTGGGTTCTTGCCCCTACGCAACACACAGTGTCTCAAAAGGCTTAACAGGACCTTTGAGACATAAAATATCCTGCCCGAGCTCTCTATGAAGACAAGGAGCAACTCCCTTAATCAGGAAGAAACTTTGAAAGAGGCAATTCAAAGAGAGATCCCATCTTCAAGGATGGGTAGGAGAGCAATAGAAATGGGGGACTTGGAGAAAAGGGTAGAGGGAGTTAGGGATTTTGAGAGGGGAGAACATAGTTCAGGGCTGTGGGAAGGGAAAAAGGAAATCTTTATCCAGTTTATTAAAACAACCAGATAAATCTTTGCCACATGGACGTTTTTCTTTGGGTCTCCTCTCCATCTCTTGCATCTTCTCCTCCACGCCTGTCTGTGCTTCTCCTCCATGGCCTTTTTGTAAACATCCAGAGACTGAAGGAGGCTGGCTCTCTCTCCACCTCTCTCTGCAGCCGCTCATCCTCCAGCTTCTTATTTTTGTGGGACAGCTCATTCTTAAAAATCCAGCGTTCTCCTCTCTTCAGTTTAAAGACAACCCCGCTTCTGCTTCCAAAGATCATCTTCAACCGTCTGGACTTTTCTCAGAGCATCTGATTCAGTGACCTTCTTTTCTAAAAAGCTGCAGCTCCATGTCTCGGATCTCGATGTCCCTCTGCAGATTAGCCTCCTTGTGTTGCTCGCTGGTCTTCTTGAGCTCTTCCTGTAGCTGCTCCACCTCTTCAGCCAAAGCCTTGTTCTGCCTCATGAGCTGTGTGGGGTTTTCTGACTCTTGCTCAGGCTCAAAAACAAAGATCCTGAGTCTCCAGCTCACTGCAGACCTTGGCTTAAGTTTAGTGTAATTGAGCCAAGAGGGCCGCTGAGGTTCTGATTGTCTGTATTTGGATCATTGCTCTGCACTGTCTTGGTGTTTAAAATGGGCTGAAATGTTAACATGGCTTGAAAGCAGCCACAACATTGGCAGTGTTTGCAGACAGATGCCATCTATTTCAAAATCAACTCAACCAGACGATGAATTGATCAACCTCTTCTGTTAACCATACACTGGACTACTCCAACACAGACTGTTATAAGCAGGACTGTCAGATGACCACGGTGTGTGCAGAAAGACGGCTTCAACTTGAACTCTCTTGCAGTTTTCAAAGGAGTTCCTCAGGGGTCAGTGCTGGGACCCCCGCTTTTATTCTTTTTATCAAAAACACCGACCAAAATGTCTCCAGTGCAAATTTTCAGTTCTACGCTGATGATACACAGCTTTCACTCCACACCAAGATCTCCCACAAAAAATTCAGCACATTTTTGTGACTCAAAAATTGTTTAAACGCAGAAAACAAAAATCATGCTGGTTTCAAATACAGATTTAAGCGGCTGAATCTGCCTTCAACCTTAATGTCTCAGAGTCAGGGTACACAGACTGGGTTTTTACAGGCCACCCTTGCACATGTGTCATATTCAGAAGCTGGTAAAAGGATTTACAGCGAGGCCCAGTTTTTATTTTAGAATCAAACTCCAAAGATTACACTCCTCTGACTGTGCTGAACAAAAGTCATGTCTTGAATATTCATACCCCCTCTGAAGGCTGACATGCTGTGGCTTCCTGTCAAATATCGTATCATCTACAAACTCCTCCTGCTCACCTACAAAGCTCTCCATGCCCTAGCCCCACACTATCTGTCTTGGGCTCCTCACTGTCCGTCATGGGAAAGGGCGATCCCTCGGTGACAGAGCCTTCAGTGTGGCCGCAACTCCTCTCTGGAACTCTCTCCCCTCTGAGATTCGCCAAGCACAGACTCTTGACTCTTTCAAGTCTGCTCTGAAGCGACACTTGTTTATCCAGGCTTTTGGTATCTAGTTATGTTTATTGTAGTGTGTTGTTAAGCGCTTTGGGTATCTTACTCATCCCTATTTGCTGTATGAATGTGTAGGTTAGTCATCTTTGCCAGCGCAGTGACAAAAACACCGGTGTGTTCTTATTTACAAGTCTATTTCAGGTTTACTTCCTTTGTACTTCCTAATCTACATCAGACAAATGAGTACAGGAACTTACAAACTTCTGTCCCAAGACTTCCTCTGTGCCAAAGGTCAGAACTAGGCTGGCTAAAAAGGCTCATAAGTTTGCTGATTCCTGAACTTGGAACATATAAAAGTTAAATAACTGGTCTAATTTAGTGACTTCAAGGTAAATATAAAAAAACTGGAGATAGAAAAAAAAATATGTAAAATGATATATAGTACCTTTTCTATGGACTCCAGGGTTTCTGTGTACCTCTCCTCCGTCTGTTTGATCTCTGTAAGGCAGCAGCTCCGGACGTCAACCTCTGCCTGCTTCTAGACAGACACACAAAAATGTTCACATATATTTAAAAATTGTAATATTTGCTTTTATATTCATATAGTCTGTTGTTTTTTTTTAACACCTTGAGTGTTAAAAAGTGCGTTTGTGTGTTGGTTGAGAATTTCCTTTTCTCTTTGCATCAACATGGACTAAAACCCAGATTAAAATTTCCACTAGCAACATCCACATTTAATAAAATTAAAGTCTAGGGTTCAATCAAACTGTTATTTTTTCTTTTTTTCTGCGATGTCTTCTTTTAAACGGCACAACAATAATAGTCAATTTAGGGAATAAATATCATTTGGACTAAGATTACTCTTGTCTGTAATGCTTGTAACGCCTCAATGAGAAACAGATCTTACTGCAAAAAAATGTAAAATATCAGATTTTTTTTTTAAACTTTATTTTTATGAATATATTCAGTTTTTCAAAATACTTGTAAAGAGTGAAATAAAGGAAAAGAACTAGAAAAGAACAGGAACGAAAAGGCACAGATGGAAAAATATACATACAAATATATATTGTTACATAGGGAGAGACGAATCATAATAACAGTGTATACATTTCAAGAAGGTAGGTCCAGGGTTTAAAGATATTTCAGTTATTGTTGTTCCATTTGTCCATAGTTTGTCCTTCATATCAAAACAGGACGGAAACAGTGCCCAACAACACCTAAAAATATTAGATTTTTGAGCTGCACATTCAAAACAGTTGTTAGGTATTATATTTAAAGGTAGACTAATAAGCTGTAAAATAATATTAGCATTTCTTGAGTATGTTTCTCCGTTTAGCAGTGACATAATGTAAATTGCAGTGGGCCTAAAACAAAACCCTGTGGGACTCACACTGCATATTATCATTTTTAGCAAAAATAAGTTTCGCTAACTTTTCAAAGTAGTCCGCCAAATCATGAGAAGATGTTTATGTATGTCTGTTTGCGCGCACATGTGGGTGAGATGCGCAGTGCTGTACCAGTGGGGGTTGCTGCTCTGTCCTCATGAGGTCTTCATAGATCTCTCCACCTGCGTCATCTTCCTCTAGCTGGTAAACAGCTGCGTACAAGTCATCCTCATCCTCTGGGGCATTCTCACTATTAGACAAAACACAACGGATACACGTATGAGTAGATTTCAAGTGTTTTGAGTTTCTGACGGAAGTTAAAGTTGCATTGTGAAATCATTGGGGCAACAAACTGAATGAAATGAAATGAAATAGAAAAAGATAAAACAAAACTAGTGAAAATAGTCTTCTATTATTAAAAATCTTTACATAATGCATGCATACTATTAATTCACTATCCATCCATAATTTGGAAATGAAGTTAACCCTAACCCAATTTAAACATGCACCAAGACTGTGATATCAGAATCAGAATCAGAATGTTCTTTATTGTCATCATACTAAAAGTACAACGAGATTGGAGAGCTTCTCCTTTTCCAGTGCAATAGACAAGTAAAAATAAGGTAGTAAAAGTACAAATATGACATAGAAATAACACAAATATGACACTTATTTGAAGACCCTCATCCTTCTTATCTACCAATCAAACTGTCAGCGACACCCATCCTGAATCTTGATGTGGGTGGTTTGCAAGCACTCCGCAAAAACATGCAGAATTACTCATTTTTTCCCTCTGACGGCAAAAGAGAAACGGAGCCAAGCCTTTTACCAAAACATGTGGGTGTCAGACCCCTGGAGAGCATGGATGATGAGCAGAAATAATCACGTTCTATCAACAGCAGTAATGGCCCCGCAGAGGGGAGCCTCATACATACTCAATCAAGTCTTTCAGATTATTGTAAATGTCTTCGTCTTTTAGGCTTTCTTCGGTTGGGAATGGCCTGGAAGTGACAAAAAAAAAAAAGCAGCATGAGGCTCAGTGTTCGGCATGAGGAAAATACTGCAAAGAAACTCTTATTGAGGAGGGAACTGCCTAAATCAAATATATACGGCATAAGAAAGGGACACAACTCGGCCTCATAATGGCGCAACAAATATCCTGATTTACAACAGCACCTAAAAAATGAATTTATATATCAAGGTGAAGCCAAAAAATAAGGAAAATGCTGAAATAAGAGACAGCATCACATATTAACTTCTAGCCGAATAGTTTAGACAGATTTAAAGGACTTCCAATTTCTTATTTCATACCATATGTTCATTGTAAATAAAAAGAAAAGCAACATTTTTGTTCTTTTTTATTCCTCTTGATATAAAGTTCAACTGTCAGGGGTCGTAATTTGTGTTTCTACTTACTGGTAATACAGAAAATTGTCTAGTAAAACTGGGAGTAAGTGGGTGAGATGTGGTTATGTGGCTGCAGTGTCATAATTTCAGAGTGCAGGCAGAGAGGTTGCAGGACATCTCTTATAAAATGTGTGTGCACATTTTTTTTTTTTTTTTTAGAACAAGACCTTTTAAAACATCACAAAACCTTTTAAAATCCACTCAAATCCAAGTCTGTGTTTTTGTTTTTGTGATGTAGGAGCACTCACTTGAATCCTCCTTGCAGTGCAATTGATGTGTGAGAGAGTTTTGATAAGGTATCCATAACCTGTGAAGAAAATAGAGTAAATCTGTAAATCAAACACGTCTTTAATCTCGTTATGTGAGTGATATAAATCATCATTTTAAGGCTCTTTTTCCAACACCTGGTGGTTACTTATGACTTGTAAACTTCATGTAATATGTTTTGAGAGTTTAACCTTAATGTGTTTCTGATAAATGAAACACAATTTGAAGGAAACAGACAAAGAGGCGAACGCTGACATGACCAGACGCTGACATGACCATTTCCTTTGCATGAGGCAGTCGTTGCATATGTTTGTGTGTGTGTGTGTGTGTGTGTGTGTGTGTGTGTGTGTGTGTGTGTGTGGTCGGTGGAGGTGTCAACGTGACAACTGGAGAAATAGAAAGCAAGAAATTTCTTTGTTGACAGATCTGCCCTGCAATAAATCTGTATTAAAAAATCTTTAAACACTTATGAAGTGTCATCACAGTTAATTTTACACCTTAATATTGATTGAAGTCGTGTTTTTCCTTGTCATATTTTTAATCCTAATGTGAAAAAATACACTATTTTAAGCTCAGGGATGTATATTTACCATTAGATTTAAGCGTGGATTTTCCCCCTGAGTGCCATAATCTTACATTAACCGCTCATTCATGCGCCTACAACCACAAATGACACAGGAGAGCTGATTTCAACAGAAAAGTGCACTGGAGTAATCCTCACACTGGACATCAGTTTGACTCAGTCTGATAAACCAGCTTCTCTGACCCGACAGATCAACCCCTGAGAGTTAATGTTTACAGCATGTAATGACAGTTCACACAGGTCTGCCAAAGGGTGCTAAAGAAAAATATAATGGTACAATTCGCAGATCAACATCCTCAAAAAAGATTATTCTACATTTTTGCACTGCTACTAAACAGGCGGTTAATTTAACGTAGCTAATGCCCAGATTATTTTATGACCCCATGTTTCTAGAGAAGCTTCTAGTCAACACTTAACAGCTCACTCTGCTCTAAGGATTTGGATTTTGGTTTCAAGAGATGATAGATGGGGTAAGATATGAGAGTCTCTCTGCAGTGTGTCTCCTCTTCCTGTGTGAACGAGTGCTGTGGCTTTGGCTGATGAACAGGTGTTCGTGTGACTTGTAAGAGTAGTGAGAGCGTTCAGCTTTAAAGCTTCAAAAGGCCTCTTCATCTTCAGAAGTTATTTACAGCGGCTGAAACGCTGTCTTTCCTGTTACAAAGACAAAAGTTGCCTCTGACGTGAGAGGATTTCATTTATTTTAAGTGTGGGGATGTGCTCCTGCACAACGCAAGATAACAAAAAACATAGTTTTATGGGTCATTTGTTTTAGGAGACTGAAAGGCTGAAAAATGATCAACATTGCATCGGCATTTGTCATTTAAATGGAGTTGCTGAGAGGAAAAGATGAACTTTAGAGATGCACAGATTGTCTGTTTCGAGAGACAGATGAGAGAAAGTGTAATAAAACTTAAAAACTTCTTGTTACGCTGCCTCCGCTACTTGTTTTTCTCACACCTGACTTGTCTGATGATCTGACACTTGGTTTCAGCCACACTCAACTTGAGATGCAAAGCCACAAGCTGAGTTGAAGTCCAACCACCGTGGTGAGCGTGACCTCTTTACAAAAAAAAAAAACCCAGAGCAACAGAAAAAATGATGGCAAACAAAGGAAAAGTTGTACCATCATCTCATAAAACACAAACACATGCCAGATTCTCCTGAATTATACAAGCAGGCATGTCGACATGTTAAAAATATGTTTAATTACAACTCTTAAATCTCACGGTGTTCCTTTTTAAAAACCCAAACACACAAAGCGGTACGAGAACATTGTTTGTTAAATCTGGAAAAGAAAAAAGGGCCGGTTTGACTTTGTGGTGTGCGTGAGTTTTCCTCTGTTATTTTTTAAACAGCAGGCGATCAAACAGAAACAGGATCAAACAAACTGAACAGAAAGTTTCTCATTAGTTAGTTAAAGTTAAACACAGAAGGACTTTTCATCTTTTTGACAGAACTGGGTAAGCAGTTTCCCTCGTTTCTCGTCCTCGCCCTCGATAAAGGTGACTGCGCCTTAACTTCTACCCCACAGACAAACAGGGGCGGATCCAGACTTTTTGAAATGGGGTGGCCCAACTGGGGCATCGATTTACAGACTACTGGCATCAAAATACGGCATATATGTTAGAGCCCTACGTGAGTAAGTAACATCATAAAATGGCGACATATGAGCCTTCTGAGCTTCTGAGATTCAAACTTAGGGCTGCACGATTAATCGATTTTGAATCATAATCAGATTATCTAATTTTGATGATGTTAAAGAAAATTAAAATCGTCAAATTGATTTTCCTCTCTGTAATGTCTTGTGCCTCCAGGCCACCGTAGGCCCCCCCTTCCTGCAAGAGTGCTGCCCCCAGTTCCCACACACACCAGTGTAAACAATCATGGCGTTTGCAAAAGAAAGCGATAATTTCGTGACTAAAAGGGGCAAGAGCGAGTCAGTCGTGTGTAATTGGTACGGCTTCAGAGTTTCGCAGTAGAAGGTACTTTCTGAAAACGGGTAAAAGAGTGCAAAACTCCGTAAACGACTATCATTTCATCTCCAAGTGGATGCCTATCTGCATCTCTCGAAACGATCATGTGACACACAGTGTAACTCTTTCATGGCAGCCATGCTCCGAACTCTTCTTCTGTCTTTTGTTCATTTCCTGGGCAGTGTTACAGTGCTGCTTACTGGCTTGGCATATGCACTACATTATTTTTAGTGGTTTTGTTATGAGAGATGATAGAAAAAGACAGTTTGGTGAGGCTGTCACTGAATAAAAATTCGAAATCGAAAATCGAGTTTTCAACTGTTATGAGACGTTCAAACTCATTAATACAGAGTACCACCACATCAGGCTGTCTAAAGAAGCTTGCTGAAATATACAGCAGAAGGTGTTTTTATCGTAACTTGTCCAGTCAATACACTCTCGACCTTGGTAAACTAATACGGTCATATTATTCTACAAAAATGAAGGACATGGTTGAGCAAAGCCACACTGAGCAGACAATCAAGATACTAAAACATCTGAAAAGCGCTGTGTGGATTTATTTCGTGATCTACGCTGTTGATTGAAGGCAGGGTCGTATGTCACCATTGTACAAAGCAGCTGTCCTTATGGTTTGACAACCATGTGACGACAACAAAAAAGCATCCCTAGCAAGTCCATCACCGATAAGACAGCAAAATTCGAACATGCACGAACAGTTGCACATCATGTTCGATGTTTGTTTGAAGTGTTAGCTCCAGTTTTTGGTCGACACAAAACTGTACTACTTTGAAATACTAAGTTACTAGCAGCCTGTAGCAACACAAACCATACGGTTGATTCCAGCCCAGGTCCTGCCTCTGAAATCCCTAACTTCAATCATCTAGGGGTGGCCATATGGATTTCAAGGCAGGCCCCCACAACACACCACCTGAAAAATTCATGAATTTTCTATAAGATGTGTTTACTCATATAAACAGCTAATATTGGACCTTCTTACAGGTCTTAGAAAAGTACATTTTTGAGAGGAAAAGAGTTGGTATTGCAAACATCAAACCTCCCCTCTTTTTAAAATCAATAACATCAATAACCTTAACATTTAAAATCTAACTCCACTTGATTTCATCTCTCTAGCCTCTGGCATGTTTCCTCTAAATAGCATGGCTGCTCAGGGTGAAGCCTGTAGTAACACGGTGGAGGAATGTAGGTTATAGAGCTCTCATTAGATATTCATTGGATTAATACTCAGTCAACGGGCAAAACTGGCACAACTCAACCCAAGTGGATTACACTGGCTAAGATTTGAGATGTTCTCTTGTGGATGTTTTCTGGAAATAGGAAGAGATTGAGTATTTCTTGTTTGACTCTTCTTGGACCTTGAGGACACTGTTTTTTTTTAAACTAACGATTCAGCGCAATCTCCCCCCTCTGGAGGCTTGTTTGTCTGATGGACAACCCTCAAACATGACTGAGATTACGCAGCCCAGCCTGGATATAGTGTACATATTTGCAGGCAGTGCCTCCCCTATGGGATTATCAGCAGCCAGATTAACTGGAAGCTTCTTTAGAGCACAACACACTGAAGTGAAAGAAAAGAGAGCCTGTGTGGGAAACGACACGCAAAGCTGCATATGCAATCGCTCACTGTCAGAGAGTCAATGAATACTGTTCTCTTTCTGCAGGAGGTGTTATTTGATTTTTTTTAACCGTGTGTATGAAGCCTCTTTGAAGAAATTTTAAAACTTTTTTACATGGAGAAATTTGTTTGGATTTTTATTCCTTTAAATCTATAGTTTTCTAAGTTTTCCTGTGGGTCTTAGTAGCAGAGCTTGTGTTTCTCAGTGGCAGATTACACAGACGTGGCGCACTGCAAGTTGGTAGACACAAAGACAATGTCTCACTCTGTACAAAAAAGACATCACACAACAAAACTTTCTTTCTCTTCTTTATCATTCAAAACAAACTCAAGTATCATGATTTTGAATTTGGGAAAGATGTTGCGTGTTTGTGTAAAAATGCCTACTTTTGTAACATTTTGATCTATCCCTTTTTTGTAAATATATATTTATAGTTAGCTTTGGGGGTTATTTTACTTTTTAGTTAATATTCATTCATTCAAATTCATTTAAGAAGTATCATAAGTTTATTATGAAAGTAGCTTTAGAAACCCTATGCTAACTTAACAGTAACTGAAATGCTAGCCTGACAAGCTAGCTGTTCTTCGGTCAGATTGCACTTCATCCGATTTGTGTTGTTGTCGACCAAATAACAACTGTGCTTGGGACAAGTTGGCTAAATCGCACACGCAATAAAATCTGTGACAAAAACATATTTCAGTTTAAGTCTTTCCTTTATGGTTCCACTGAGGAGTTTTTTTTTGGCACTGGGGAAACAGGCTGAAATTCATGGTGATACCTTGACAAAAGCAAACAAGACCATTTTTATATGATTATTTTTATATTGCAATTTTTAATGCCTAAAACCAGTGCAAGGGGGTATGTGTCAGCCAAGCAGCTGAAAATGTATTCCTGTATTTATGCTTTACACACAAAATACCAAGAAATAAAAGAAATGATCCATTTGACTGTTTAAAGTCAGCAGGATGAGATTTTGGCATTCACCAAAAGTTCCTCACAGGAGCTTTAAGGACTTGAAATAGACAATTCTGATTGTACTTGTCAGTAACTTGCAAAACAGTCTTATATTATATGATTTTTTTGCCATATTGCCCACCATTATTCTTTGTGTTCAACATGTACTCAAATACAACAGGACTGTTTTAATGTAGATAAATATATATAGACAGTCCGCTGCAATAAGTAAATACTTAAAAACACATAATGAAGTCCAAGCCAAGAATGCACAAACAACTCAAACTGCTCCAAGTCAAAGCTGTGCACTGAAAGAACCAAACAAAATGTCATGCTAAAATAAAGATGGACAGAGAGAATGAGCCGTCTGCTGCAGCGGAGTTAAATCTGGCTCCTTTGCTGCGAGGCCAGTGGTGCTGCAGCAATGGAGGAATGCACTACAAACCCACTGACCTGGTAACACTGTGTACACACACTAAACCAGCTCTCACAATAATGCAGCAATAAAAAGCTGACCACCGGTTCCTCGAGAAGTGCAGCAGAAAAATGCACAGAGAGAGATGGGTGGAGGACAAACAGCAACTGCTTTTAAACAGACACAAATAACTACACATACAGGCAAACAGACATAAACACATGCCAAGTCTTCACCAAACCACTGAATGTACAATTTGGGGATATCCTTATGTTCAACTACACACATCGTACATCCATGTCATCCTAAAAGTGTAAATGTGAGAGTGCTGATAGAGTCTGATACATTTAGTTGATTCCTACTGAGCATTGTTCAAAATCTCAATAAGGATTTGCATTGAAGGGGATATCTGCATATGTGATAAAAAGGGGATTGTTACACGGGGTTGCAACAGGAAATCAGAGAGGGGGGTGTGTGGGCGTTACCTTTCCAAAGTCTCGAACGTCAAAGAGATCGAAGGCTTCGAATAAGTCGCTCTTCTTCACCCCGAACACGTCACAGCAAGACATCAGGAACGTGCGAATGTTCTTCAGACACAAGAACTGCAAAGAGACAAAAAGATGCCTGTAAATTCTGCTCACTGTAAAGAGAAATCTTCCATTTTTCACCCACAAGTGAAAGGTATTGACTGGTTACCAACATGCATGATTGCAGGATGTATTTCAACGTATAACATGTAAGCTGTTGCCTTTCATTGCATATTGTTTATTTATGCTTTATAGCTGCTGTTTTTGCAAGAAGACCTTGAGTGTCTGGAGAGGCGCTTCAGAATAAAACATATTTCTACATTGTTATTATTCTACAGCTTCATCTAGTCTTCTGTGTGTTGTGAATGTAATTTTTCATTCTTTAAAACCATGAAAATCTTCAGCCGCTCTCATGATCTCACACTATTTGTATTTGTCACTGTCCACCTGTCTTTGCTTTTGAAAAATGTGGACTAACAGCAAACTGAAAATGTCCCATCTTCTTTTGGTGTCACTTCCTGCAGGATCTAAGCCTCCTTAGCGGTCAGACTTCAGACAATGTCCATTCGGTTTTCACTTTCTGGTGGAAGTTTCAGTTTCCGTCCAGCTCGGGCCGCTCGCAGTAAAAATACATTCTCAATAAAAGAGATAATTAAAAACACCTTCGAAGGGTAAACAACAAGCTTGTGTACGTGGTGACTCAACCCCAGAGTAAATCCTATGTGATCATTTGCAGTAAAAACAGAGCTGTGGAGAGATTCTTGAGAACAGATACGCTCCTTTTTATCATGTCAGCTCATCGTGGAGACGCCTGTAATCACTCAGCCGCCCCCTGGGGCCCTGTTTGTCTGCGGAGGAAATGCATGAACATGACAGCTTAACACCCTACCAGCCTCATACTCATGGCCACAGTCACAGATTCGGTGCATATTTACTTTCTCTGGATGAGGAACAAACACGGCGTAAGTGTAAATAGACGTCATATTGGGCTTCTATTCATAAATGTACCTTGAATATAAAGTTTTATTGTCGCAATCCTTGTTTTGAATTTACTCCACGGTCTGTAAAAACTGCACTTCCACATGCATTTCCACCCCACTACACCACTCTGATGTCCTCCACTCCATTACCTCCATGCTCTTGCTTTCATTTCCTCAGATCTTAGGTCAGCAGGGCACAATGAAAGAGCCATTTAAAAATCTGGAGCCCACTGACACACATGCCTCGCCGGACCATAACTCTGATGGCCTACAGCTGCAGGCGAGTGCTGCTTATTGTTTTGCAGACTGTGCCCCTCAGTTTTCTTTCACTGTCTATCAAGAACATAAAAGAAGAGCGGATAGAGGACATGCACGACACTGCAGTGCTGTTTGTGAGACGGCGAAGAGTTAGGCGGAGGCACAGATCTCACTATGTAGGGAGATAAGTTAGACATAATTGAACATATTTTTTAAACATTTTTATTTGTTCCTGTGATTTTTTTAAGCATAGTTTAAAAGGGTTATTTGACCTTTTTGATAAGGATGGAAAAACGGTGATTATTTTCATTCTCGTGGAGGAACAACCTGTGTTTTTGTGTTACGTTTGAGCTTTTATAATTATAAATCTGACTCTACATAAGTTCCAATGTATCTTTTCTGTCCAATACCTGTGAAAAAAATACGCACATGCCCCCGACTTTCAACACCAGAGATGCTTAGAGTCGGGGGCACCTGTTACCCCCCGCTCTCTACTCCTCACACTCCCTGTCTGCCTTCAACTGTCCTTCCAATGAAGCAAAACTTTAAATAAAAGAAATATTCAAAGTCCGACATGATTACACATTAATCCCATATAGGGGTGCATGATATTAGCAGCAGAGTCTCAGTATCTGCAGATAATAGATTAAAAAGTTAATTGCCGATATCAGCAAATAGGAAATTCCTGCGGATATGTCGAGCTGATAAGGTGACACATCAAATATGCACAAGTGATAGTGACTTCTGTGCCCCAGAAACAAGCTTCAGCACGTCAGCTGTATGTAAGTAATTTAAAGTCTTGTTCCCACACAGCAGAATAGCTTGAGAAGCACAGGTGATGTCCGAGCGAAAGAGTTTCTGAAAAGTGAGAACAAGCTGATGGCCGATATATGATCAAATATGCTTTTCATGAAAATAAGATCACATCATTTTCTCAGGTCTTGTAACTCTGATGTGTGAGGACAAATAAGAAGCTCATCTTCCAGGTGTCATGGCTATTATGTATTCTGCGGTCCTCAGTAAAATTGTGTTGTTTTAGGTGTTTTAGACCCGAGTGTCACAAATCACAGTCCCCTCACTGCTTCATAAGGCCTCATACGCTGTTCCAACAAGCTCCTGCACACGTAATAAAGTTCCCTGGCTAATGGGTGGATCAAAGACAGGATTTTTATCAGGTCTCTCCAGTGGCAGGGGGGAATTATGGGTAAAGAGAGGTCAAGCCTTTGACCGTGCCTTTTGGTTTTCAAAGGCTGGGGGGCATTTAACATTCCCTCAGTTAATCAGACAGTTTTACTTGCTTAGAGATAATGGGCTTTTTTTTCAACAGAGACACATACACAAAGTAAGAAGTGAATCAGTGAGGTTGACGGTCTCTCTGAAGCATTAGTTTTAACATATGACAAAGTGATGCATCAGTTTGTCGCAAGAAAACAGAAAAAAAGGAAAAAAGGAGGGTGATCCTGAAAAAAGAAGGTGAAAAACTCCACAAATACCTCTTCTTTGATATCAGCACTGACACCTTTAAATTAGGCTTCTGGATCAAACGGAGGTAGGCTCAGATACTACCTCTTAATGTCAGGGGCATGTCCAGAGGGGGGCCTGGGGTGGTGTGGCCCCTAGCTAGCTAATACACATGCCCTTAGTCCGGCTGGCGATATTTTTTTTTTGTTGTTGGACAGTAGGGGAAAGTCCTGCCTCCTTCGCCTCTGATTGGCTAGAAAGGCTGGAAACGTCATCACACGCTCAAGCCAAACACAGGCTGTCAGCTCTGTACATCAAACAGAGCATTACAGAACATTATCATACTTCTGAATCTCCTACCTTAACCCTAAACCTCATCCTAATCCTAACCCTAACCCTAATCCAAGAGACAATTAGGAATAACCAATTGGAGCCTAGCACTTCTAGCCAATCAGAGGCGAAGGAGGGCGGACCTTCCCCTACCATCGTACAAAAAAAAAATTGCATCAGCTGAAATCTTTGAAATGGATGTTTATAAACTCCCCTGGACAAGGCTGGACAGCCCCCAAAAATGTCTGAGTAAATGTCCGACATGTCCGAGTAAAAGAGGAAGCATGGTCACCTGTAGGGTAATGCGGTTGGGATCGATCTTCTCTTCTATGAATACAGCTAAATCAGACTAAAGGTCCTTACACACCAGGACCGACACAAATCTGCGACATGAAACTACGAAATATTCGGAGGTGAATTTTGAAGCGCCTGACTATACACATCAAGCCTGATGCGATTTTGTGACTTTCTGGGGGGAAAAAAGACACCGTAAACAATCAGCCATGTTGGATATACTAGTGAATCTGACATCGCAACAACAAGAAATCTGGTTGGTCAGAAGTGGACACACAGTTTGTGAAACTATAGAAAAATCAACCGTGATCCCCAAAAAAATGCTGCAATATCGCAGGACAGGGAAATGTCGCTGATGTGAACGCTTGTATTGACAGGATACATGTTTGAAAAAAAAATATTATCGTCCGAAATAATCGCACGAAAAAAACACTCCCAGTGTGTAAGGACCTTAAAAGAGGAAGTGTGGTCACCCTTGGATAATGCGGTTGGGAATCGATCTTCTCTTGTATGAATACAGTTTAATCAGACGAAAACTGGCCAGACTATCTGAGCATGCTCCAGGGTTCACACACAGAACTTTGAGCTGGAAGTCGGTACTAAACAAAACCTTAACAGATGAAATAAGGGCGTAAAATAGATGAAACATTCCTATCGAATAGACATTACAGAGCTGTAAAAATGTCTGTGTTTTTATCGTTCAGCTTTCAGTGATGTTAGTGATTCTTAGCAGTGACAGTGTGTGTGAGTTTGTGTTTGTCATGTCATAACCTGACAAGGCCACCCCATTTAACAAAGTCTGCACACACCCCTGCCTCCAGAGGGGTAAAACTTTGAAACCAACCTCTAACTTATGACTTCTTTTGAACATGCTAAAGCCTAGAATTACTCCAAAACTTATTTCTGAAGGGACTGTACTGGTTTCCTCCACTAACAGACATAATTTGACTCTTGAGAAACAATTATCATCACTTTATTAGCTCAAATTGCCCTGGGACTCAACAGGGCTATTAGGGTTTTTTGACTGCATACTTTGTCCATATCTGCACAAAGTAGTTTTACTCTTCCTCCGAGCACAGTCCAGCCACAAGCTTCCCTAAAAGCACTGTAGACAATTACAAATCTACCTGTGACATCTGTGGCCGGAGGTTGATCTCCTTCAGGTTGATAGTGTGAGGTTTCAGGTTGTTGAGCAGCTGGCAGAGCAGCACCCCGTCCCGCAGGGTCTGTGCGAGGTCGAACACCTGCGCTGAGTCCGCAGTCACTCGGTGGTTCGCGGGCAGCACGTTGCAGCTGATCAGCCACATCGCGCACTGCCTCCAATACTCCATGTCTTCGGATAGAGGTGGAAACTGCAAGGTAACGGAATATGTCAAAACTTGGTCCCCTGTGTGTGAAGCCCGTTTACGGCATGTTAGTTGAGCTCAGCCCGGACTGTTCGCCCCTCTCAACTCCAGCATGCATCGCCTCTGGAGGACACACAAAGCTGCTGCAGGTTAAAACTGAGCTGCACAGCTGGGCCAGGCAGCGTGAAGAAACCCCCGCTGTACTATACGTGCGAACTTCCCCTTCCTTCTTCTGTTATGTTTCCACAGAGGTGGTCGTAACTCTCATGAATATTTCCTCTTACCTCTGAAATGAGTTTTATCTAGAAAAAAGTACCGTAAATTTCTGTCAACATAGTGTTGAGATTTATGTTTGAGGTTTTATTGGTCTGATGTTCACCAAAGGATTAATATGCAAAAAACAAAAACAAAAAAAACACACTTTTTTTCTTTTTGCATGAATAGCCTCACGTCCCTGCATTATTACTTTTTATTTTGCGCACAAGAAAATAATTCTTGCCCACAGTTGAACTAAATACGGTGGCCGAGAACCACCTATACTGTAAATAAAAAAATAAAAAAAAGAATGCAAAAAAAAAAATAGGTCGCAACGGAAGTTAATGATGCAAAAAAACAAAACGAAGCCCTCCGCAAATAAAAAAAGAAACAGTGCAGATTTAAAAATAAAAAAGCCACAACGGAAGTTAACGACGCAAAAAAAGTGGCAATGCAAAAAAAAAAAAAAAAAAAAACAAGTTACTTACTGCAAAAATAAAAAAAGCCACAATAGAAGTGAGCTGCTGGGGACCAATAATGATGATGCACGGGTGTTTTATAATCAAGGCACAGACGACAACGGCGAGAACACAGGATATTAAGTTCGTGGAAAGGTTATTGTTTAATTTTGCTTTGTGCGCTTTTCATTGTGGTTAGACCTTGTAGCGCTTGTGTTGATAAGAAGTTGAACTGGAGGATACAGTCGTAATGTTAGCTTCAGTTCAACTTCATATCGACTCAGGCACTACATGGCCTAACCACAATGAAAAGCGCACGAAGCAAAATTAAACAATAACCTTTCCACGAACTAAATATCCCGTGTTCTCGCCGTCGTCGTCTAAAACACCGGTGCATCATCATTATTGGTCCCCCGCAGCTCACTTCTGTTGTGGCTTTTTTTATTAGCATCCTTTTATTTTTACAGTAAGTTACTTTTTTTTTTTTTTTTTGCATCACTACTTTTTTTGTGTCATTAATTTCCTTTGTGGCTTTTTTTTTAAATCTGCATTGTTTCTTTTTTTATTTGCAGGAGTGGCGGTTCTCGGCCACCATAACTATCATGTCAGAAGAAGTAATAATCTCGTCTGCACAAGTTAAAACCATCTTATGCACGATACACAATTATTTTATGACGACAAGTCACAATGTCATTATCTTGTGCACAAGCATAACTTGTAATTTGAAGTGATCTTGTGTGCACAAAATAAGCACAAGATATGAACTTGTCATTACAGGATGAAAACTTGTGTATTCAATAGACTTATCTTGTCTGCATATTATAAATATTTGTACACACAGGGTAACAACTTGTCACCACATGACATAACTATATAATTTACACAAATGATTATTCAGTGCATCATCACACCTGTCCCCACATTCATAACTCGTGTGAACAAGATAATTATCTTCTTGGTCAAACTTATTTTTTCAAGCAAGTGAGATAACAACTAATGCATAAAAGTTATCTAGTGTGCACAGTATTAAAGCTCCTATACAGAAATTTTCAATGTTAACCAAATAGGCCAAAATTCATCGCACTGACTTTTTGTGATAGTCTAGATTGGACAAGACTATCAGAGACAAAATTTAAGATTTTCAAATTGCAATTTTTAATGCCTGAAACTGGTGCAAGGGGAGTGGGTGTCAGTTGAGCGGCTGAACAAACTGTCTTGTTTGTGCAATTTCTGCATAAAAGAAGTCAGCAGAAAGATTTTTTGTCAAAACTTTCTACTTAAGCATTTAGAGAACAAGAAATCCAAAGACTCTTTGACAAACCAAAGATCCTTAAAGGAGCTTTAACCTATGTACACAAGGTAACAGTTTGTCATAGCGAGATAACTTGTATTGTGACTATCAAAAAAAAAAAGCTCTGAGGTATTTATTTTCCCTTTCAATAAATCAAACTTTCAAACATACATTTGATGTAGATGTACAGATTTTGACTATCTGATGGTAAAAATCTTTAGGGGTCAACAGAAATAACAGCACCCTGCCTCCTCTCTCTCTGAACCAGGCAAACAATTCACAGACAGACACAGGTGACATCCATTAGACAATCAGTCAGCCCCAGTGACACACACCCATTGCCCATTGTGACAAGTGAAAAAACACATCCCTGCCTTTACATAACTTGAGCATACATAATTGTCTTTTGTCTAACAAGGTTATGATCTACTGCCACAAGATAACCCTACTTTTTATACAAGGTAACTAATGTGCAAACAAGATACTGAAATCGTTCTAAAAGATAACTTGTGAGCATAAGATAATCATAACTGCAGCACTGCCACTTGTTATTGTTTAAACCATCATTTTATCTCAGTTTCTTCAAAACAAAATAGAAAAATGGTCAGAATCACTTTCCAAATGTCAGAAGTAATCAGAAAGTGACAATATCAGGATAATGTATTCAGACATTCCTCTGATTTAGGAGGCTGCAACAAGCAAATGTGATTATATTTAGTTTATTTAGGCCGCTTGAATGGTCAGTTGTTAATTGAATTTGCTGACATTTTCGCTTCATCAACTGTCAAAAGTTTTTACACGCTTATTAAATAATAACAGAGAGTCAGAAAATGTTTCTTCAGAGTAATCCCCCCCTAGCTCAGTCTCCCTCTCAGCTGACATTCCATGTGGATTAAGAGCAGCTGACAGGTGACTGTAATCTGAGTTCTGTAGGGTGTGTATGCTGGAGAGCTGTGATCTCTGCAGGGCAGATGACTAACAGAGGCAGAGAGAAGGAAACCTCCTGCCATGGGATTTACTGTACATCTCTGTCATTAAACTCATGACATAAACACAGGAAGGAAGTCCAGGGATCCCATCTTGTTTCACCCCGAGTCAGGGACCCAGATGTTTCCTTTATATTTTGTGCAGGCTCACAGCTTTCAGTTGATGTGGAAAAAAAGTGAGTTAAGCAGGAGAAGTTGACTAGATGATAGAATGATAAAATGAAAAGTGTGAATCAGTCATGTTGGGATCATCCAAAATAAACACAAAGCACTTGTGCCCTAAAAAAGAGAGCAATTTCTCAGTGAAAGAAACACCCTACCATGCCTTTATACCCATATTTATGCTGTACAGATAAATTAAACAACCTTTCTTGAGGCCTCTAATGTTTACCACAACTCCAATTATGAAGATAGTTGGAGAGGAGGGCAAGAGCCACAACAACTGGTCTTGTCAAGTAGGCTTCTCCCTTTACCAGGACCAGGACACCTAACAGCTACTGGACCATAGCTAACTAGCAACACCGCCTCTCTCTACGCTTGATTTTACCTTTCATTTTTTGCTTGTTACTCAAGTGATACAAAATATTCATTTGTATGCAATATCTTTAAAGCAGCCCAAATATATATTTTCATTATCATATCTTAGACTATACCAGTGAAACGGCTAAAGACACTGTGTCCTATGAATGATCATTTTACTTCATGTTGTGGTTTTATTTAACATGACAGCTCAAAAGGTTGATAAAGTGAATGTTTAAAACTGATATTTCCTGATTATGTAGATCTGTAGGTTAGAAGCACATGAGTGAAGGGGTTAGACATTTATTTCTAAAAAAAACATTTTTCAATCTTGAAAGTGAATTTAGTCTGTTATAAGTTTTATTAGAATTGTGTTCAGACCAAAAAAGATAATTTTAAATAAGTAGGGATACGGTCAACTTACCCCATACACGGGTTAAGTTGACCATAGGAGACCACTTTTTTTGGCATGCTATATTATCAAGACAGTTATGTTTACTCATTCTGTTGGTTTGCAGGGACGCACAACATCTTGAAATATATGCAGATACACTAGAGACAAAACTATGATTGCTTTGATGTAGTGATGTAGTGATTGAAATATGAAAAATGGCTCATCTTACCCCACTCTCCCCTAATGTTTTTCAAAATAACAACCAAAGTATGAATTCAGATTTTTTTTAAAGTTGAATGGTATAATAAATATAATTATTATAATTATAACTATAATTATAATAATAATAATAATAATAATATTACGTCTTCTTTTTGTATTTTCCTTTTTTTATTCTTCTCCCCTAATGTTTTTCAAGATAACTACCAAAAATCATTATTTTTAAGTTAAATGGTATGAAATTATTACTATTATTATTTATTTTGCCTTTTTTAAATTATTATTATTATTATTATTACTACTACTACTACTACTACTACTACTACGTCTTCTCTTTGCATTTTCCTTTTTTTTTTTTTTTTTTATTATTATTGTTGTTATTATTATTATTCTTGAGGCTGGACTTTCTTTTGCAGACGTCCTAAAAAAAAACAAAAAAAACGAAGCGAGCACGACACCGGAAACGGACCGACCAAAAAAAAATAGAAGCTGAACCGTCAAAACATAAACAGAGCAGTCAACCTTGTGTGTGAACGCAGCGAGCTGATTTAAGTCCTCCTTTGACAGAAAGCTTATGCACGCATTCCTAATGTCGTGTTTTAGCCGTAAAAGAATTCCTCGTCGAGGCACTTAGCTCAGTTGCTAAGCAGTGGAGTGGAGAAACTAAATCTGCAATAAAGATTAGGACTAAACTAAGAAGTACGCCTCGTCGGGCCTTCGAGCAGAGGTAACGCTAGCTATGCTAGTTAGCCACCAGCACAGAGTCTGCTCGCTGCTTGGTGTCTTTTTTTGACAACCAGCTGTTTGGTTGTTCGGCATGACTCTCGGCACTTGTACTTTCGCTATTTGTTAGCCTCACGAAGACTAGTTAGCTTTAGCTCCCGTCTGTAACAATGACATATAGTCGGAGCACTGCAGAGGACAGTACACTATTTTACATTTAAAAGCAAGATTAGTTACAAGTCAGGCCGTAGAGACAGAAAGGTGCAGACTGAGTTTGTTCATGTCGTTGCTGCATTGAGGTGAATGTTGGGTAAGTTTAGCCTGGTTGTTAGTGTTGGAGCTAAGGAGCTAACAGGTAACTTTGCCCCTTGGCTCTTAGTGCAGCGTCGATGGTTGACAACAGAGAGCAAGCAGGGATGTCTGCTTACAAATGCATGCTGCAAGTTTCCTTCCTCAATTCAACATACGACCTAAACTGTTTTTATTCTTGTGTTTTATCTGCAGGTTTTCCCTCGGGTCGACGCAGGACAAAGAGGACAGAAATGGCTGAAGCTGACAGTAAATCCACCGTGCTTAACGGTAAAGGATCAGTGCCACAAAATAACGATGTCCATAATGACAGAGGCGTTGACTGTTAATCTGTGGGTGTGTTTGGTTTTAACCAGGTGGCTCTGAAGAAAAAGAGCCTGAAGAAGATCAACACAATGAGGAAGATGCCTCAGGAAGCAAAGAGGGTCAAACACAGTCTTCCTCACAGGATGATGGTGACTATTATCATCTCAAAACCTTTCACTACGCCAAAAGTACTACTTGAATATAGTTTTGAGCGTATCTTATAAGTAACCTGCCTGATCTGTCTTGGGAATATTTAACGATCAATTATCGTTAACCCAATAATGATGAAAAATAAATGCATTTGTTTCCTAAGTCACACATCTAATGGGTAGAACAACATGTATTGTATAGCTAAGAGCTGAATATCAACATGGAGGAGGAGGATCATAAAATCCATCTCTGCAGACATACAGTCATGCAGGGCAAGGCTCAAACTAAATGTGGAATATCTGCGCCAAGAGAACTTAACAGAAAAGTATTTCAGACTCTCGGGGTCCAGATTCCTCCTAACTCGCTCGTACTAAGAGAAACATCCGTGTCCATATGGTTGGATGTCAGTAAGAAGCGCAACCTGGTCACAATCTGTGGCCGCAGCAGAAAACACACACTCAGAAGGCTCTGATGTTGCTGATATGCAGCTTCAAGACTGGTAAATCTCTCTGCCAGCCTTGTGTCTATGTTATTATTAGTCCACCCAAAAAAGAGCCCACGGATACCTAGTAGAATAACTAACATCCTTGATAGAAACACATCATAAATGCAAGTATATTCGAATAATATCAGTTTTCTTTTCTCATTTACTTTCTAGCCTGACAGTGTGCAGCAGTTTTTAAACTCTGGTTGAATCTCCCAGTGAGAGCTTTCTGCTTTAATCTTACCTCCTTCATTCTGGCCTCCCCTATTTCTGCAGCTCCCAAAGAAACAGGTGAGGCATCTGGAGACAAGCCTATGCCAGATGTGGAAGGAGAGACAGGGGACAACAGAGAGGGAGAGGAGGAGGAAGACACAGACAGCATGGACGGCAGCGGTCTCTACTCCCTGACTGAAGATGGCGAGAGAGAGAGTGAGGGGGGCCGACGGGAGCGAGTGAAGGACAAAGATGGTGGGAAAAGGGCAGCTAGAAAGAGGAATAGACCTGGCGGCGGCGGCACCAACCACTCTACCAGCTCAGATGACGACGACGATGAAGATGAAGAAGAAGATCAGAAAGATGACGAAGACGATGACGAGGCTATGGAGGCTTGGCTGGGAGCGGAGCTCCAGGATCTGCGTGGCCCGATATGGCGGGCGGTACCCTCACTGTGCTCCAGAGAGATCGGCAGAGACTCGCACCAGTTTGTGAGGCGCGTGTGCGGAGCCCGGGGTCTGGTGCAGAGGCTGGAGCTGCAGGGCCGACTGGAGAAGCACACAGGCTGCGTCAACACATTGCACTTCAACCCCTCGGGGACGCGCCTGGCCTCAGGCAGCGATGACCTGCGAGTGGTGATCTGGGACTGGGCGATCCGCCGGGCCGAGCTGGAGTTTGACAGCGGCCACAAGAGCAACGTCTTTCAGGTGAGGAAAACAGAAGCCCCAACAAGAATTAAACTTTCTTTATATCGCAAGAGAGTAGAAAATGAGTAAGTGAGTGATTTGTCAGTCTGGTTAGAAACTTAAACCAGTCCTCTCTTCCAGGCAAAGTTCCTGCCTCACAGTGGAGACTCCACTTTGGCCATGTGTGCCAGAGATGGTCAGATCAGAGTGGCCGAGCTCTCTGCTACACAGCGCTGCAAGAACACCAAGCGAGTAGCACAGCATAAAGGGGCAGCACACAAGGTGAGTGTAAACACGCTGCTGTTGAGGGATGTTAAAACTTCCCCTGCAGCTTTTTGTGGAATTAAACAACATCCTCCTTAATAGTTTCTCCCGTTGAACAATCTTAACTTCATTTTATTTTGGTCTGGGCTGGAATCAGAATTCGATTTACACTGATTTTAATTTAAACTGCAGCTTCAGTGAATGTATTTTTGACTCTGATGCTTATTTAGTTTCTCATCTGTGTGTTTTTTTTTCCTTCTCTTTTTAATTCCAGCTGGCACTCGAGCCAGATTCCCCCTGCTACTTTCTGTCAGCTGGAGAGGACGCTGTGGTGTTTGGTATTGACCTGCGTCTAGACCGTCCTGCCAAGTGAGTGACGTCATATAAAAGTTTATCTATTTTTAACTTAGAAGTTTGTGCAACAGGCAGGAAAGACATAGCGAGTTACAACACCACATACTCCATGTCTGATTTCTGTTTCGTCTTTTTTCTTCCCTTCGTGTTGGTGATTGGCCAGTTTAAGATACTCTTTCCAGTTTTCCTCCTTTAGCCACATGTGATCATTCTGCTTTCTTCACAGCAAACTGGTGGTCGTAAAGGAAGGTGACAAAAAAGTAGGGCTGTACACCATCTTTGTCAACCCAGCGAAGACACACCACTTTGCTGTTGGGGGAAGAGATCAGTATGTGAGGTACGGGATTCATTCATAAATGAAATGCAGCGTGTATAAATCGGAATATATTTCACCTGTTTTACATCTTCATCCGTTTTTCTCTCCTCTCCACACTCGGCGCAGGATCTACGATCAGAGGAAGATTAATGAAAACGACAACAACGGTGTGCTAAAAAAGTTTTGCCCTTCACATCTGGTATCCAGCGAATCCAAAACCAACATAACCTGCCTTGTGTACAGTCACGATGGCACAGGTAAAATCATCATAATGTAAAGTTTTGCAGATTTTAAATACCCCTATGTACTTAATTACATAATACCTCAATCTGGTATGATCTGTGCTTTATTCATTGTGTGAAAAAGCAGAAACTTCTGCTTTTCCTACCACTCCTGATTCGACCGCAACACCGATGACTCTGAAAGACAAAGAGGTCTATTGTTATTGAATAAAGAGCATTTGTTTGTATTCACCTTTGCAGAACACCACTGCAGTCAGATTTCCCAGGAATTAAAACCTTTAATTTTTAGGGGACTAATGTCTAATTTTGTGGGATTGTGTGGATATTTTCTCTTATCATAAAAAGTTGAGACCTCTAAGTGAAATTACAGCGATAAAGATATTGTTTTACCTCGTTTGTCTTCGCAGAGCTCTTGGCCAGTTACAACGACGAAGACATTTACCTGTTTGACTCGAACCACAGTGACGGGGCCGACTATCGCAGGAGATACAAGGGACACCGCAATAATGCTACAGGTGTTATAGTCAGCTCTGTCGCAGCAAATCATAGAGGAATTATTCTTCTCTGTATCTTTAATCAGCTGACAGATCAGTGATTGGTTTCTCTTCAGCATTCAGATTTCTCTCTCTTCTTCCTCACAGTGAAGGGGGTGAACTTCTACGGGCCGTGCAGTGAGTTTGTGGTCAGCGGCAGTGACTGTGGACACATCTACCTGTGGGACAAGTACTCTGCTCGTATCGTCCAGTTTATGGAGGGAGACAGAGGCGGAGTGGTGAGTCATAGAGACCGAGTCAAACATATTTATATTTGGTGCAAAGATAACAGAGGAGAGGCTGCATAAACTCAGCACCGGTTTGTAATGTCTTTTTGTAACCCTCGGACGGTATCTAACCTAATTTGGTCTCCTTTGATGCCTACAGGTGAACTGTTTGGAGCCACATCCACATCTTCCAGGCATGGCCACCAGTGGGTTGGACCATGACGTCAAACTGTGGGCCCCTACAGCTGAGACCCCCACAGGACTCAAGGGTCTGAAAGAGGTATTATTTTGATTCTGCTTTTTCTAAGTCTGAGCCTATTTCTGTTGTTACCAGTTATTCAAAATTCTTACCTAAATTCAGGAAACTTCATTTATCAAAACAAGTCAAAGATAAGGCGCCTAAACTCTGTGTGTAAGATCTCTATGCCCAGTAAAACAGGACTGCTAGAGCTCTTTGCTGCAAGAGGTCCTTCATGCAGCCATTCACACATTCACACCTGTTACAAACCGCTTGTCGTTTTTGTCAAGGTGATGAAGAAAAACAAGCGAGAGCGCGACGAGGACAGCGTGCGCCACGGTGACCAGTATGACACCCAGCTGTTGTGGTTCCTCATGAGACACATGAGGAACAGAAGGCCCCAGAGGGTGAGTGCTGAAGCATTTCAATAACTACTATGTTTACAGGCCAAGCATGACGGTTGTAAATGGAAATGTAGGATGATAATAAGTCTCTAAATACAATGGAAACTTACTGCGAAATTGATCATTTCTTAAAGCCACTGTAAGGAATTTTTGGTTTGTACTTTTTCACATGTGCCCCGTGGATGGAATTATACCTTTTATGTCTTGTTGAGAAACTTGAAATCAAACTGTTTCTCAGGCTTGCTGTCTATCATCTGGTTTGACACCTTTGCCCACTGAGCGGGTTCAAGCATCAAAATATACATGAGAAATTTTCAGCAGAATTTGTTGTGAACTCATTTGATTCTCAAAGTCATGAGTCACCAAAATCAGGTTTAGCCAGTTACTCTACTTCTAAAAAAAACTCCTCACAGTGCCTTTAAATTCTTTGTCGCGTACAGATAGTGCTGCGGTTGAAGTGTTTGGCCACAGTCCACTTGGAAAATGTCCAAAAGAATCGGACATATTAAGGAAGCTGTTATTGGTGACTGGCTATAGCACTCCTACAGCAGAGGCAGAAAAGAGGAAGACTGCAAGCTTGCCAACAAGGAATTATCTAATGAGTATTTAAAGATCTTCAACATCTGAGTTTATTATCAGTCTGATATATACATTACAGAAGTTATATCCCTTCACAGGAGAGTTTTTATCAATTTTAGTTCAAGTCTCAACTCAACTCAACTCAACTTTATTTGTTAAGCACAGCTGAACAAAGTGCTGTACATAACTAGACAAAACAACAAGATAAAAAAAACAATCAAAAAACAATTAAAACAATGGATAAAATAAAAGCAGAATTAAAAGTAAAATATAGTTTCAATGTTTTTAAAAACTAATTTAAAAACATAGAAACAAATAACTAAAAACAAACCATAAAACACTATAACAGGAGCCGAGTCTCATGCAGGGTTAAAAGCCAATGAATAAAAATGGGTTTTAAGACGACTTTTAAAAATGGACAGTGTGGGGGCTTGTCTAATTTGGAGGGGTCTGTGATACATGTGAGCATCAAATCGCCTAAATCGTACCTTTTTGTCCCCCGACACAGCCCCGCCCAGGCGACGCTGACACAGACGACTCTTGGAGCTCTCCAGATTCCTCTGATGAAGAAGAGGGGGGTCCAGACCATGTCCAGTGCATGTCCTCCTGAGCCACATACACAAGCATACATGCACTTACATGCAGACACATAAACATACAGTAAACACACACACATACACACACTCTTTATTGCCCTTGAATTGATGCACATTAGGCAAGCACTATTGACACACTGGCACACTCAAACACTGATGAGCCGCAGACTTTGGTTGTTTTCTTTTTTCTTTTTACACACATACAGACTCAAACACACACACACACACACTTTTACGTGAACATACTGTTGAAGCAGAGTGACAGATAAGCTTACCACCTGGTTTTCCAGCTGTTGTGAGTGTGCAGACGGCGACTACAGAGTGGCATACACACTTCCAGAACCCTGATTTTTTGAGAATTGTGCAAAGAGTTTTTAGTGAGTGTGTACATCCCTACGAACCACTCGGAGGCCCCCCCACCCCCTGCTTGTCCGTATATTATCTACAAGCTCTGCCTCACCCCAGAACGATGTACTGTGTGTGTGTTTGGCAGCAAGCACCTCCTTTTTTTTTTTTTAGACACCCTGTAGGAAGCTATACATCACCAGCACACAATCCCCTCTGTCTTAGTAGCACACTTCTTCCTCGCTTTCTTCGGAGAGGTGTAAATTGGTACTTTGAAACCATCCTCTTAATGTGACTTCCTTAAAAGTTTAACAGTGTAGGAAGAAATCCCAGCGCCCCCCGAATGCATCACCCCAGTCTCTTACTGACGTTTGGCCCTCCGCTTTTATGCAGCTTAGTTGCATTTCCTCACGTCTCCTCACCTGAAGACTACTAAATCCCTACATGCTGCATCACCCTACATGCTGCCCCCCTTTCCTCCTCTTTCTCTTCATCCTCCTCCCCCTCGCCGCTGAGTGCACTTTGAATCAGGGATGCTTTAGTTTGAGACACAGACAAAATGTGCACTGAGTGTGTGGATTTGGGGGTAAAGTTGTTTTTTCTTTTGCATTGGAAAACTCACATCTAAGTTTTTTTCTTGACTGGGGGGATGTTTTGCACCTTTGCTTTATTTTTGGAAAAGGAAGAGGAGGTTTCTTTTGCTTCCACCAGCTGTTCTTCCTCATCTTCCTCCCTCCCTTTCCATCCAAACGCCCATCAATTTACATGAAAACGTCACTTTAAATCTCAGTGGACATAAAAACAGATGTAGTAGGTGTTAAGCGTGTGCATAGAATTTAAAGGACAAATGTTGGGGAGCTGTGTACATTTGAGGACCCAGAACTGACCCGGATTAAATCAGAATGAGGGCGGATGGACTACACTTGCTCCTGAGAATCTCTCTGCGACACCGACAGTAGCCGAGCGGCAGTTTTCAGTCGATTATTTGAACCAGATCTCGCACACTACCGGTGAGGAAACTTTAGTCCGTGCTGTGTGAACATTGGCTCAGAGAGGGGGAACAGAGGGGGCGGCGGGGTCAATATGCTTGCCAGTCATTTGTTGTGTGAGAGCGATAAAGTCCAGCTTTTTCTCATTTTCTATGAGAACTCTAGTTAGTTGAATTTATATGTACATATATAAATATATATTAAAACTGTAAAAAAAAAAAAAAAAAAAAAACATCTTTAGAAAATGCTGTTTGACTTCCAAAAAAAGAGAAAAAAAAAGATGTCAAAACATTTGATTGGTATTGATGCAGAGGTTTATATTCTATATGAGGACAAAGTACTTTTAAAATCCAGACTCAAAAAGTCAGTTCGAGGCACCGTTTTTGTTCAGTTTTACTTTTTCTGAATAGCATCCCTGTGTTAGGAACTGAGTCAGTCATTTCAAGTGTTCAACAGTATTTCCTTTCTAGATCTTAATCCGACATTTGAGAACGTTTTTCCAGATTTTCCCACTGGCTATTTTTGGCATCTTGTATACATACATACATAATCAGGCTTTTGATGAACAGTTTTTTTTTCCACCACTGCCTATTATTGCATTATACCAGTTCAGTTGGAAATATGTACAATTCGTGCAATAAACAAAGACAGTGTACTCAGTGTGTCATCATTTAATCTGTCTTGTTCTAGTTACGTACTATATTTATAACCCATTAACTGCATGACTGAAGTAGCTCTAACAGGCGCTGACCTGCATGTGTGTCATTTACTTCTATACAAGAGAAACTAGTGCGTTAAATATTTCCCACCAGTCATTTAAGGTTTAAAAATGTCTGATCTATTCTCATTACAGGTAATTTATACAAGTATTTTTCCATTTTATTAGACCACAAATAAACTTTTCAAAACAAGTGTATTAGAAAACATCATTTAGTTACTCCAAATAAGATTAACTTTTCCAGGATACTGTATTTTCTTCATGTAGGGGAGAGTGGGGTAAGTAGAGCCAGAGGGCACGTTGCAAAACTTCTGAAATCAAAACGCAAAGCTGAGCTCCAACGATGAACCGAGTTGTGCCCTCGAGTCACTTTCTACTTGTTTTAGCTTAAGGCAATAAAAACCTCACATATGTTCATTACATCGTGTTTTTTATTCAACAGTTCTTGAGAAGGAGTGTCAACTCTACATGCTGCATGTCTGCAGTGAAAAAATATTACTACCCAAACTGGTGATCAGTCACATTATATATCCATTCTTAAACAAACAGCCCTAAGTGGCACGAAAAGAAGAGACCAAAACAAACACTTAAAATGAACAAACAGAGGCGTCTATGAAAGAGTTCTGACTTTGGTATATTTGTTTTCCCAGCTGGTGTCTAGAACAAAACCAGATCTGTAAAAAGATTTGTCAGAACACAGTAACACCTGTAAAAATCAGCTTCTCTCTCACTCTCACTCTCTCTTTCTCATCCAGTCATCGCACCTGCTTTGAAACCGTCAAAGACGTCATTCAAAGCGACTGCGGATTAAATACAGTATGAAACTACAAATAGCCCTTTCACAGCTCATCCCAAATATGATAGTTTTTTCTTGTAATAAAGAAACTTATTTCCAAATGAGCTGCTTTTTTCCACAGCAGGCTGCTTTAAAGCACCCAAACACAGGCGGCAACAGTCTTCCGACCTGTTTCAGTTAATCTGTTGGGCTTCCTGCCCCGTCCTCCAGCGAGCAGATGTCAGCTAGCCTGTCAAATACAATCTGCCGTGACACAGTGCCGATATAAATATTAAAAGAGGCACTATCATGAGCTTTCACTTACTTGCACACAAGCACACACAGAATCACACTGATAAGAATCTCAAGTGTCAGGTGTGTTATTCCTTGTATTCAAGAAACTGCTGCAATCTTTTCCGGTGCTCTGCAGACATCTGGACAGCGCTGAGGATTGAAGAGAAATGCGTGTCAAACAGCCGTCAGATCTTTTTGTGTCGTTTAAATTCACTCAGTTGTTGTCAGAGGCCTTACTTTAAGTGGGCTCCGAATGTGGTTGTTATCCTGTAGATGGCAGTCTTGAGTGTCGCCCGCAGAGCGAAGCGCAGGGTTTTGTAAGTGGAGTCTCCCATGCTGCCGCCTGACCTGACCGGCTTACTGGAGGCATGAGGCAACTTGAAGTGTCGATCCACAGCCTGGAGACGTGAGGGTTGAGACATAACTGCTGTTAGACAGAGCTGGACTCAATGCAGCTTTCATTTTACACCTACAGCTCCCACATGCTGCACTGTTTACAAAGATCTCCAGTCAAGCTTTATTTCTAAAAACAAAAATTTAAATCATATAAAGTCAATATTTAACTGGAAGTAGTGCAAAGACAACAAACCAAATGATCAGATTTCAGACTTGACTCCTTTCTTTCTCAAATTTATTTTCATATTATGTCCTATAGATGATGAAATACCCACATTGTACTTGTTCACACAGTCTCTCACAAAGTATTGAACCCAGACTCTCTGGAGTTCCCTTTGTGTATCCAATCATGTCAATAAACTGTTAAAAATTAGATTGGTAAAAATGTCTAAAGATGTTTTTTTTCAAGGATTTTTCAAGTACAGCCAAGCACTGTGTTCAATGTTGATAAAAAACTAAATTTTTAAATCATAAAAAGTCAATATTTAACTGGAAGTAGCGCAAAGCCAACAAACCAAATGATCAAAAATAACAATTTACAATCTTTGCAAACATTTGGAAACCAAAGAAATCCGTTTCTGAAATTTTTAAAGTGTCCCAGTTTTTGCCAGATAGAGGATTATAGCTACTGAACAGTTCAGGGTCCCTTCAATTCAGTGACTTCCACTTCAGAGTCAAGTCTGTTTTTTATCTCCTGCAGCCTGAGAGTCCAAAAATCCCCATCAAACATCACTTTTAAGACTTGACTCCTTTCCTTCTCAAATTTATTTTCATATTATGTCCTATAGATGATGAAATACCCAAATTGTTCTTGTTCACACAGTCTCTCACAAAGTGTTGAACCCAGACTCTCTGGGGTTTCCCTTTTGTATCCAATCATGTCAATAAATTGTTAAAAATGAGTCTATTAGGTTGGTTAATATTCCTAAAGATGTTATTTTCAGGGATTTTTCAACATTTTTCGCACTTTTAGGAGAGGTGTTTAGAGAGAGCATGTAATTTGGAACAAAAACATTGTTCAGTTTCAACATTTGATAAATTTTCTTAACAATAATTTCAATTAAAGGCACTATATGGGCACTGTATGGAAGGCACTATAAAGATATAACACTGAGTTGAGTACATATTGATTTTAACAGACTGTAGATGCAGGAAACATGTTTTTGTTTTTTTATAAAGATTGATAAAAGGCTCCTGAACTTTGTGCCTCACTCTCAGTGTAATAAAGCAGAGACGTGCACTCTTATCACTTCATCAAACAATGGTTGCTGTGCCGATACGTGCTCTCAGATGAGCTACAATAAACCACGACAGCTTACCTCCTGTAAAACCAGCATGCAGCCAAGAATGCTGGGTAGTGTAGTCTGCACAACTCCAAACTGGTCCTCTGAGTAAGATGCTTGAACAAGGTATGACATCCCTGGAGGAAAGGTATTAAAGATTAAAGGAGAGGCTGCATTAAACAAGTTGCATCCGTGTCAAATGAATATGAGGCTCATAATCTTTCCTTACCTTCTAAAGCCCAGATGTGAGACTGACTGTCTGCAAACAGAGCCTGACTGGAGGCTTCAGGAAGCTTTAAAGAGAGCATTTTCATTTGCAAAGAGGCTTTCTCATCAGCATAGATTCACAGTTTGACAAGATTATGGATCTGGGAGTTAATTGGCGGAAAGATTTTAAAGAGACTGAACTAAACTTAAGCATGCATGAGCGATCATTGGAGGGTGCACCTCAGAAAGCTAAGCAGAGTACTGTTTCCTGCACAGAGGAAGTGCAGTGTGAGTTTGACAGTGATTGTGATCAGCTTTTTAGTATCAGCTGATTTCTCGATGTGATCAGCACACACGGTGCTTCCAAATACACCCAAACGTGTGTTACACAACCCCTTCATTCAAGGCTCGGTGTAATCAATTAGTAAGGCTCTCTGTAACAGCTAGACGGATGGAAAGGCTCTACATTAGTAATGTCTACACGCTGAAGCCCAAAACCAGGAGGTACATTAGTGAAGCCTGCAGGAGGGGGGGGTTGTTAGATTCAGGGAATCTAAATGAATAGCCCTTTGGATATTGCAGGTTTGCAACAGCATCGCAGCAAAAATCCATCATCAACCAGCTCTTGTGTTTTTAATCTCAGACCTCTGTGACACCTCTGTTATAACCTTCAAGGCCAGCACAGCTCCAGGAAGACTTGATCCCATCATTACATCTTTGTGACATTCAAATTCAATGCGAGATGCCTCAAACTGGCAATATGAAAAGGGCTATTTTCTAAAATCAATCTATGTCAGCATGCAGGCCGCCCCTCAAAGTGCCCAGGAGTCTACCGAGGAGAGCATGCACATGCTACACGTGTCCTTACCTTGTTAAACAAATACATTATCAGCACCCGCTTTGCCAAGAAATTTTTGACCTGAATGGAGCAGTTAAGTTGTTTTAGCTTTCAAAATTTCACAGCGTTATCAAAACACACATGAAGAAAGTGTAAAGGCTTTTCATACTTGAAGGAAGGATAAGAGCTCTATTCAATAAGACAGAGGTCAGCAGCCTCTGCGCAGAGAGGATACATTTTCTGAACATGTAATGAAACTGTTAAATCCTTGAAGCACACTTCCTTTCAAAGTTTATCTAAAGTAATCAGAGCCATTCAAACCCCTCTATAGGACTACAAGGGTCAGCACACTGTTAATAACTAAGTATGAGAAACTCTTGATCAAAGCTGAGGATGTGGTTCTGCCTTGTCAGACTGAAGTACCTGTTCTTTTCTGTTCTGGAGGAACTTAGCCAGGAGACTCGGTTTGGATGGTTCCTGCTTGAGACTAGTTACTGAGGCGGGGGATGGAGGAGGACTTCCATTGACCTGTGAATCTGTACGGGACCAGTGAGACAGCTCGGTTTATTAGTAACATTTGAATAAGTTAATTGTTTTGGTCAAACACATTAACACCTTCCTTGAAACTTCTCTTACCTGTGGAGGTGGACCAGAGTTTTGGCCCCCTCCTCATGACGTGCGGGCTCTGCACTGAGCCGAACCACGGCGAGCACTGGTCCACAGGAGCGGTGAGACGCCGCAGAGCCGGAGAAGCGAAAGGGCTGTCCAGGTCAGGAGTGAAGGGTGCCGTCAGAGGACTCTGAGGGTGACCAGCGACAGAGCGGGCGAACACGGAGGCTGGAGTTTTCATCAGTAAAGTGGGCTTCGGGCTCATCAGATCCTCTGTCCCTGAGGTTACTTTTGTGGGGAGAAAAAAAAGGAGAATTTTAGAGTGACAAAGTTTTAAAGTTTTAAACAATTCAGCTTAACCGATCAGTCGTGGTGAAGAAAGAGCTGAGCCGTAAGGCGAGACTCTCGATTTACCGGTCGATCTACGTGCCGACCCTCAGCTATGGTCATGAACTTTGGGTAATGACCGAAAGGACAAGATCGCAGATACAAAAAGCCGAAATGGGTTTTCTTCGCAGGGTGGCCGGGCTCAGCCTTAGAGATAGGGTAAGGAGCTCGGACACTTGGGAGGCGCTCAGAGTAGAACTGCTGCTCCTCCACGTCGAGAGGAGTCAGCTGAGGTGGCTCGGGCATCTGGTTAGGATGCCTTCTGGACGCCTCCCAGAGGTGTTCCAGACATGTCCCACCAAGAGGAGACCTCATGGCCAGCCCAGGAGCAGGTGGAGGGATTATATCTCTCTCGCCTGGCCTGGGAGCACCTGAGAATCCCCTCGGAGGAGCTGGTGGAAGTGGCTGGGGTGAGGGCCGTCTGGGCTTCCCTTTTGAAGCTGCTGCCCCCGCGACCCAGACCCGGATGAAGCGGAAGAAAACAACGACGACAATTAAGCTTTTTATGTTTTGAGCGACAAACCTGATGACTCAGACGAGGTCTTCCTTTCACTTCCAGTAGACAGCGATTTGGCCCGGCCGTTGGTTGCTACGGTGTCGTGATAGACTACAAGTCTCTGGGTCAGATCAGTCAGCAAAGACAGACACTCCTTACTGATGGCGTTCCAGTTATGAGGATGGCCACCTGGAAAACAGACACGTACAAGTCTGAAAATTTTAACTTTAATGTCCATGAAATCTAAATGAGATCAAGCAAAAAAATCTCCTTGTCTGTGGAGCGAAAAACAGACCTGGCTGACTGAGACTGAAGACCTCAGAGCGTCGTGATGGGGAATGCTGAGACAACAAAGCCAAGTCCTGCAGAGCTAAAAACTACGATTTGGAAAAAAGAACAATAAAACACCCAGACTCCGTACGGAACCAAATAAAATAATGAATTTCAAAGTAATTACATGTGCTTTTTTTGTCTCTACCTTCACGATCATTGGCTGCTTGTCAGTAAGAACTTTTGGAAGACACTGGTGAGCATCCTCAGTAAAGGTCGACTGCACTGGAAAACTGTACACCTGGATGGAGAGGAATAACAAAGTCAAGTGCTGATTCATGGTTTTTCATCATTATTGTGCATTTCAGTCAGGCGCTGTTCAGGCACTTGAATATTTAAAGAAAGGACAACATCGCCCCCTAGTGATTGTAAATAATTAAAATGCAATCAGAGGCAGGGTTTGCAATCCAACACTCCACTTCAAAGCCAATTAAAAGACAGGAATTGGCAACTGCGTTTTTGTATTAGAATAGTGCCGAGTCCATGCGACTTCATAGATGCTTAGCTTTAACCTTTAGCCTGTAGAAGAACTCAATTCAGATAGAAAGGCCTTTGGGGTTAAGGCCAGTTGTATTTAGACATGGCAGTGAGGACTTGGATTAAAAGTGACACACCTCAGTGACAAAGATCCTGAAGAGCAGCAGTGTGATGTGCCATGTGAAGAGAAGGAAGGTGGCGCTGATCCACAGGTGGTAGAGCAGGGAGAGGTCCAGCAGTCCTGCTACACTGTCGAGCTGGTGGACAGAGCTGGAAGTGAAGATTGGACACATTAATGCAGATGTGGTGCCTTATATTACTCTAGAAAAGTTTTTTTTTTGTTTAATAAGATATAAACAGACTCAGTACTGACCTGTTCAGCTCAAGGTTTAATGTTTTACACATCCACGCTCTTGGAATGTATCCTGTTGATCGGATAAATTCACAGTCATCTGTCACTTTAAATAACTCAGAAACAAAAACACTTGGAATAAAAACAACAGACCGATAAATAAAAGTGTGTCCATAAAAAAGTTATCTTGGCGCTGCAAACTCCTTGGGTAATTTATTCTGAGTTGTGTCACGCAGATCACTTACCCACGAAGAAATAAACAACAATGAAATTCCTGACAGAGTAAAGTGCTTGAGTGGCGCTGCATTTCACCACCAGAGGCAAGGATCCCTTGAAGCGGAGGTACTTATATTGCTGAGGAATAAAGACAATAAGTTCAAATCAACAACAAATATAAACATTTTGTTTTATGTTGTTTGAACGGTGTGTGCGGATAAGACATGTGAGCTAAAAGAGGTATAAATTCTACTCCATATTTAAGCATATTAAAGTTCCTCCTTTCTTACACTGCTCACTTGAAGTTTATGACTTTATGGTGTTGTGTTTTTATTTTATTGCTTCCTTTTTAACCAGGACTTGAGTACGTAACTCATCCACTACATGAACTAACATGCTCCAGAATGATCTAACCCTTCTTAAAGGGCCGGTTCAATCCAGGTGGGGCTAATTTCTCCACATATTTTGGCTGTTTTTAAGACAGTTTGACCCAAATACTACTGTTGGTAGAAATGCACACTAAATAAGAATTTTTGCAGGGCTGCGCAAAGCCCATTTGTTTTGGCAATAATTGCAACCATAAAACTAATTTACCTTATTCAAATATTCAAATTTTCTCCAAAAGCACCCGTGTTTGCATCTAAATTTAACATCTCCGTGCAAGGGGGTTAGGGTTAGGGTTAGGTACCTGAACAGTGTGGAAAGCCACATAGTTCATGTTGTGGATCACACCCAGCAGACTGTGAGAGAATCCAAAAAAGGCTCCGGCCAGCAGCAGGATAACTTGATACTCGTTCAGACACATCTGAGCAGAGCTGGCAGCATTGAAACAACACAGTTAGACATAAAGAAGCATGTAAAACTCAAAATAATAAGTCTTATCTAACAGCTTCTTACCCATCAGTCTGCGTGCAAGAGAAGCCAAGCGTCTCATATCTCCCCCCGATGGTGATGGCACAGCACCAACCAACAATTACCCCCATGATGCAGTGCGCCAGAGAGCTTAAAAGCTGACGAGGGTGGAGCAGATGACCCAGCAGGGCGATCTTTGAGCAAGGTATAGTCGGGATAACTGAGGGAAAGAAGAAAATCACAGTTACAAGGATGTAGACGTGCATACTTCCTGACAGTTCTCCAAAGTAAACATCTAGGAAATATTCAGTCAATTTTTTTAGCACCCTCCAAATCACCTGAATAATACTCCAGGTTCAGGAACCCCACCATGAGGATCACTCCAAACAGCAAAATCAAGGAGAAGATGGCACTTGCACTTGTTAAGAGGAAAAAGCATTCTGTGTGAAGAAATGAGTCCATGGTGAGTTTCACACAACTTAAGAAAGTGATGAATCAAATCTCCCATGAAGCACAGATACTGACCTGATATTGTATGGATAGGGTGAAAGAGACTGAACCTGCTGAGGATTACAAACACAGCTGTAGTGGGAGGCAACAAGAGAACAGCCCAAGCAATACTGGCCGCAGCTCTCCAGCAAATAACCTGAAAGAGATTAATTATTGATAAAAGATACAACAGGTACACAATTAGACTTACCCTAGGGGAGCAAATGCTGGTAATCTCAGGATATTCAAACTTGACTTGAAACTCTACCTGATGGTCAATATGTCAAAGTGGCATCTTTTCAAGCTGAAACTATTTTCAGCAAGCTTTTGTCATTTTTATTTGAGTATCCTTATATCGTGAAAAAACATCTTCACATGCTGACAAACAGTGTTTAAAAAATGCCCATATTCACTTCAGAGACTGTTGATGTTTTTAGGAAGAGGCTCAAGACTCACCTTTTTAACCCGGCTTTTCACTGATTGCCTTTTCATATTTCTCTTGTTGCCAATGTTCATTTTAATTGAAGTTCTTAATGTTTCTTTTATGTAATCTTATTAATTATTTCTGTTCTTAGTTTTTTTCTCCCACCTTAGAGGTTTTTACTTCGTTTACCCCTTTTATACGGTAAAGAGCTCTTACTTATTTGTTCATTTTATTTCGTATTCTTGTTTTAGTCTTTCTTTAACAATATATCTTAAATTCTCACTCTGTGTGTGCGTATGTGTGGGTGAGTGAGAGTGGGTGTGTGTCTGTGGGTCCATTGGTGGGTGGGAGGGTTGTGTTTTATTGTTGTTTTTAGCCTCTGAGAGGTACTTTGAACTAAATTTTTATGTCTTAAAAGTGCAGTAAAAATAAAGTTGAATTTGGATTTAGATCTTAGATAAGCTATTATATAGAGTGAACAGTGTTGGCTAGAGCTAGATGCACACATTTTTTTACTCTACTTGTTTCATAGATGTGAGCTTGAATAACCGATCTAGAACCTGTAAAGATGATAAGGATGGTGGTCTGACAGGGCTGTTTTTACTACTTTACATTTTGGAGCAGTTTTTTTTTTTTCTGAAGCCATCAAGCTCGACAATTAATCCACTTTCAACCCAGTCTGCTTTACAATGTCTGCCCTTTGAAATACAATCAAATTAAATACAATTTCCAACAAAAAAAAAGAACTTTAAAAAGGGATTGCGTGGAAAAAAAAAAAACATAATGAAATTATGTTAATAACCCAAAAAGTGTAGGCCGTAGCTAAAGCTTATTGTGTCTATTTCTTATAAATAGCATATACAAACTGGTAACTACTAAGTGAAGTTATTAATCAATCAACATTTATACAGTATTAATTCACAACAAATGATATCTCAAGACGCTTTAAAGAAGGTGCCGGTCTAGACCAAAGTCCTTATATTTTTTCTAAATTTCTTTTATCGTTTAAAAACATAAAATATTTGTCTTGTGGGACACCTCGGCACAAAATCTCCTATACAAAAATATTTTTAAAAATAATATCAAGTATATTGTGAGTAGTTGTCCTGATCGATCATATTTTTTGGTTGTTTATAATACGGTGATGGTTTTTCACAGTATTTATATGCGGCGTCCGATTAGGTTTCTAAGTGATCACATCCAGTTTTAGGTCAAATCTACTCAATTTTAATATTTTAATCTTTGACTTTTAGTTTCCCAGGTTAAAACATTGTAAACATGATTATCTAATCAGAACTACAACATTTAATCGGCTCAAACTGCTCAAACAGGCCAACATCAACACAGGCTACACTCAGTTAGCCCGCTAACTCATAGTCAGGATTAGTTTTTCCCTGTAATGAGGAAAAACTAGAGTTTGAAGACTCACCTTGCGGATAAACCAAGAGCTTTGCTGTGTAGAAAACATCTTGTATGGATTAGTGGAGAGAAAGACGGTGACAATAATCTCCTCGGAGCTCCTGCTGTCAAACTCTTTTCCACTCAGTTTCCCAGATCGCGCCACATGCATTCAAAGGACCTCTGAAGGACCCCAATTCATAGCTGTCCGCCTGACTGCCTGTTGCAATTGTCACTGTGGCGCGCATTCAGTTTTAGCGAAGAAGCTTCCATAAAGGAAAAAACAAATAAAATAAAAATAAATTTGTATTTTTATTTTTAAATTTGGTCTAAACTTTAAGTAGGAGAGGATAGCTTGATAGATACGATTTAACTAATGTTTAAGCTAAAAACTAGAAAGCTACGTAGCTATAAAAACTAGAAAGCTAGCTAGCTGTGAAATTGTACAGTCTCATAGCCTAAATATATTGCCATAAAATTAAATAACTCAAGAAAATCACGAAACCACTTGATGATTTTCGTTGTATCTCATTTTAATATACTTAAAAATGAATTTTAACTATTCTAAATGTAAGCACAAAGATTATTCACAAGCTACAACTCTGTTTTGAGTCTTATAGGCTTTTCCTTCAGTTCTGTATTCCTTTAGTTTCATCATGCATTAAAGCTTTCTTGTCATGATGATAGCCATTTCCATAAGCTGGAAAACTGTGTTTCTCCAGGACTGTCTTCCTCTCATGATCCCGAGTAAAGGGTTTGGTCTCAAAGGCATTGAGCGGTAGCTTTTGTGATAAACTGATGGACATCTCAGTTTGGACTGCTCTGTGGGTGAATGGTTTCTGTCCAGGTTTCTGGTTTATTGCAGGGAGGGCGAGCTGCTCCCTCTGGACCTTCTTATCTTCCCATAACTTGAGCAGCCGGCGTTGATTATTTGTCATATCCTTTAGATTTTGCTGCAGCTGCTGCACTTGATCCTCTAAGAGTGTTTTTGAGGTGACTGTATTTGCCAACTCTGATGTCAGGTCGTCAATGGTCATACTCAGTTTCCCAGCTTTCTCCACCATTGAGCTGCACTCACGCTCCTTTTCATGCAAGTCACTGATTATGTCCTTTGTGGTCTTTCCATTGAACTTAGGGCTGCACTCAAGTCCGATCTCAGTACGGAGAGCCTTCACTTGTTTCCTCAGCTCCTTGTTGTCCATCGTCAGAGTCTTCAGTTTCTGTCTCAGAGCCTCAGTCGAACGCATCTTGGATTCATACTGCCTCAGTTTCTCTCTCAGGACATTTTCCCTGTGCATGGCATCATCTCTTTCCTTTCTGCATTTCTCCAAAAGTTTCAACGTCTCAAATTTGGAGACCTTTTCCACTTTCCCACTCGAGCTGGCCATCCTTTGGTAAAGTTTCCAGATCAGAATATGTAAAAGAAGAATATTAAAAAGGCATCCTCCTCTTTTAAACGCCGTTGCTCACAAGCTGTTCAAATAATCCCACAGCATTTTGTTTGCAAATCCTCTTCACAAACCTGAGCAGACACATGAATGCCTGAGACTGAGGCAGGTGACATTTCCCTAACAGGGTTATCTGTTTGACAGGCAGCTCCTGTGTAACACAAAGCTGGGGCTAGAATGACCATTAATTAGGGCGCCACCATCCCTTTGACACCGTTTCAAGTGACACAATTTTTTTCTCTATTTTGCTCATCAGTCTAAAAACTCTGCTTCTAAAAATGAGTGAAATTATCAAACTCAAACTAAAGAGAAAGCTTATGGTTTCAAGGTGCTGATGACACCTGCGGAATCAGGCTTTACATACATAAGTTACATCTTTCCACTGCAGGTGATCAGCGCATCCAAACACTGACACCGTAGATTCTATCGGTATTGACCTCCTGACGGTTTAGATGGATGAGTTGGAGGAACAGCAGCACTTTATAAAGTTGGACGCTGTCCTTGAAATGTTGAAGTTATACCTATTAGTTACAATCTCTCCCTTAAATATTTAAAAGTCAAACTGTTGAAATACACTGGCAGACACTAACGCTGCGAGGAGCTGCTGGAGAGGAGTCACGTTGTCCTACACGTGTGGGGGTGAGTCAAGGTTGTCTGACGAATTTACAGGAATAAGAGGGTCAAAAAAACTTGTGTACTGGAATAAAGGATGCGGGTTTCCAGGTTTCCATCATGTTTAGATTTTAGTATCATTAAAGGAGTATTAAATATGGTAGTAGGTGAACTTTGTAACCCTTGGGCTAGCTTTCCTCCTTTTACAGCCTCTTTGCTTGGTTATACAAACCAGCTGCTTTATGATGCTGTTTTATTACTTTAAGGTCCTGTTAGGAAATTTTAGTTTACAACAATAAAGGTGCTGTGGACAAATCAGCTTATCTTGTCCCCTACATGCAAACAAAATCTAATTCTGCAGACATTTGACAGACAAATGTATCATTTATTGCGAATATTGTATGTGAAAATTGTAAAAACAGGGCTTGTTTTTAGCCGCTCAGCCAACACCTAGCCCCAGTTTAAGACATTAAAAAACATGATTGGAAAAATCATTAACCATTATCAGTGGTTTTATTTGATTTTGGTTATCCTAAAAAGCATCAGTTGTTTATTGACAAATGCAGACCCCTGCACCATGCCGTACCAAAGGAACTAAAGACTACGAAGCAGGACTGAAGAGAAGCCGCATGAGAAAAAAACTTAACACGGGAATCAGGGTACTTTCCAAGCCACAGGTCAACATAAAAGTCTTCTACCGTGGCCTACATACACCTGAGAGAACTTTAATGTTTAATCAGTACGTTTAGTGCATGTTTTGGTTAGCAGGACAGATGCTACGTCAGAACTGCAGTCTTACCAGGTTGCTTCTGGGCATGCCTCTGCTTTTACAAACTCTTTAAAACTCCACACATATGTCCTAAATGACCAACAGCAGTCGGTCATTAAATGTGTACAACAATTGAATAAGAAACAACATGTGAATAAAAAAAGTCTCCAAACAATCTGTTAATATTTTATTTTTGTGCTTTAAAACAGACTACAGGTTGACCAGTAATGTAGTTGTTGTATTTACAAAGATGATTTTACTATGAGTCCAAAGTGGAACAATTCACCTTCTCTCCCATATAACACTCACACAGACATGGGCACATCAAATTCCAGAAATCACTTTGTTAAAACAAGAGTGAATAATTAAAAAAAATAGTCCTTTCATTAACCACATGGGCATTTAGGTTGAGTCTTTGGCATTAGTTGAGGACACTTAGGTTTTATCAGACAAAGACATATACAGTTCTTTTTAAACAGACTAAGACTCGCCCTCTAATGTACCACATACTACATTTTTGTGCTGATCATAAAGGCAATTTTTTACACAAAGTATCCAGTTCCCATTTACACAATATAAAAATGCATATACAAAACCCCCTTGATGACACTGCACAGACTTATATCGAAGAATTTTAACAAAAGAGCTCCAAATAAGAAAAGTAAATCACTAAAAGAGTCCCACTGCGCTGTGTAACACCATACCCCGTTTTTCTTTCCTACGTTTAGAAGCCATCCCATTAGAGATAACATACTTGGTTCCAGTGTTCATTTTCAGAGGTCAGGCGGTTGAACCAAGCACACGCACACTCCAACCAGAACGTCCAAGTGCAGGTGTGAAATCCAGACGACGCATGACTTCATGACCACAGCAACCTGATTCTCTCTAATAAGGCAACAGGAGAGCCTGCAATTTAAAATAGAATAACACATGCTTTGGGAAGGAGAAATCATGTAGCGGAAGTCCGGTGTCAGATGTTGAGCTTTAGCGGGTCAATGAAAAAACACTCGGGGGGGGGGGGGGGGGAATAGGCCAACTTTGCGGAGCTGCTGAAGCGAAGGTCAGCATCGTTTTAAGATACGTGTAAAGTAAACATCAAAACAGGTATTTAAAAGATGAAGGATGAGGAATATGACTCACATGTATCAGGTTATTAGTGTATTTGCACAAAGGGAGCATGGCTTAAAAAGGTTCTGTGTCAGCATTGTTTACCTTCAAACAATGAGGGGCTTTCATGTGGAAGACGTCGGCTTGATCATCACCGCTGCAGGAGTATTTTCAACTTGCAGTATTGGTTCTGGTTTGCTGAAGAAATACGCCTGAAAACAACGACAAGAATACAGTGTTACCCAGTCCAGGAAAGACTCAATTACAGCATTAAGAGGGACTACTAATCAATCAGGAGGTAAAGCCGCTGTGTCTTGGACTAAGTGTTCAGCAAATGTTCGGCACAAGAGCGGAGAATAAAGCGTTACGGGCATCCATTCATCTTGGTCAGCCTTCAGACAAAGGCTTACTTTGTAGACTAATTACATGAGTGTGAGCAGATATATGACACCTCTGTGGACCTGACAGTGTTCACATTAAGAAGTGCACGTTCGCACACCGGTTAGCAAATGCACTCACAGTTTCCACAGAAGAGAGAGACTCCTCAGAGAGAGCTGAACTTGACACTATCAGGTCTCAGAAACACAGAAAGATGCACGCAAATATGTCAGGGGAGTGCTTTGCCTGTAATAGGTGGGTCAAGTCTCGGCCGCCCAACAGTCAATCACTGTTGTTATCTGCGCCAAGATGGACTGGCAGCTTGAATCAACTCGATTACAGAAGATAGCGTTTGCCAAAGCAAGACAAAAGATGATGTATCCTATTCCCTCGAACTGATTTTATTTCCATTTCTCTCAGATTTGTAATCAATCCTTGTTGTACAGTTATATAAAAGCAGCATCACGGAGATGGAGCACGGTTACCTTGCACCCGACTGCAAGCAGGGCATTAAGCAGAACGACGGCCGACAGGATTGCTATGATGACTTTGGGGTGGTCGTCCCTGACTGCAGGCCAGAAGGTCATCACCAGGACCGAGCCAGAGAGACAGAGAGCGATCACGATGGAGCACCACCTCAGCCATTCATACGGGAGAATCCACAGGACCTTATGTAGGAAAGGAAATGAGTGTTTATTAACTGACAAGATATCATCACATGACTTTGAAAGTTTATATTTCTTCACATTCTATCTTGGAAAAATCTTTACCGACTGTGTTTCAAACATAACCCCAATTCCAAAAATACTGGGACACTAGGTTGAAATCAGATGCAATCTAAACAATCTAAATCCAATTTGAAATTTTGATTGTCTTCATAAAAAAAGATGTTTCTTTTAAATTTGATACAAGCATCACCCCTTATTTGACCATTCAGTTTGCATTCGGGAATAAGGAGACTTCATCTTTTTAACGGGTGACAAGTCAGGACTGTAGGCTAACCAGCTTAGCACCTGGACTTTTCCACTCCAGAGCCATGGTGTTGTAATACATGCAGAATGTAAATGGGTATCGTCCTGCCCCCTTTGAAAAAGGACTTTTCTGGATGTCATCACTGTTGCCCCCAACCTTGTATGTTCAACAATAATAATGCCTTTCCAGATAGGTAAACCACCCATGCTGTGAGCAGTGATGCATTCCCATGACAAAAGGGATGCTGGATTACAAACTGTGAGCTGATACCAACCCTGGTGGTCCCTCTCTTCTTTTAAATGAAGGATGCTGTATCCATAACTTCCAAAAATAATGTCAAATTCTAATTTGTTAGGCCACAGAGTGGTTTCCCACTTCCCCTTCATTCATCTCAAATGTGCTCTGACCCAAAGAATATCCTGGCATTTCTGGGTCATGTTTATAAATGGTTTCCTCTTTGCATGGGATAGTTCCTACCTGCATTTGTGGATACAGTTACACACTGTGGTTAGGCACAGTGGTTTGTGGAAGTAATTACAGGCCCATGCAGTGATATCTTCTACAGAGTCATGTTGATTTATAATGCATGGCCTACCAGTTTTGGTTTTATGGCCTTGTCCCTTTTGTACGGAGACTTCTCCGAGTTCTCTTAACCTTTTAAGGACATTTGCTGCTGTAGATGATGGAATCCTCTGATTCTTTAAGCGTATTTTTTCTCTAAGTCTATCTGAACCTCTTACTATATTTACTCAGGCTCTCTAAAATGCCCTTTTCATACTCAGAACTTTTATGAAACCTACTGACTTGCACTTTTTAAAATAAACATGGACTTTAAATGGCTTGCAAACTGTGCGCTTTTTTCAACATATTACACAGCATCTCTACATTTTTGAAAATGGGGTTGTCAGTCTAGCTCTCCTATGACTTTCTTTCCGAGTTCCTGTATCATATAAAATAAGGTAAAACACAATTATTCTTTCTTATCCACTTATTACTATTATTGTTATTATGAGTCTTACCACTGCTGGAATGTATATTGCAAGGGAATATCCATAAACACAGACGATCTCCATGAAAGAATATGACACCAAGTTCATGACCTTATTATTCCTCCACAGCAGGACACCCCAGAGAGCGAGTGGCACTAACCAAGCATAGCTGAAGATGGCTGTTGCAGCGATAGTCACTGGAAAACACAACAAATTAAAAAATAAAAGAGCTGTCCCCAAAAATCTTCATAAATATTGAAGAATGACAGCACTTACCTTTTCGAAACTCTGGGGTGTACTTGTAGTTTGGTTTGCCTAAGTGTACCAGAAAGTTGGATATGTTTCCGCTGATGGCAATGGCAAATACAAGAGTGGTACAAATCCAAAACGGTCCTAAAAGTATAAATACCAAGAACTTTGATTAGTGTACCCATATGGTTTCTTGGTATCATTCACAAATATAATAAAATATAAGCTTCAGCAAAAGACAGGAACAGTGCATCTCATATTTATCATAAAAAAGAGTAATTGAGTGTTTCAGTGCTCACCATAGAGATCAGGATTTCTTCGAAGGTAGACATGAATGAAGTTCTTCATGGGCCATGGCCGCACTGATCCAATGATCCTTTCCTTCACCTAAAACAAATAAATAAATGTTTATTCATTTAGTACATAAGTAGCCACAGAGTCCAAAGTGACTGAAATGTTTCAATCATATTACATGGTGTGTCTCGATGTCAAAGTATTGTTGGTAGTACTCAAAGGTCCAGAAAGGTACACTCTTCTTTTGTCCTGAAAGAAGCTTCATATGAAGAGAAAAAACAGAGAGGATTTTGATTAATAAAAGTACTTGTAAACATAGTACTTCAACAGTAAAAAAATGCACATTAGATCTGTTCCAACCTCTTCCTTGTCATCACTGACAAGTGGGTCCTCGTCTTCACCACCAGGAGAGTAACCAGCTGCTCTTTTCGGCTGCTTCTCAGGTTTGATTCCTTCATCTTCAATGCTTATGGTCACAGCATCTCTGTTGGCTTCCAACAGATTTCCAGCTTCTTCAAATTCTGGTGTCGAAACAGTGACAGATGGGAAATTTGACATCAGATTTGACAGATTTTTGAGTGAATTATGCTATATTGCTTGGTGCAAGATCGCACTTTGGAGATGCATTCAGAGATTATGAGCATTTAAAGAGACCAAAAATAAAAATAAACTCTATATAAATCAGACAACTTTATATCAAAGTTTTACATTTAGTTGTGGAGGATTCTTACCTTGAAATTGAAATGGATCTTTGTTTGACGCCATTTCCACAGATTCACTCTGAGTTACAAAGTTTGTCTCTTGTCGCCAAATAAATGTTTCACCAAGGAAACACTTTAATCGGTTACCTGTGCAAGAAAAAAACACATTTTTCTCATATCCAAACCAATCTTTGTCTACATAATTTGTTTTCAACGCTTCGACTCAAGGAACACCCTTAAAATTAGCTTAAGTTTGCTAGCTTATCAAGTTCTCTCCTGACATTTCATCAACAAGTGATCGTATCTACCGTCTAATATCACATGCAAACCAGTAAAATTAACAAGGGTCTCTGTAGCTGTAAGATAACCTTGTCCCCATCTTCCTTAAAACGATGCATACTCACCAAAAACTCTTCAACACTCATAAAATCATATCAGTTCTCTCAGCTGGGTTAGCGCCGTGATGCGTGGAACAGGACATACCGGCCATGTAAACAAGACTTCTTCCTGCTACTCAAGACATTCAAAGTAAAGGTCGGGGCTCATTTAAGTTAGAAAAAGAACCTTAAATAATTGAGTAACTATAACGGGTCATTGTATGAGATAGTTAAAGAGGCGTTTTAGGCAAAATTCTTATTACCTGTTTTATTCTATGTATCTTGACACGAGTTTCAACTTGACGTAGACTTTTATTTTGAAAGCACCGGCTAAGAAACTTGGCTACGATGAGTAGCACTGTCATCTAAAGTAAGAAGCACTCAAAACTTGCAAGTAAACCTTGACAATTTGGACTATTTTTGCCAAAATATGCGGAATACAAGGAGAAGCAGATAGTTTAAGTGTCGTGAAGACGTTTCAGTCATCTTAGTTCGGTGTTTACCTCATTTGTAGACCATATTGAGGCGAACTAGCTCGCTAATCTCAGTTATATCTTTGGCTGTATAAGTATTGGGTGCTGAATTTGCTCCTTCCACGAAAAAGCTGCCTTAAAATGGACACCGGCCCCATTTATGTCCGCGAAAGGGGCAACCTTCGTCGTGTCAATGACATAGTCCTGGCACAGCCAAAGTCTGTATCCTCCTCATGCTCCTCATGCAGAAGGACAGACCCATTTGTGCTGAGAAAAGAGCACTTTATATTCACCTACAACGCAGAGGGAAGCCTGAGATACACAACCAAATCTCTCTTTGACATCACTCTGCTGTTTGTGGTTGACAACATCTACCATGTGGACTCTCTGGTGGGCTTCCCTGAGCAAATAGGAGATAAGCTTTTTGCTGCAGCAGAGGAGAAGCATGTCTTTCTAAACGCTGAGATTTCCACCAAAGCCCTGCTGTTATTTAGTGATGCATATGGAGAGATGGTGCTAAGATCCCTTTGTCTGAGAAACAGGTTGGTGAAAGCTTTTTATTTATTTATTCACATTTTAGGTAACACAAGACAAGACAATAATACACCAACAACAACAACCTAAGACAAAACAAAAGAGAGAAGGGGGGTTAGTGCATGCTCCTAATGGTCCTGTTTAAGATATCTATATTCATATTCATACAAGGTACATTGCAAACATGATATGTCAGGCCACAACAGGTTACAAACTTTGCACTTTGCATCAAAACAAAGGAAATCACTACAATGATAGTGAAGACAACACACCCTGTCACATCTGTTTCCAAATTACCTCCGATCTTGCTGTATTACCATTCAGTTTGTCTGTGAGTCGCTCCATGCTTACAAAGTTAAAAAACTCAGACAAGGTTTCTATAGATTCTCTTGGCAGCTAAAAAAGCTATGCCAACTGTTTTCCTTTCCAGCTGCTTATCCCTCTGACCCAACAGACATAACGCTTGACATGGCGAAATATTAACTTTAACAATCTTTGAAATCAACTTGCAAACATGGTGAAATTTTGTAACACATCTCCATCTTTTGAGTTGACCTCTAACATCCATTTGTCCTCTTATTCCTGCAGATTTCCACTCTTGCATGAGAGGATGAGTGAAATAAGAACATTTCACAGTTTGAAGTCTTTGGATTTGTTCGGCTGCAGGCTGGGCGACGATCATGAGATATTCCTGCATCTTACATCCAGCTCACTGGCGAGGTAATGCTTCATTTTTGTACCCCAGGGAGATTCTGTGGCATGTTTGATCGATGTTAATGTCTCGCTCGTCCCTCTTATTAGCAGTTTGAATCAGCTGTTCATTGGCGGTAACAGTCTGTCAGATGCTGGCCTGCAAAAACTGACTGCTCCGATTCGTATGATGAAGAAGGGGCTGGACTGTCTCCAGGTTCTTGATCTTTCCTGTCAGTAGTCCATGCTTTTATTTTGTTGAAGAAGCTCTAACACCATCAAACCTGTTTTATCTGGCACCACAAAGTGTTAATTATATATTACTTTGTTTGTCTTGCAGATAATCCCATCTCAGAGAGAGCCTATAGATACCTCACATGCCTGTCCAAACTTGAAAAACTCGATTTATCCGGAACGAGTTTGAAGGTATAGAAATAACACTGTTGGATAACATTTAGCTGTGCCTGACTGTGATTGTGATGTGTACATGTCATTTTTAACTCCAGCTTTGCACAAGATTGAAGACGACCATATGGGATCTGTTGGGGCTCATTTATTCCGAGGAACCGCTGGACACTTTCGATCACACCAGATGCAAAACAGAAGGCTGGGCAGAGCAGGTAAGTGTCTGCAGACATCGATTAAAGTAAATGTCTTTTGTGACAGGCTAAAATTCATTGTCTCATTCCCAGGTTGTACACCAGTGGGAATCTAATAACTCACACCTGCCAAAACAGAAGAAAATTGAAGAATCCAGATCCTCAGCACTTCACTTTTGTAAGTTTATCCAAGGTTACGCTCACATAAGCCATCCTTAACATCATTACTATTTATCCAACATAATAAGTGTCTTTGTTCTCTAGTTGGCAGGCAGAAGTTTGTCAGGGAGGTACTGAAAGCGGCACCCTTGATATGTGAGAGTGCAGAAGATGCGAAGAGTGAGAGACTGCATTTCTCCAAACCTGCCGCTAACAATCACATACCAGGGAAACTGACTCTGCCAGCAACAAATCATCATGCAAAGCATTCCTGTCAAGCGATGAAAAAGAGGCAGCGCCAGTCAGGAGACTGCGACAGGTCACCTCAGGCTACCCGGAGCCCTCCATCTAAACGTTTGTCCTCATCGACACTCACTGCAGAGGACATGGACTTGTTGAACAGCTACTGATTCAGCCATGTAGTATTCCTCTGGAGTGTATCCGCCTCAAATTAACAGGAATATTTTTAAAACAGCCAAAATGGAGTTCCGAGTTTGGATATTTTTATAAATAAAGTGTTAAATTTTGTGAATCTCTGCTGTCTTTAATTTCATTTCTCTTTGTCAACCAGTTATTTCACTCCCAGCAGAAGTTTGTGCACAGCCGATTCTTAAAAAATTATTTCCATCTTATTTTCATTGCACTCAAAGTTTCTCAGTAAAACAGAATATCTAGAGTTAACCTGCTAGTCTGTCCTATGATGATCCCAAATCAGGAGGGTAATCCCGTGGTTAAGGTGTGTTCATGCATTTAATGGTTTGAATGTAAAACAAGCAATAGTAGTGCTACTGAGTGTCTGTGCTGCATGTCATTGTACAGAACTGATCTATGTTGTTGTACTCTGACTGCAACTAATGCTTAGAATATTTTTGCAATGGGTGTTTGACTCTAGAGCACCATTTGGACAAAGCACAGAGCACAAAGAGGTTGGATTATGTTATGTTGATGCATGGATCTATGTTGAACATGGGAGTCAATCATCCCTTTAGGGGAACTCTTTGCAGTGTTTTAATAAAGAAAGGTTCATCATTTCATCATGTTAAAGCTATATCAGTATGGAAAACTAAGCAGTGGCCAGTGTGAGAAGTACCCCATACTAGCTTCAAAGGGTAAATGGTGCAGTGATTAGAGCTGCTGCCTCACATCATGGAGGTTAAGGATATGAATCCGACTCCCTGCTGGAGACTGTCTATTAAATTATTGAAATGTGGTAAGATTAAAAATATTCTTATATTTAACGAGACTGCAAGGCAGCATGATTGTGCTCAGGCAGGAAACAGTCTATGTATCTTTCTTTTCATCTCATTCTAGCTTCCTTCTTTCCTTTCCTTCCCTCTTCTCTACTGTCTTAGCCTGCACTTTACCCACACTGTCAACAACAAACCATCCTCTTCACAGTGCATGCTTGTTAAAATGTATTTGGTTGTTCAAAATCTTTTATAAAACCTCCAGTGGGGGAAATCCAGAGCACTCTAGCTTCACAGGAATTTGTATTGCCCATCTCACTATCTCAGTCAGAGCAGGAAAATACTGCGTCATAGACTTCAGACTTGAGTCCAGGTTTTTGTTGGTTTATAGTGCAGTGACTGTCTGCATTTTAAAGACGGAAGCACACTGTCTAGGCACCTGATCACACCCATGAGTACAAGTCCATTTGCATTTTATACACTATTGGTGTTACGCATGAAGATGACTGCAGGGCAGGTGAGATTGCAATGACTCCTAGTTTTCTTGTTTGATAAATAGACACAAGGGTATAACATCTTCTGGATACTGTTAAACTAACAGTCAAAGCAAATATGACATAGCCACCCCAGTCATAAAAATGTGTCTCACTTCTCTCTAACAGCCGACTTAAAGTTTAACTCCTTTTCAACTCAATGTGGTCTTGACCCACATGACTGGAATCACCTGCAATATAATAGGCTTTGAATGGTTCTTTCAAAAAATATTCAAGGCTTCACAGTTTTTTTTTTGTTGTTGTTGTTTTGTGTGTTTTTCAGCTGCACTCTCAACAACCTGCAGTTTGATTTTGATGTGTAAACTCAAAGCTGTTCCTCCTAAAATCAAGTCACTGCACAGGAAGCCCAGAGGCTATCCGGTATTCCAACACAGTAGGCCCTCAGGCTCCATGGCGTTTTAATACAACCCTGAATTAGATGAGTTATAGACTTTAGGATAACTGCTCCTCTGGTGTGCCACATAATCAAAATTCTGAGGATGGTTGCACCTAAATAGAGACAAATAACCTCATAAGCTGATCTATTGGTGAAACAAATGTACTCTAAGGTGGATAAATTTAGGTGCTTATAAGTTTTATGAGGGTCCAAGTGCAGGGAAAGTGGAACTGAATAACCAGGGACACAGCAGAGGGAGGAGAACCTTAATTTGCCTAAAGTTAAAGTTGTTTTTTAACTAATTTCCATCAAAAATACAGAAAATTTGTCAGAGTAAATGATATCAGAGATAAAAGAAAGACTGGAGAAATAGAGAAGGTAATGAAAGGGTGAATACAAAAGACCTCAGCAGACCAGTGGTGTGTTAGTTAGGATTGCCACATCTGAGTGAAATGATTCTGGGTTCAAATCCCGGACAGAGTCATTCCACGACCTGTCTCCAGATCAGGGAAAAGAAAAAAAAAAGAAAAATGATCATGATGAAATGTTGAGGTTGTTGCCTGTAAGTGAAGTGATTATGAGTTCAAATCCCAGTGTGGGGCTTTCCAAGTGTAGCGACTTATTTCCTTCAACAAAAAAGGCCGCTGGGGTTTAGGTTCACTTGCATCTGTGACTCGATTGAATGATCAGTCCGGTTTGAGTGTTAAAAAAAAATGAGGAAAACACGCTGATCCAGGTCCAATACTTTTGCCTTCAACTGAAAAGGTGATATGATGGAATGAGGTTAAAACAGGATGAATGAATGAAGCGGTGAATATTACTAGCGCTCACCAAACCCATTGTCTGATTACACCTGCGAGATTTTAAATGATCCGCTAAACATCCCAAAACCACACCCCTCAGTGACGATCCCGGGAGTGACGTACCTATAGAAATAAAACTCTCAACAAATATATTTTGGCTCCTACACAAAGCAAGACAAGAATGAAACACTATCCCGACACCAGTTTGTATTGCTCTTCAAGGGGGCAGAGAAGGTCACGACTATTCTTTGTAAAACTAACTTGTATGTTTAAATTATGGTTCAGATTCTGCAGACAAATAACTAACTATCACCGTTATTGCTCTTAAATGTTCTCTCTATCTCTCAAAGTTGTAGTTACTTAAAGCTTTGAATGGTTTTAATGGTTCCTGCACATTAAATATTCCTGCATCATTGCCTCATTGTGATATTGGGCCCACAAATCCTGGTGGATTATACACCATTCAGTACCAATTGCAGAGTAAAACCTTTTTTCCCCCCCATTACTGCATTTGCAGCTCACTACCAAATAGCAGTCACTCAGTCATCTCACAGGAAACCGGTGCTATTTTCTGCAGTCTTGTATAAACAACTGGCTGCTGACTGGAGAAAAAATAACACAAAATGACCATGTTTAAATCCTTTCAGCAATAAATGGTCAACACAGTTTTACTTGTCAAGCAAAAAGGAGGATACCCACTGCAACAAAGTGCATAAAAACAACAACAAGAGACATAGTGATAGAACCTCTAAAGTCTTAGTGAACAAAGAAAACTCACCAAACTGGATTTTTATGTATTTAATGATTCATCTTTAGGCAAACAGACATCAGTGAAGCAGAAAGACCTACTGTATGTACCGTCACTATTAATTAAGATTAAAAGCATAAAATTTTATTGTAAAATTCAATATCTCAACATTGCCAATCCCAGCAATTAATTGTAAGAATAAAGGAGGAGAATCTGAAAATGTTTGCACAGAGTTTTATCAACAGACGCTCAGGATTTGGGTTGAAGCCTGTACCATTTTCAAGTCCTAAACAACTCGATTTGACATCATCTGACAACATAAACACACCACCTGACAACGAAAGCACTCATCAGATTTGAGAAAAAGTCATATATTCTACTTTACCACATCCCTTTGATTCCTCAATCGCACCAATATACAGAAAAAACTTAAATCACTCCAGTTTAAAAGCTTAAGAAGGGAGACAATACATCATATCAAAAATGTGCTGAAAGAAGTTACCCCTGTAAAGACCGCAAGAAGCACAGATCTGGTGCTTGGGGGATAGAAATCATCTAAGACTATCCATAAAGGAGGACAAATTCCCTTTTCTGCTACACCTGAGGCTCCTAGATGTTGGACTGGCCCAAGTTGACTTTGGAAGGTAGTGGGCCGGCCTCTTCCTCGGGCCCTTTAGAGGTGATGATCAGCAGGGAGGACGCTGGGTATGGAATCAGTTTCTTTTCCTTTATGCATTCATCGTCTCCATAAATGCTCAGTTTCTAAAAGAAGGAGAGAAGATCGCCAATTAAATCAAGTTTTGATTTAAGATAAAACTCACTCGAAAGTTTACATCACAACTTGATTTTTTCTTTAATCATTAACCATTTGCTTAAAAAGTGCATGTATGTATTTTGCTGTCAGATTCTAGATTTAAATGCTCCTTTGCTCACCCCTCTCATAGGTGAAGTTCAGAAGTGATGGTGAGTTTAATGCAGTTAATATATTTAGGTGATTACACACTAACTTATATTATATTCACATGCAAAAATCACACGCATTTTTAGCAGTGGTCGACTGACATCACTTTTTCAAACGTCGATACAGACACCAATAATGAAAAAGAAGGGGTGGTAAATGGCTGATACATATTGCTACTGTTTGATTCTTGTTTTTTCTGCATTTGACAAAATATCATAGGAGTACTTAAAAATGAGAAACAGATTGGCTAATCTTGAGAGAACATTTTATTTAACAAATTTAGAGGAGACCATTTTTGGCTCAGTAAAATATGGGACTTATTTTGAATTGTTATTATGAATTTATCAAGATAGAAAACAAGGTAAATATTTGAGGATTGGAATAATAAAAAACAAAGAAAATCATGTAAAATTCTCTCTTTTCATGAGCATTAAAAAAAAAGAAGCTTGTATTGTGTTTGAGATGGATTTTTAATAAATTAATAAAAAGACAAATACACTGGATCATGCTGTTGATTCCTAAGCATGACTGATATACATGTCAAAAGTATTATGAAACTATTATTTTTTCAGCCTTTTGAGGGCAGATGCAGACATGATGTAGCCTGGTGAACATTTACGATGCACTGATTATTCACGCTGTCAACCATCAAAAAGTCTTAAACAAAGTCTAACTTTACAGTGATGGTATTGTAGGAATGTATTAACACCCTCTGCATTCTTTTTCCAAACAATAGATGACAGAGTCGAAACTACATGTCTGTGGTTAAAGATGAACTTCATCTAGCTTGGCACAAAAACTGGAAAAGCTAGTCTGGCACTTTGGTCTTCACTTGGTCATCAGTCAGTCTTGCTCTTTCCTGCTGTTTCCTGCCTCTCTGCTAAGCTAAGCTGACCAGCTGTGAAGTCCCCTAACTCTTCTTCTAACTTTTTCTGGTGCAAGCAAATACAATCAAAAGCAAGATTCAAACCACAAATACAGCAAAAACCCACACAGCAGCTCTCTGAATTACACATACGCCGCCATCCTTTATCTGAGAGTGTCAGGAATGTCGACAAAACCACCACTTACCTCAGCAGGTACATACTGGTCCACAGCGGTTGCAACAGTGGCACAACAGATCCAGATCAGGACCAGCACAGATAGGATCAAGGTTGTGGTCAGGATCCACCCTGGTAGCCATGAGTTCCTGCAGAGAGAGCAGTTCAAATATTTAGCTGAGGTGGCTGCTTTGGGATTACATCCTAGTTGTTGTTGTTGTTGTTAATGTCACGCTCCTCGTGCAAAGTAAAGATATCTTATTTGCTGACAGTATAGAGAAACGTTTGCCGGCGAACCTTGAGAAGCAGCTGAAGAGGTTGTATTCATCGTCGTAGCTGCTGTCCGCTGTGAAATCCCTGTCCCTCTCCTGGATGAAGGAGCGCTGGTATTCTTTGTAAACCGGGCTGTTGAAGCCGGGGACTTTGGAATGAGAAGAAAGGTTACTCAATAACACATCTCATTTGCTTATGATCAATGTTGTTCGGCAAGGCTTTTGGATTGTGTTGAGAATAAGTCTCTGAATTGGCATTTTTAGGAATATAGAGTCTCATGTGCTTGTCTTATTGTTTTGAGAGTCTTTTAAAAAAGACAAAACCAGCTACTTATAAGAGTGTCTCGCTACTTTTGAATGAAGTATTCTTCCTGATACTTTGACACCTAGCATACCGCAAAAAAACTCTTTACCAGACAGCCAAAAGCTTTCGATCATTTAAGGTCTGACAACTTAATTCCACACTTCAGTCAGCTAAGGACTATAACAATATTTACGTCTTCTTTCTATACACTCCACCAGATGACTGACACCTCATGTGACAGATGCACCTCCTCATTTTACTGTAACTTCAACACCCGAGGCTATTTGCTCCTTATGGAGATGTCATCCGGTAAAACTGGTCAAAATACATACTTCCAATCTTTGAAGGGTTCTTTGAACAAAAATATTTCATCAACACCCCTTTTTTCCACAACGAAGACGTGATGTTGACGAGCTAAAAACAAGTCTTAGACGACTGAAATGTGACCAGACGAATGTGCGTTTAAGTTGACGAAACTAGACGTTAGTGGTGGACGGTGAACAGAGTTGCAAAATTCATGTGCATTTTGTCAGTCAAACGCTAAACATATATTCTGCAGTGCTGCTTTCGTCAACATCATCGTCGATGAAAACAACACTGGTTCACACTCATGTAAAAATCTGATATGTGTCACATATGGTTAAAAAAAATCTGAATTGACCTGCTGTGTGAAGATACACTAACTCAGTGTTACGGTGTGTTTAACCCTAAATTAATTTTACACCAGAGTATCCCTTTAAGCTCACATAAATCAAACAGATTATTTTAGCCGTTTATCCAAACATTTGTGATGTGCAAGACTGTTTTGACTGCAATCTCAAATCCTATTTTTGTGGTAGTGAAGGAGTACGTCACTCACCTCTGTGTTTTTGACACATCAGTAGACGTAGAGACACTCAAACGAGGTCGTTTTGTTTTGTTTTTTGGGGTAATGTGTGAAAATCTTTTGAAAAATTAGAATTTGCAAACAAGATCAGATAAATTGATCCAGGGAATATTTGTTATGGACTTACACCCCCTCTGTGAATCCTCTTTGACATCTTTTTCCTCATCAAAAGGGGAGAAAAACCCGACTTGTGGCTCGGACTGTTGATCAAAAGACAGAAATGGATTGTTAGCACACTGGGATACACTTGTTTCACACTCAAACTTAAGTATAAGGAGAAAGTGCTTTTTTTTTCTCCGACTGAGCAACACACCTGGAAAATGACGACTTTGCCGTCATCAGCCTGGAGGTAAAACGTCCATGTGGAGGTGATAAAGCTGTGGGCTTGACTCATTATGTCGCCCCAGAGTCCTCTGACCAGAGCCATGGGGTACAGCAGGTGGATTCTCGGCACCATGGCCTCCAGCTAAAGAATAAACAAGCAAAACTCAGCTCACAGTTCTTTTATTGTTTCCCCCTGCAGATCAGAGACATGTGTAACATAGATGTACCTGCTCATTTCGCTTCTCAGCAAATGGGAGCTGATTCTGGCAGCCCAGGTTGCATGCATACTGCTCATCAGTCTGGGTGTAGGCCTCACGGCAGGCTGCAGAGAGTTGATTAGAGGTGGTGAAACAGGGAAACAACAAATTAACCTGTTCTGGAATTAGGTGTGTGAATGCACGGATCCATTTATGCGCATGCGCGTTTTCTTAGGAGCCTTTTGAATGTGCAGAATGAGTTGGCAGCGGATTACAAATATGTCAAAAGGCTCTGTGTTTGACTTACTTGATTCACACTCGGATTTGGTCTGATTCAGATCTTCACTGTCTCTGACAAACTGACAAATGGAGAACAGACGGCAGCCTCTCTGACAGGCGTAGAGTTCGTCCTCCTTCAAAACAAACCAGTTGAATGCTCTGACAAACAACTACAACCTGAAAAACGACGCACTTCCAACTTTTACACACTTTTACACAAGTCAAGCACACCCACTCGTTATACTGCGTATAAAACACGCAGTAAAAGTGAAGTACAAAGGCCGTATTGGCGTCTATCAGACATTATTGATGAATACTCACAGATGGATACGTGTGCAAACTGTATGTCAATTCACACGACTTGTGACAGGATGCGGTGTTTCCCAGAACACTGTTGAACACATCTGAAGATGCGGACGTGTGTGAAAGCAGGACAAACAGTCCTAGGAAACAGACAAAGGCCGAAACGTTCCCCATCTTGACGGCGAAAATCTAAACAAACAACACGCTTCTCTTCCTCCTACTTAATCGGTTCACAACTCTCGCGGGAGTTGAAGCTTCACGCGAGACTGTTGACTTCAAGTACTCCTCGTACACGCCGTAGCAGGGGTGTCCAACTCAACCACAGCAGGGGCCATAATCTGGATTTAGGTCTAACCCGAGGGCCAAAGAGAGTCAACATTTCACCAAAACTGTGAACCTCCTTTTTAAAAAATATGTAACAAAAATACCAGTGATTATAAATCATTTGGAAATTCAAATATGATATTCTTGACTATTTATCAAATCTTCCTTACTCTTTAATTTCCCAGATTTTCGTGGCTGTAATTAATTTTAAACTGTAATTTTGTAAACTGTAATAAAACCATCTTAAAAGGATGTCCAACACCATGATAGCAACATTGAAAATTAAAGAATAAGGATAACTTCATTCATCCCTGAGGGTATTTATGTTGTATTTTTTGTTGATATGATTAAATTTGCTAGAGACTGACTGATATTATTGAGTAAAGGAGAAGGGGTAGGTTTAAAAAAAAAAAAAAAAAAGCACAATGCTTTTTCCTACTCCTTTTCAGACATGTTGGGTTCGCATTATTATTATTAGTTTGTTTTATTTTTATTTTTTTAATTTTTTTATTTTTATACTTTTTTGGTTTGATTATTGTTATTGTTGTTTTGAATATTCACACTGATTATGTTTGTTTTCAGTTTACTTTTGGTGTTACACACATGTTCGAAGAAGATAATAAAATAAAATGAAAATGAAAGGGGAATTTTAAAAAAAAACTTGGTTGTTTCATAATTTTGTCATTCAAAATTGTTTATTTGTATGTTTTTATAAACAAAATTGTTCTTAGATATTTATAATTGACTTTGTATACCCCCCAAAATGTCTGTATCTGTGCAGAGACTGAATTTGACAATAGGTCGATGAAGCTGTATGAAATTTCCGATAGCACCTGAAGGCATCACTAGCTTGAAGTCACCGCAGCTTCAAAGTTTCTAGCTTTCCTCCACAGATTATACAAGTTGCGTTTATTCAAGCAGCTATTTAATTCTTAGAAAATGAACGACTGACCAGTGCTGGGCCAGCAACACGTTTAAAACGGGTTATTACGTTTTAAATGGACGTAAAAACTGACAAGACAGCGTCCACCTTCTAGCTAAAAGCTAACAACATCCCTCAGCTGGACATCTCTGCTGCTGTGAATCTGCTAACCAGCTAGTCCACTCCTGGGTCAGTTTCTCTGTATCTGAAGATGGACAAGTTCGTGGTGAGGCTTCCAAAGGGACAACCACTTCCAAAGTCAAAGAGCAATGAAAAAGTGTACAAACAAACTACTATTGAATCTTTACGGGTAAGCCATCAGTCCTATCATGATTAAAGTCAATGTTAATGTTAAACAGGTTTACTTCATTCATAATCTTTGTGTTTCCTACAGAGGGTGGTTGTGATTGAGGATATTTTGCGCTATAAGTCCATGTTGGAGCTGCCAGAGCAGAGCAAAGACAACCTGCTGAGCGCCCTGACAGAGCTGAGCAAGAAGATCCCATCCAGAGAGGTGCTCAAGTCCACCAGAATAGGTAAACAAGGGAAAATCCAATTCAACTTGACACTCCTGACAAAAGATAAAATGATTACTGATGTCTTTTTAAAGTTCAGCCTGTAGAAAACACATTATTATATCATATGATTACATCTATTGATACTGGGGATGCAGGGGTCAGTCCAGACTTAACCTGTAATAATAATAATAATAATAAATTTTATTTATAACCCGGTTTAACAGGAGCTCAAAGATGCCATACAAAGGAAAAGAAGAAAATAAATGGAAAAAACACAATTTAGAATACAGAAATTTTTGAGAAATAAAACCAATAATGTAAAAATTTAAAAAGACACAGTAAAAGAACTGTTCAAAGGTTAAAAGCCAATTTATAAAGGTATGTTTTTGAGAGTGATTTAGAGGTGTAAACCTGGAAGAGTGATGTGAAGGAGGAGTACTTTTTTTTTCATCGCAGCATCAGCCTCCGCCATCATGCTTTCAACACCACACTGAGAGTTGAACAGCATATTCTGCCCCTGCCCACCATTCCTATCATTTGGCAGGGAAATATCATAATCTGAGGCACATGTGTAACATTAGTGCCAACCCAAGATATCATTTTTCAGTGTTATATCTTTTTAAAAACGTAGCATAACCAAAATCATGTTTTAATCCAATTGGCTTAAATCTTTGGGGACTTAATAAGGGATTGTTAAGGATTGTTAAACCACTCCTGCACAACCTTCTGGATCCGTCCCTGTAGTGGTGAATCACTATGTATATGTATGAATATTAAGTGGGAGTCCTTGAAAGATGTATACCCGTACACTTAATTAAGTCAGTTTTACCTGTGAGAATGAGTTAAATTCATGGAATGAACATTGATATTTGCTTAACTCACCTCATTTAGGTCGGTAATGGCAGCATGGTATATGGGTGTCTGGCCTGTCACTGTTGAGATTGCCAGAAAAACTGTCCCTTGATTACAAAAAATAAGCCTAGACTCAAGAAAAAGAGAATAACAAATTCAATATCATAGCTTTGTTATTCTGGGATTTTGAGAAATTTACTGACATTGAAGGAAAGCAGCTGGTAATGACAACAAAAAGAAAACAATTTTCCAAAAAAGGAAAGTATTTATACATGATAACTTCAATCTTTTGTAATATTTAGTACTCTCTTATACTGTGATTAAACTTCTGGTTCATCCCCCACTTTCCAAGCTGTGTCTTCCTCCTGACACACTTCTCATCTAATTCTGGTTGCAGTAATTAGTTCAGCCCATGATGAAAAACCTCTCCCCCCTTTTAAGGTCACACTGTCAACAAAATGCGAAAGCACCTGGACCCTGAGGTGAGCTCGATGGCAGCAAAAGTTTACACAGAGTGGAGGACGTTCATCGAGGAGAATTCCAATAAGCCGTCCATTGAGGTGCGCTCCGACAAACAATCTGAAGGACTCCGAAGCAATGCAAGAAGACTAATGTCTGAGGCCCTGGAGGTCAAGGTGAGAAAAGATGAGTCTGAGTAAAGCCCTAAGCATCGGACATCTCTTTGTATTCAACCTCCTCTGATATCCCACTCCTCATTTACATTTTACTTTATATGTATGTTACAAGGAGCTGCAGTGTGTTGAAACCTATATATGGCTTCAAAGATAAATCCCCATCATATGCATGAGTTGCAGCTGTTTGCAGCCTGTTCCCTTATTGCTGTATCTTATAAATGTTTAAAGACCTTTACCGAATCAATAATGTCTTCTTAAAATTCAGCATACATTATCCATGCAGCAAGCAGCACTTCAATGTTTAATCAAATTAACATACTTTTGCCAGCTTTAAGTGGCTTTTTATGCTGTGAAAAAACTATATGGTGGCTGCAATGACTTTTTTAAAAATTGTTTTATCTTACCTGCAGGAGGGTTCGGGTCTCATTGACAACATTGAGAGAGAAGTGTTTCACCAGAGCTCCCGGTTAGTAAGCAGCTCGTACAGACGGACGGTCAGGGCGCTGGTGTTTGCGTTCAAACACAACCCTGAAACCAGGACTCAAGTGAAGGACAGCACATTATCAGTCAGCCAGCTGGTCTCCAAGTACAAGAAGTGAATATTTCTGAATCAGCTGTGCCTCCTACTACATATTGAACACTTTTGATTCTTTTTAACTTGAAATTTTATGCAGGTTTATTTTTTGACACATACAACTTTATCTTGAACTTTTTCTATACTTTTATTTTCTATTTTTGCAAAGGAAATATAAAACATGTTTACATGTCATTTGTGGCACATCAGTAGACTTTCACTGTTTTTAAAACGAACAATAATGTTGGTGGGATTATTGTGCCACCTGTGTACTTGAATCATGATTTTTTCTGCTTGTAAGAGTCTCTCATGTTGTTGATTTGCCTTTTTTTAAATACAAAATTATGTGGTACATCTGAAAAATCCATCATTAGAGTCCTTTCTTAAAGCAGCACCAGCCAAATAATAGCAATCACCATGAGAATTACAGCCAGAACACAGATGCTAATGAAGACGATATCACTCAGGTCATGCGGTTCGGCTTCTGGACCCCCTGTATCGCCACCACTGTCGTTGTCAGTCTGCTGAGCCTGCTCCTCCAGACGACGCTCCTCCGCTGAAATGATGGACACTGATGCTATCTTCCGCAGTGCATCACACTGCACCTTATATTCCTGCACATTCTGCTGCTTCCCATCAGAGAAATCGATATAGAGTTTGTTTACCAGCACAGTGATGTTCCGATGTTTCTGTAAGGGAACAAGAGATGCAGCTTTAATAGCTGTAAAAAAAAAAAAAATCAATATCTACAACTGATAAATTATTGTAAATCCTCCCAGTAAGTAATTTAAGACTGGGTCTCATCACCTGGCCTACAGTCCCACAGTTGACAAATTGGGCAAGTATCTTGTAAGAGGTTGCTGTCAGCTGGGCTGCACATGTTGGGTTCCCCAGATAGATCCTCTCCCGGTCTAGTTGAGGTAAAGACTGCTGAGGTATCAGAATGGTGAATTCTGATCTGGTACAGCTAACGTTTACAGGTACCACTTGGAATGAAGAGAGAAAAACATAAAAGTTTAGACTTTTCCTCGACTGCACAGATAAGAAAAATAAAGAGATAATGTAAAGATAATGTTTTTGTTTGAATTTTAAGGGTTATGGCTTACAACTCGTGAAAATCCACTATGTCAAAACATTACAATATCGTGGAAAAGTCCAGTTTCTTGTCAGTTATTTCAGTCCTAAAAAGAGCTCTAATCAGCTACTGAACTCTGAACACCTGCAAAGGTTTACTAAAGAGTGGACTGAGGCTTAAGTCAAAGCATCAAGAGCCACTACACACAGATCTGTCCAGAAAATGGGTTTCAAGTATCGTGTTCCTGTTGTCAAGATTCTCTTAAACCAGAGATAATGTCTAAGCGTCTCACCTGGACTAAGAAGAAAAAGAACTGGAGTTGTTTGTTTGAGATAAAGTCAAACCAAACTTCTGACTGTATGACAAAAAGCAGGAGTCGTGACAAGAGGGGATGGCTTATATCTCTGTCTTAAATGAGTTTCCACAAGAAGCCAATTTTCTGCTTTATATCTTTGGTTTTTAATCTCATATTTCTGGATTTTAGGGGTAGTTTTTTTTCTTTCTTTTATAGTTGACAGACTTTTATAAGACTCCTACTTAACTATTTTACCTCCGAGATAAGAAGCAGTGAATCCTCTGTGAGCCTCATCTCGGTCTGTGCTGAGTACCACCAGCAGCTTATTTCCCTTCGACACCAGAAAGGGAGGCTTTTCCCGACCGCACCAGCGCCCCAGCAGCGTATCGGTCTGACTGCCCCCGTCGTAAACTGCGATGTAGTCGTAGTCGCACTCGTCTGACAAGCTGTTGCGGTCCTCCAGGTCCATGATGGGGAAGTAGAGCTTGATGCGGTATCCAGCTGCAAGTGTGATGCTCCAGTGGCAGTTGATGTTGTTGGGGTAGATGTTTGGGAAGTGAGGGCTGCTGAAGTTGCCGCTCACAGCTGAAAGGACCTGCTGGCATTCACCTGTTGATTTAAGGTAAGTTACTAAACTTTATTTATAGTGGTAGACATCTGTAGCACATCACACTTACACTGAAAAATTGACAGTATCAGGATTCCTCCAGGTCCCTCTGAAATTGTATGTCAGGATTTAAATCTCTTTGTTTAATGCTCAGCGGAGGCAACAGGGATTGTATTTGCTCAGCTGTCAAAAAGTAATCCTGCTGCATTTAAATTGAATTCAAGTCCAGGCATTGACTGGACCACTCAAGGACTTCCACTTTCTTGTTCCACTGTGGGAAGGATGGTGTGAGACAGAGAATGAGCTCCTCTCGGCTTAGCTCGGAGATTGTGATCAACTTTGAGGCAGAAGTGTTCAATTTTCTTCCCATCAGGTGACAGTATCTTTTGTGCAATGTTCTGAATCTTGTACTACATTGTTTGAAACCTCCAGTGTTGGATAATATGTCCAGTTTCTTTTTACCCCCAGTGTTGAACATTGATCCTGTATTGTGTCCTCTTGTCCAGCTCAGGTTTTAGCAGCTCTTTGACAGCCCCCAGCTGGGATATAGATCTCAGAGTGACATTGAAAGGCTTTGTCAAATTTAGTTTTACTTGAAGACATTTCAAAGAACTCAATAATACCTTCTGCTGTGAATTTCCTATTGTAATTCATTTATCACACCAGACTCACCCACCTGAGTAATAGTAGGCCTTGAACCCACGTCCACCGATGTTGAAATCCGACTTGAAGACTACCAGAAGCTGGTTGGAGGTGGTGACAGTGTTTGGGGGTCTATCCGCCCCGCAGTATTTGCCCAGGTGGCGGTGGGTGACCGTCGGGCCATCAAACATTGCCACAAAGTCAAAATTACAGCCTTCATTATTTTCCAGCTGGAAGTCCAAGAAGACCAACGTGACCACGCTGGTGTTGGACACGTGGATGGTCCAGGAGCAGTCTGCATTGTTGCTGTACTCCCGAGGATAGCCTGGACTGGAGATGACTCCTGATAGACCAGTTAGGACTCCACCACACATATCTGGAAAGCATGAAAGGTAGAATTAGGCTCACATTATCATGAAGCCCATTAGATGGATTGTTGTTCATGGTCCCCAAAGGATGAACCACAGTAACATCGACTGGGTGAAACATCTTTGGCATGTCACCTATTTTGCCCATCAGTGTAAACTTTTAACACCTCTTGAATCAATTGTTGTGGCATTTCAAGATCTCGGTTCATTGTCCACTGAGGACTTACTTCTACTACCATAAAATTTTATCCTCTTTGAAGGGAAACATCTAGAAAAAGAGGTTGTCTATCTGCTTAGCATCAAAGTTTGGTAGGTATATTCAAGGTTCTCAGAGGATTGTCATTCATGACTTTATTAATACTTTGAAAAAAGGAAATGGCAATTTGGCACATACTGTATATTCAATGTCCCCAGAGGCCAGTCCCTATTATGTTTTAAACACAACCTTCTTTGGCTTCTCTATAAGCTGTAACCTCATTGGTTTGACTGCAGTATCTCAGCAAGCATTGACTGGATTGCTTTAAAGATTGGTGCACACATTCAAGGTCCCCAGAGGATGGAGACCAATCACTTTGGCTGCTCCCTGACTAACTGTAATCACTCCATTATTACTGGATAGATTGCCAGGGAACTTGGATAAGATAATCAAGGTCCCTGGAGGATAAACCTTTATTATTTTGGGTTATTCTCTTATGACACCACAATGAGATTGACTTCTTGGGTTCTGTAAAGCTTGCTATGTATATTATTGATCCCCAGAGGATGAACTGCAATAACTTCAGCTCCCTGGCCCATCTCCTATATTTAGCACTGTCAGGTCAAATTTCATTTTCGTCCCTCACCTCATTAAAAACCTGTCGGAAACTAATGACATCATCTTTAAGCATGCTTTGTTAGCCCGCTAACACTTCACATGGGAGATGAAAATGTAAATGTGATAGCATGCTGATGTAAGCACTTCTTCGCCTCCGATCAGCCTCATAGAGCCACTAGCAAGAGTCTGGACTGTTTTCAGTCTTTTTGATGGATAACGTTTTGGTGAGTTTTAAGTTCTCCGGTGAGATTAGGATCAAGATTTTATTGCCAGACAACATCAGCTCAAGAAGTAGGTGGTTAGCCAACAGATTCCTGTCACACTGTGTCATTTCTTATGATATTACCTTTTCTATAGCCAACACTGAATCCCCTTTGGGCCACGTGGCGGTCTGAATGGAAGATGATTGACATGACATTCCAAGAAGAGGTGAACTGTGGTGGGGAGATGTCACCACAAAATATCCCAAGGAGGTTCCCCTCGTCCTCGGATATGCCATTATATATCTTGATGTAGTCGTAAGCACAGCTGGCATGGTACTCTAGTTCAAAGTGGTGAAAGGTAAGAAGGACAGAGGAACCCTCCGCTACCACTATAAGCCAGGAGCAGTCGATGTTGTAAGGATACAAGCCTGGGAAGTTTGGACTGGAGATATTCCCAGATGGAGCAGAGAGGATCCCTCCACATTTGACACCTGACAATTGCAAGAAAGGGGGTTTAATTTTAGCTCAAAGGAAACAATACGAAGAAGTGTTGAACTCTTTCCTGCTTAATTATTTATCTGGCTATTTTTTCCAGCATCCTGGTGCAACCTCTGAGAAAGTATAACCAGCTGACAGTGAGCAACTGAGACCCAGCTCTTGCTAAATACACAGCACCTTTTAGATAAAGTGCCTCCATCAAATTTAAGTTTCGAAGCATCAGAATAACAAATAGCGACTTACCTTTTTTAGAATAAGCCGTGTCAACAAGCAGGAGAAAATGAATCAGTGTAGCCGCCCAGAGACTCATGTTGTTATTGTTGATTCAGCTTTTGTCACACCTCAGCTGAGATACATGCAGAGGGAGACAACGGCAGTGTCAGAGCGCAGAGCCTTGACACATCAGCGTCGGTGCCTGTAGCGGTAATAGGACTTTGAAAAATTCATTCACTGCCTGAATGAGGAACCTGATACCTACCCGGGCCACGCTTTGCCCTCTTCTCTAAATTTTAATGACTGATATCCAGTGAGCAGGGGTGGCTTGTCAGGACACTGTTTGGAGAGATGCTATACATTTTTAATGATGGTCAAACAGACACACAGTGAGCAGCAGCTGTGAGTGGAGTTGATAAAAGAGACAGGAAGAAAGAGGGGATGATCACATTTGTCAGTAATATAAATGGCTTCATTACAGCGACGTAGGGAAGAGAAGAGCACAAAACTATTCATGTGTTGGAGCGTGGAGACTTTGCTTTTATCTTGAACAACCAGATTAAGCCCAACAGGAAGTCATCTGATCTTAACTTTGGATGGAAATCAATGAGGAAATGCACAGTTGTCAGGAGTGAGATGTAGGACCATATGTTTTGTTGATATTGATGATATTGTGTTTCACACTTGAAGATTTTAAGCATAGCAGCCCATTTGCAAAATAGGAAGTGCTGATTTGATACTAGACACTTCTATTTACTATCATCACTATCTTGTTAAGAGACAATTCATGACTGAACATCCAAGAAAGTGCAATAAAGTTTTTAAAAATTAACATATTTCTGTTTGCAGACAAGGAATTAGAACCAATTTTTTGATCAAAGTCATAAATTGGCATTTTGGGAAACATGCTTGTACAAAAATGTCAAAACCCAATAACAACTATCAGTAATTCTGAATGGCAAGAGCAACACCAGGGACAACCTGATCACATACACTATATCAAATCAATCTGTGAAAGCGCTCTGGCATTTTTATTAAGTTTTTTATTCAACCTACTCCTGGTGACAATGTGTGAAAGAGGCTTATTTTTTGATAGTCTCAGTAATCAGTAGGGAGGACATTTTTAATATAACTCTTAGTATCTTCAGGAAACACAAACAAAAGGAGAGAAAAAGGCAAGAGGAACATCCCTGTGGGCAACAGGGATGTTCAGACTCACAAGGAACTAAGAGATGATAATAGATGCTAAGCAAACACAAACTGTAGTCTGGGCTCTGGCAGTGTTACAGGACTGGTTGAGTGAGGAAAAGCATAAAAGTTGCAGGGGGAGGACCTTTCAAAAGTGCATTATATACATTTTCTTCAACTATCAGTTAGGGTTGGATATCAAATTTTCACCTCATGATTATCATGGACATTAAACATTTATGAAAATTTTTAAAGTGAAACAACACAATCAGACAATTAAAGAAAGGAAAGACAAAGATGGGGCATCACATTACTTCATACACAATTGTATATTATGCTTTTATTTTGGCTTTTTTTCTTATTATTATTTTTTATTAAATTATGAATGTTTAAATATTTCGTAGTCTGAAGAGGCAAAAGATCTGATGTTGTTTTTTGATTACTAACAAATCTTGGCTCTTAGTCTTAAAAGTGCTGAATCATCTCTTAGAGGGCTGCTACAGCTAGCTCTTTAGCAGGCTGCTGCTTCTCCTTCGTCTATCCTCCAGTTACCATGATGTGCCGTTACCAGCTCAAAGATCACTACTGAACTGTAAGCTTATTTTTAGTGCAGTATTGATGTATGTATACCTAATTGTTATCATCAATACTGGTATATTGCAACAGCTCTATTCTCAATAACACCGCAAGAAAATTGTTGCCATGTAACCACTACCAACAGTTAATCTGAGGGCCTATTTTGTCTCTCTTGTTCGTGTCAGGATAAAGTAATGTGAGTGGGTGGTGATGCAAAATAGAATCCCGTCAATGTGAATAAGGGTTCCTCACATCTCACTCCACATCATACCCTACCTACGTACATGTGCTTTTAGACACAGCGGGTCATAATTGCAGTTATTTTCCTCAGCAGGAGCAGTTACACTTAGGTGTTATATTGTTATGAAATAACTACCATCTTGTCTTGAGGTTACAGCTCAGGGCAAAGTACAGCTTTGACTAACAGTTTTCCTCTTTTCACTCTTTTTAGGCGAAACAAGCTAGATGCTGTGAAGCTCCTATGGACTCATATGAAAGAGAGAGATACTCTGTTGTCCCCTGAGGGGAAACTTGGGCAACAGTGCAAAGTAACATACAGCTCAGTTCTTCCCATCTCTCTCAAACAATGTGCTTGAATACACAAACTAATGGTGACAGATGGTAATGATGATATCCAGTTCCTCTCAGGCCAACATCAAGGGGTGAAAACACAGGAATCCTGATGCTATGCCATGCTCAATCTATCTCAACACAAAGAGCACATCCCAATACATATTGATTTAACATTTGTTGTCCAGTAAACAAAGGGTTGAGGTTCAGAGTCGACTGTGCACAGTTGTTTTGTTGTGAGCTTTAAATTGCTCTTCAGTAATGATGCTTCATTAAAGCCCTCTCTGTTGCATTATGTGTTCTATGTTTGTGATTTAGTTTCAATTACAGTTTTGAATGTTTCATTATGTACTAATTGAACACAGTAGACATACGTGCATTACGACTCAAATGGAGAGTTATCTTCCTCTCATTATGTAAGCTACTTTAATGCAAATTTTGTATACAGTCTTATCTGAGAGGAATACTCTTAGACAAACATTTTGCTGTATTTACTAAATGTCGATCATGTCCCATGACTCATTCCTCCTATTTTGGCAGTTTTATCGCTGAGAAATGCAGACACATATAAACAACTATAATCCTGACTGGATGGGATGTATAGCAGACAGGGAGATAAAGTACTCTTACTAGAAACCTTTTCTGCAAACAAATGCTTATTATTCCAGCAGTGCTGTAAAGGCAGAGCTTTTAGAGTGAATATCTAATGGCCTCAGTGATGATAGCTAGAGCACAGAGAGCCCTGCTAGATGGTGCTGTTGCACTATGGGAGCACAGTGAAAATCACCAGCTTTTAAAAAGTCACTCTGAGCTCTAAGCTGAAATAAATAAGGATGTGATTAAAATCAGTCAAGTGTTTTTCACACAGCGGTTCCTGGAACTAAAATGAACCGCCTTGCCTTTGAATTTTAATTCTGTCCTCTCTGAAAGCTTGTCATTGTTCAAGGATGTGGATATTGGGCAGTGCTGAAATGTGTTTCAGAAAGATATCATTTGTTTGGAGCAATTAAATCAACTATTAGAGAGTAAATACTCAGAAAACAAATGAGGGAACTGCTGGAAATTTCCTTCAGAATAAAGAGAAACTTCAGAGAAACAAACAGGAGGCTTTTGACCCAGCTCTTGAGGCTTAATTAAATGATGTTAGTCCAAAAATACATGAAATGGGTGTTGGTTACAACTAATTTTATTCAGCAGTATTAAAATCTCAATCATGGACACCCTGAATTAAACACTGATGGGATTTAGCCAGTTGGCAGGTGAGAGGAGTGACTATAAGTGTCTCAATGTGTTTATGTTGCTGTGGGATGGGGTACTTGACAGCTAAAGCATCTGGCATCATTTGATCCGGAAAAAAAAATAAAAAAAGAAGCATGGAGGCACAGGATGTGAATGTTGAAATTTTTTAATAAAACGCAATCTGCTTACAAAACATCTTTCTCCACATCAAGACAGATTATGTTAGATTCTGCTACGGGTATACCAGGGCTGTTGGTAACAGCTCACTCTGATGAATGTTCTCTAAAGCCCCTGACAGTGAGATGAATATATAAGCATATATGTCACAGGACAATAAAAAGTTAATGCTTCCGACGGAGCCTGCAGCTTGGCAGAACATCTCCATAAATTTCTGAATTTATCCTGCCCGTATGGTGTCTTGGTCAGCATGATTTGTCTTTTAATATTTTGAATGCATGGCGTATTTCTGCGGTAAAAGCCCAAGGATAACCCTAAATAAACTCACACCGCGTGTTGTTTGGAAGTACTTCACAGCACTACGTTTCATCCATATTTTTCCCGTTGCAGTTGGATGGATTTTCGCCTCCTGTTTCAGCTCTTTGGAGTTCATTTGCACTAAAAGCTTTATCTAACGACAGAGCTCTTTACTTAATGACATTCAGAGTGTTTAACATTAATCAAAGTTACATAACAGTCGTGGTAATGTTTATGCAGCAGCAGACCGGTCCAACTCACTGAGTACAGAGGAAACATTACTACAACCTTGTACCTTGTATTCCCAGCTGGTGCTCACTTAAAGCCAGTAATGTCGTTTTTTTTCCCTCTCACTGTGGTTTTGCTGTGTTGTTTTGCTGCATTTCCACCTTGTCTTTCTACCAAGGACAATACTGATATGTCATTCCACCTCAAATGCAAGGAGCTCACAGACTGGATTATGGACCATAATGAGCAAAGCTTCCATCTGTAGTTATGAGGGTAATAAAATCCGTTTTTCAGGTTAGGGAACAGAAAAGACCAAAAATCAAGTTCCCTGGGCAGCTGCTACTTCTACCTTTCCCTGACACATTTAATGAGATGGCATTTGTTTTGTGTTCCTGGCTCTTTTTGCTGTTTATACAAATCCTATTATATACAGAGTGATAAATCCCAGGAAATGGCCACAGAATCAGCATCAAACCTAAGTAATGAGACACTATATAGACAGCACACAGAGGCTGAAATAGGATTTAGCTGTTTTAATTAGAACTTATCTTTTCTACAAAATTTGTACTTCAGTATGTCTTATAAAACATGCAGTCTGTAACACTGATTGGACATACCCGCGCAAAAAAAGTATTTGTATTGATTTATTAGTAACAACTGTTCAAATACTGAAAAACATTATTCTGAGATACACATTTAAATTCAGAGATGCCAGCCGAATACCTTACTTGAACATCTCCTCAAGTCAGACCTACAACAAGGAAACTCAGAGGGCCTTAAATCCAAGACAGTTGCTCCCTGAATCAACAAGTTGTATTTTTAAAAGGTGTTCAATTAGAAGGCAGACTACAAATCCATAAGGGGTCCCACAAGGTTCAGCTGTTGGCTCACTATCATTTACCATTTACATAAATTTTCTCAGTAAGAATGTACCAAACTCTGTTTTTCACCTTTATGCAGATGATACTGTGATTTATTGTTGTGAACCTTCACCTACTCAGAGTGCTTTTGATTCAGAATAAGATCTGCTCTGTCGACTTCAGCTTGTTCTAAATGCAGATAAAACTAAACTCATCTTCTTCAGATCCTCAAGAGCAGGGAAAAGCATTGCCTGGGATTTTTGTTACAAAAGACAGTCAAGAAATTGAGTTGGTTTCTACTTTGAATGATGACAGCTTGTCTTTTAAGGAGCATATTCAGCTTGTTATTGAAAGCAGAAAGTATTACTTGGGTTTTACTGCAGAAACAAGTACTGCTTTTCCTTCAATATGAAGAATGTATTTGTAGAGTCAAGCTTTTATTTTAGTGCTGCACATGAATGCCTCTGCTCAGTCTGAACAGCAAATCACGATACACTGAGATTTAATACTGTGCCTTTCTTACCACTGTGTTCAATACTCTAAACTGGGGAAGTGCATGCAAAACCTCCATAAGCCTATTTTCATTTTACAAAAATGAGCAATACGAATTATTATTAGAAGTCAATGCAGAGATCCTTCAAACCCATTATTTGCTAAATTGCAGTTGTTGAAATTCAAAGAGTTAGTAGATTTCAGTATGTTGCAGATTATGTACACTCACCGGCAACTTTATTAGGTATACCTGTCCAACTGCTCGTTAACACTTAATTTTTAATCAGCCAATCACATGGCGGCAACTTAGTGCATTTAGGCATGTAGACATGGTCAAGACAATCTCCTGCAGTTCAAACCGAGCATCAGTATGGGGAAGAAAGGTGATTTGAGTGACTTTGAACGTGGCATGGTTGTTGGTGCCAGAAGGGCTGGTCTGAGTATTTCAGAAACTGCTGATCTACTGGGATTTTCACGCACAACCATCTCTAGGGTTTACAGAGAATGGTCCGAAAAAGAAAAAATATCCAGTGAGCGGCAGTTCTGTGGGCGGAAATGCCTTGTTGATGCCAGAGGTCAGAGGAGAATGGCCAGACTGGTTCGAGCTGATAGAAAGGCAACAGTGACTCAAATAACCACCCGTTACAACCAAGGTAGGCAGAAGAGCATCTCTGAATGCACAGTACGTCGAACTTTGAGGCAGATGGGCTACAGCAGCAGAAGACCACACCGGGTGCCACTCCTTTCAGCTAAGAACAGGAAACTGAGGCTACAATTTGCACAAGCTCATCGAAATTGGACAATAGAAGATTGGAAAAACGTTGCCTGGTCTGATGAGTCTCGATTTCTGCTGCGACATTCGGATGGTAGGGTCAGAATTTGGCGTCAACAACATGAAAGCATGGATCCATCCTGCCTTGTATCAACGGTTCAGGCTGGTGGTGGTGGTGTCATGGTGTGGGGAATATTTTCTTGGCACTCTTTGGGCCCCTTGGTACCAATTGAGCATCGTTGCAACGCCACAGCCTACCTGAGTATTGTTGCTGACCATGTCCATCCCTTTATGACCACAATGTACCCAACTTCTGATGGCTACTTTCAGCAGGATAATGCGCCATGTCATAAAGCTGGAATCATCTCAGACTGGTTTCTTGAACATGACAATGAGTTCACTGTACTCAAATGGCCTCCACAGTCACCAGATCTCAATCCAATAGAGCATCTTTGGGATGTGGTGGAACGGGAGATTCGCATCATGGATGTGCAGCCGACAAATCTGCAGCAACTGTGTGATGCCATCATGTCAATATGGACCAAGCTCTCTGAGGAATGCTTCCAGCACCTTGTTGAATCTATGCCACGAAGAATTGAGGCAGTTCTGAAGGCAAAAGGGGGTCCAACCCGTTACTAGCATGGTGTACCTAATAAAGTGGCCGGTGAGTGTATAAAGCTCATAGGAAAATTTTACCAGTCAACATCCAGAGCCGATTAGAAAAAAGAGAAAGTTGCTATAATTTAAAAGGATTTAAAATATTCAAAAAGCCAAGATTCAGAACTAAACTGAAAAAGTGATGTGTTACAGTGAGAGGAATAAGTTTGTGGAACAATCTGAACAAAGAAGCTAAATCAAATTTTATCTTTAAAAAAAGTGTCAAAGCCAGTATGTTGAGTAGATACAGGGAAATATGTTGATCTGAGTCTTGGTATGTTTGTTTTGAGAAAAAATGTGGATTAACATGGTCTTTTCTGTTTGTTTTGTGGGTTGTTTTTGAAAATAAGACATATTAAACTGTAAAAAGGCATGTTGGCCTGCAGCCAGCTCTTGTTTATTTTTATTATGTGTTTAGTTGATTAATATATTATGAAAGAAGAGCAGACTCTATAAGAGTTTTCTTCTTTCTACTCCTTTTCATTCACATGTTTGAGATTTTTCCTTGTTTGTATTGAATGTTTTAAATAATAGCTGAATGAAATAAAGTATGAAAATGAAAGCCAATTAGATTGCTTCTTATACACCTACACCTACATCTTAATTTATAAAGCAAATCTGGGCAAAGTTGTGGACTAATTTTGCTCCCTTTAAAATATTAAGGATGGCGCTCCAAACCTTAATTTGTTGGACACTCTGCAGTTTGTGTGAACTCAGTTGGTTAAGAGAAGTTTGAAGTAGTCTGCACCATATTTCAATGGAACCAATCCGACTAATGGTGCGTTCCAGTTACCTCGGAAGTCAGATGTCAGAGCAGGAATGATGTCACACCCGAGTTACCATTTCGCATTGCATTTTGTCAATTATAAGTCAAAATAAAAAATAAAAAAAAACACCGGCTGAAACTACCAGGCTACATTTAGCTGTTGTTAGTCGGCTTTGTAGTTCGCATATACATATGAAAAATGTAAATTATACTATGACAGCATTTCCATATGTACACATCTAGTAATACTTTTGTAGCCCTGAGCCTCAGGCTGACTAATTGCGACAATAAATTGTGAAAAGTGTTCATAAAAGGATTACAATAGGAGCTTCAACTTACAGTTTACAACCGGCACCGCCATCTTTAAACGTCAACTTGGGGGCTGTGTTGATCATCCGACTTTTGAGTTGAAAATCCGACCTCAACGTTCATTCCAGTTGAAAGTTCCGACTGAAAGCTCATAAATTCCTACCTCTGAGAACAACTGGAACTAGGTAAAAATAAATGAATAAATATCTCTATTTGATATATCTGCCAATGAAACTTCAAATTGCTTAACTTATTTTCCTTATTTGTTTGTTTTTATTTTTGGCATGTTTGGGGTTCCATACAAAGGCGACAGAAAGGGCGCCAAGGACGGAGCTAGCAGCAGAAGTTGGTGTATCCCTCCGCCAGGACTACACCGCGTCGTGAGAAGGACGTTAGCCGTCGACTGTTAAACGAGCGCAGAATGCTCTTTTATAACTCCCTGCTCCCAAATTTCAGCTCATATTTTACTAGCAACCCGCCAATTTAATTATTTTATCAAGTCCCACCGCTCTCCCGGTGAAAGTAAACAGCTGTCGCCAGAAAGTTGCTGAAAAACAACAGAAACTTCGAAGTAGCTTCTCTACACCGAACCACCTGAAGCTAG